TGCATGTAGCCAACAACGCTTAGAGAACTTCTTCACAATCCTATGACAGAAATCGCATGACATGAGTAGAACAGTCGGAAAATTGAAGAAGTGGTTCGCAGGCTGAACAAGCTCGGAAGTGACCGGCAAAGGGGGCAAAGGCGGCAAAGGCCTTGAGAAATGACGAGCACGATGCCCAAGAAGGTTAGAAAACCCCAGACCATGGATTTGAGCTGGCAGACAACACAGAACCTGCAAGGAGTCATGCTTGAAAACCCCTGCCATACTCTGAGCCTGAGACCTTAATGGCAATTCCGGGATTTGGGATCAAAGTCTAAGCGATACAGTATTAAGGTGGCGAGAGGCATATGCGAACTGGGACCTCTCGACTCTTTCGGGGGCACTTCTTCAATGCCGGCGCAATGCCGGCGTCCTGCATGGACTGCTCGAACTCCCCGACTTTGCCCTCCAGCGCTCCCAGACCAGTCTTGATGCCTCTCTGACAGAGACCATGCAAGAATCATGAAATAATCATAATAATAATCATTAAAACCAATAACAGTAGTACTAATAGTACTAATAATAATACTAATACTAGTAATAAGAATACAAATAGTAATAACTAACTTGAAATGGTGGATATGCCACAGATGCCTTGTAAAGCCGACGTGCCGGCCTGATAAGACGTCAATGCGTGGAAGAGTCGCTCTTTGATGGAAACTTGCTTCAAGCATCTGGGAGCCTTCTCCCCCAGGGACTGCTGAACCTGGAGCTAAAAGACGCGAACCATCCAAATTCACATGCGCATTTCCGTTGACCTGGGACTGCTGCTTGTGCGACATGATTTTGGAGCGTTGCCAGGGTGTTCTCCATCTGCTGCAGCTGCTTCAAGTCAACCTGAGCTGCTCACTCTTCTGCACGACCGTAATGAACCATGCTCGCAGAAACATGCACCTTGTTCTGCAGTTGCGATTCGGCCAGCGAAGTTTTCTTTTGACACCTTGGTAAAAGATGACCGTAGAAATTCAGGACTCTATACTCCATGTTCTACTCCGTTTCTTCTCACTGCAGAACGGTACGGTAAGCCCGTAGCCCTGAAACAACGGCCTCCAATTCTTCGATCCGACCAGCACCTGCAACCAGGCATTGCTTGTGGATAATTCTGTATTGGGCCGAAGCCATGGTAACGGCGTGCCGCAACGCAGGTCTTGCTCCAGTCCGGGAACTTTGGCCTACATGGGCAGAAATGCACACGATGGCTTTGCCCCACTTTACTCTGCACAGATCCACGACCGTGTACGATCAATTAAAAGAACTGAAAGCGTTTAAAACAAGCAGATGCTCACCGTGCCTGCACGACTGCGACCACATCTGCCAGCTGGTCGATCTGTGCGCAGTCCACCTTGCCCTGTAAGGCTTGATCAAACCTGGCGCACTCAGAGGCAAATAGCATTCATTTCAATCAGGGTCACAGGCCCCACACACATCAAAGGCGCTCATCAGCAGCAGGTAATCTTAATTTTGTCTTTGAAGAGCTCGTCTCCTGACCCTTGTCAGCTTTTTCGAATCCCAATATCCTGTGGCTATGCCTACAAATGCGGTGTTCTGCCGTTCAGCTATGCAGTTCTGCTATGCAGTCGTTCCCGTATGGCTTCTGAGGCTCCGACTGTGTGATCTTCTGCGCTGTCGCCGACATTGAAGAAGTGATCCTAACTTGGAGACATTCATTGATCAGCTGCCCAGTCCACAGTTTCGCAAAAATGTTTCGCAGATTTTCGTAAGGCTGCAGCTGCTGGACTGCATCGGCGGTGGCTCGGCACTGGACCTGCCGGTTTATGTAAAGCTTGATCTAGCAGAGTCTAGCACAAGGACGCGCGACATTCTCGAAAGCACCTCTGAATCAAGGCTCGCAACCTCAGCTCAGGTGACAGCTTCCCTCTCTTCCAGGCTAGACATATCAACTGATGCTAACAGACGCAAGATGTATCAGCAAAGTTCACTCTGCTTTGGACGAGATGCAAGCTTGCAAGAGCCCAAGCTTGTCAGAGAGATGAAGTTTATTAAGCCTTGCACAATTCTGAGCGCGGCACATTTCCCTGCAGTGCTTCCAAGGCAACCTTTAGCTGCTGAGCCTCGTCGTTATTGACCGGCACTGATACTGATCGTTTCTGACCAGAACCAGAACATACCAGAATGCTCAGCAGCGTCCCGCAAGGGCCCTCACCTGATTGGCTGTGGCTTTGTCGTGCAGCTGCCGCACCAGGTCCGCCATCTGCGCCTGGCCAAAGTCCAACTGCCCATGCCATAAACGCTGTATGAGGCAGTCGATCCCGTGCTTTCGCCTCCAAGTTCATAAGAAGTGTCTTCTGCTGCTGTACCTGAAGAGAAAGGTTCTCATGGCTCTCGTAACGCGTCTCGTATGCCCTCATGCATTTCACAAGGCAAGAACCCGCAAGGCATTCACGAATTTCACGACTTGCTGATACTGGTACTAAGTAGCTAAGCTCGTCATCTTTCCTATCACTGATGCAGTCGAAGGGACCTGTGGCGCGGAAGCCTTGGCAGCTTTTGGCAGCAACACGAATCCAACTTCGACATGCTCTCTAAGCCCAATATAGAGGCCCAGGCCTTGTCCTGCATGTCACGGATGATACCAGCTATGGACTCCTGCACGCCTGATAAAGAAACCTGCCAAGGACAAACTGAACGCCATGGCTTTCCTTGTTGGGAATTTCGCGGTTGTATATGCCCGTCAAGAACTCATTTGTGCTTCTTGGAGCTTCTACTACTCTCCTCAACTCACTTGTGGGATATGCATAAATAAAACACATATAAAGATAAATATACATATATATGTGTATGATATGTCCAATTATTCGTGTTACAAGATATACAAGATATACAGCATCAGCGATCGGGCCTTCACGTGCTGATGCTCCACAGCGCCAGCTTTGGAGGCCACTTCCTGTAAATGATCAGTGCAGTGCGGCTTAAATGGCTTGAGCTTGCGAATGCAAGAGCCTCAACTGGATCAGGCCTGTTCCATGCAGTCCAGCTTCTTGTCGAGCCGTGACGTCATCGCCTGAGGGGATGCAATGACGGAACTCCCCTTTTAAAACACTCCCTTAAGGCGCCTCCAGCTTCTGAAGTTGCTCCATGCCTCGCTTCTAGTGACACCGCGACCCGTGCTGGGGCAATGTGTGGCGACATGTCAACACGTGGGAACATGTGGGATCACGCCATGTGCACTCTAGCAAGCTTCGTGCTGGCTACCACTACATGCGGCTTCAAAGCCTTGCTAGCGCTACAGGCAGAAGCTCCAGTTGGTAATTCGGCCAGTTCTGGCCCACGTCTGCTTACAGCTGCGCTTAAGTGCCCTGCCCGCACGGATGTTCTGCTCCGCAGCAGAAGCCTCGGCGCACAACTCCAGGTACAGATAGGCACAGCGTGACTTCGGAGAGACAAGCGTCACCCTTCTGAATGTTCCAGCGCACCATGCTTTATCAAATCACTTCAGTCTGAAACCTGAGAAAAATTGAGAAAGGTCTGAACGCCGGACCCGCGAGCCAGCATCGATAGCAGCCATGTTGATGCTCTCCAACGCCTGGTCCTGCTGCGACGTGGAAACAGACGGTCATAGTATGAGACCTCTGCATTTCGAATCAATGGGTCGCACGATTCGCACGTCTAAAAGTCTTCCATTCCCCAAGATTATGGTCGAGACTCAACTCCTATCCAGTGTCTGAACGAGTATTGGGTACATCTTGTTTTAGAACTGGCCCCATGCAAAATCTCTTTCTCAATCGTACTCTGATCTCGCCTGCTCAGCCCGAGCCCTGTCAAATCGACCCTGCTCATCCACGATGGAGGTCAGGGTCTTCTGCAACCTCACATCTGGTTAATAGCTAGGTCTGCGCAGTATCTGCTGCTGAGATGGGTACTGCCCGATGCGATCCCCTGTGGCCTTCGCACACAGATGGGTTGAAGACAGTCAGACCGCCTTGAAGCCTGGACTTCTCAAAATTCCACCTTGTCGACCGACTGCAGCTTCGCTTCCTGATCGGCCTGGCCAGCTCAAGGAGCTCTGAAACAACTCTGAAACATGTCCGTAGTCAGTACACCATGGTACACCATAGTACACCTCTGCCATGTCTGCACAAGAAAGTCGGTGGCGCCAGCTTGTGCTCCAACTGTTGGCCCTGACGTTTTGCTCCGAGCAGGGGCCAACAGCAGCTAGAAGAAGTAGCGTGTCAGTGCGTGGTGTGTCTCTCACCTTCTCCTGAAGCAGGATCTCCAGACTGGATACCTGCGACGACGTCGTGAGCTGCATAGTATCACACATCACACTGGTATAGAGTGAGGCCCACACAGAACTGCAATTTCGGATCAAGAGCTGGAGAGTCGGGAACAGGCCTTGTCAGAAAGCCTCTCCAAGTTCACCTCCACATTGCGAATCTGTCCTCCAAGATCCTGCCAAGGTCCAGTAGAGACTGGCCCTCTGGATTCATTCAAATCGGCTTTGCCTGCAAAGTAGATCCCACATGCGCATCCTGAGCAGAAGCAGTTCACTGTACTGACAATTGACAATACGACATTTCGAAACATGGCAAAAGTCCTCAGTACCGCGCGAGCACAACAGTGCAGAATCGGTTCAAGGCAGTCGTGACATCATCTGCTGTTGCAGCAACTACCTCAAAAGCAGCGTGTTGCGAGTCAGACGTTCTTTCAATTCACAGAGAGAGGGCCAGGCAGCAGTGTGGGACCTGAGCTCAATCCGAAACTTGCAGCACTGCGCAAATGCGGCACATAGGTTTTAGTCGCGGACGGCATCTCAAACAAGCGGGCAGCGACAATGGCTACAACATCAAGGCGAGGCTGCAGCCAACTGTGAGCCGAATGCTTGTGAAAGTCTTCTTGAAACCGTGATGCTTGCTAGCTAGCGGTCTCTCCCATGTCACATCTCAGTGTACATTGCATAAGTCCGGCACGACAAGCACTGTTCAAATGCACCCCGACTCGTCCTTTCCCCGCAATTCAACTGTCCGGACTTGCCACTCTTTCCCTGAGTGCAGCCTGACAGTAGTACGAAAACACGAGCAGGCATTCCAAGCGCGAGCCCCTTCGCAATCAAGATTGTGCTAGGTGTCGGTCTCGTCACTTTTGCTGCCTGCTACCTCCTGTCACTAAGAGGTGCAGGAAGTGCCCCACCCTCAAACCACCGAAGCAGCAACAATCACCCAGTGATGCCAACATGTGCTATCTAGGGGACATCATGAAGGTGGGAAAGTGCAGCTGATGCCCATGTCTCCTGCATTCTGGTGGACGGCTGAAGCTGTCGCCTTCGAGCCTGCGAGGTGGTTAAACTGCTTAGATGGCAAAGCTGTACGAACACAGGTCTGAGTGAAGACAGAGAACTCTATCGAACAATGAGCATCGAATGGGCAAAAGCAAAAAGACACAAACACATCATAAACCATCGGCAAAGAGACATAAACAGACACAGCGGCCAAAAGACGTGCAAACGCTAGCCGAGCGCCTCGAGGAGTCTCTGCTCGTTGGCGCCCGTAAAATGGAGCTGAAAACCGCGCTCCCTCTCCTGCAAAAGACTTGGACTTCCCAAACTTCGACAAGAAACGACAAGAATCCCAGCGCACGACTCGCCTCCAAATTCTGTGAATTCTGACGGACTTGCAGAGCCTCGCGTTGAATAAATATCATTTGGTCATTTGCGAACAGCTTAACTCGGCTGCACCTGTCCCGGGGCCTTAGTTTGACGCTTCTTCTCCTCGGCTTTGTTCTGCAGCCTTGTGCGCTCCATCATGAGCCTTCAGAACATTGAGCCAGCACTATTTGTCGGTCGCATGCCTTGCAACTGTTGGTTGTCAAGGGCTCCAGAGGCAGCACAGCAGCACAGCAGCACAGCTTATTCAACTCTTTCTTCTTTGCATCACGCATCGCAGCATGTCCTGTTGGAAGCCACGTGATCAGGAACCAAACCACCTGGCATTGCGCATTCACCGGAGCGCCGACGCAGCATGCTCTAGCAGCAGGAACAGGCACGGTAACCCAACAGGAAAGCTGCGGAATCGTCACTGGAAACAATAGTACTTGCCGTTAACAGCTTGGGTTGTGTTGGTCGCATCGTCACAGCTAGTGCAAAACATTGCAAAATTGCCCGACGCGTCTCAGACACTTTCAAACCTCTCAACAAACTCAAACTTTTGCAGTAGGACTCCGTCCATAGGGCAAGTTATGCTTCGAACCGACACTATCAACGAAAGTTCTATCGCGCCTCGGTTTCATGCACGCCAGGACCAAAGGTTGCTACACGTACTCGTTCTTCAACATCTTCTGACAGGAAACCCGCGAAACGTAAACAAAGACAAAAGACGATGCACGAAGACTTAAAGAACCAAGCAGACCATGGGAGCGCCCCTCTAGCAGCAAGCAGCAGCATGAAAGCCCTTCCTGAAGCCTCGCATTCTACAGCCTGGCCTTGTCTAGTATCGCTGAAAGCACACATACTCAACTCTTTTCTTACCTCAACTTGTGCTGGATGACCGCTCCTGCCTAGCCGGCTGATCCACGATGGCAATCTCGAGTACTCGGCTCGATAATACCTCGATCTCTCTTGGGCTCTCCGCCTTTGCACATCACTCACAGGATTACATAGAATATATAAACGCTCACAGAATATGGCAGATTTGCATTCGGGGGGTTGTGACAGGCAAAAGCAGGAAGTCGGCGCACCGCTTCAGGACCTTGAGCGTTTCACGTTCTTGGCGGGTGCAAAGCTCCAGGGTGTCTGGGAGAGCGACCTGCAGAGGGCGCCGAGGAAAGACCCGGGAACCATCCTGGCCCTGACATGCCCTGACGTGTCCAAACGTGTCCTGACTCACTCCTGACTCGAGCCTTGGCTCTGACATTCCGCCTCTCGAAAGCGAAGTCGGGAGGAAAGGGCCTGGCCAAAGTACAGGCACAAAAAATCCAAGCCGGGCTCAGCTTCTTTGCACGGGTCTTCGGGTCTGTTTCTCGCCATGAAGCCTCAGATGCAGAAAGGAAGCAAGTCGGTCGTAAGCCTCGCGCACTCCTTGGAGATGATGTGTCATGGCAGGAGTATAGTCATGCATAGGCAGGTGTCAGGCGAAGATGACACTGCAGCCCGTCAACCGCGCGTCAACCTGCCGATCTGCGGCCCTGTTGCCACTGGTGCCGGCAAATCTCTGATCTATTGAGTCTCGATGAAGCATGTGCACCTGAAGTGTCAACGTTTGCTTCGCCACAAACTTGCAAAGGTTCGCTAAAATGGCCATGTCAACAAGTCATCACTGCTTCAGGGCGGCTCGCTCAGCTCCCAATAGTCGAGTGACACCCTCCGTGAAAAATGTAAAATACGCTCGTCTACGGCTCAAGTTGTACCACTTGTGCCTCAGATGCTCAGGTGGTAGTGGCACAGTATGATACCATCATGCATGAGAAGATCTGCAAGTGACTCCGAATTGAGCTGTCTGCAGGTGGGACACGACAAGGCAGTCGGCTTTGAAGCTGCCACAAAGTCTGATAAAGCAAATTCGCGCAACGGCGGTCGGGGTGGATCGTCTTTGCCACCTGCATGCCTGCACCACGTGCCAGCAGTGCTCCTGCACACCTGTGTAAGCCCCCAACCCCGGCGTTCGTGAACATGTGTCATGTCTGTACAGTATCCAGTCAGGGGGCCAATTCAAGGTGTCACCGTAGGCAGAATGTAGCCATCGGATAGGATCACAAGCCAAAAGCACAACTTTCGCAGATGGAACGAGGGACACCTGACGCCAATGCCGGCTCGTCGTTGGTGCTGAAAAATGAAACTGGTGCCCGGGGAGCATGATTTTACAACGCAGAATAACACAACACAAGCAAGCGGCCATCTTCATGATAATGCGCTGGAAGGCATAAACAGGATTCCTCTCACCGATGACAATCGCACGGCCTGAAGGCGTGCAAACAAAAACTGGAAAGACACCATTTCATCACATGTACCATTCCACAACTGCCTTCTTGACCTTTGACTGGCCCAATGAGATCGGAATCGCTAAAGCCCGGAGGCCGTGCACCACCGAGGCAGCACAGGCCTCCCAGCACATGCAGTGCAAACTGCGCTCCCAAGAGAAACCGCGACACAGTGCCTGCATTGAACTGGCGGACTAAGTCTGCTGGCGGAAGAAGTCGAGCGCCGACCTGCCAGAAGAAGTGGCCATCCTGCGACGTGCGGCTACTGCACGGTGCACTGGGGCGGCAGGTTTTTAGGTCTCCACCCGAGACATGAGAAAGCGTCTGGGTTTAGCTTGCTTTGGGGTTTCGGGGATGTTTCGGGGTTGGGGTCTCAGGCTGTAGGGTTGCGGAATCAAGTTAGTGTTCAGAGACAACCATATGTCGCCGGGTGGTTCTGGGGTTGTGGGATTGGGGTTTAGGTTTGTTCAGGGTTAGGTTTTGGGTTAGGTTCGAGCGTCAGATTTAGTTGAGGGCTTCAGGTTTAGGGTGTATAGGGTTTACAAGGTTTGTTTGCGGGACGTGGTTTGGTAAGATCGTGAAGGCACTAGCGATTCAGGCGCGGAGCATCATCAGTCTCACCAACACTCATTGCTGACGCTGCTCGCGTCACAGTTTCACTGCCCAGTGCTCAGTTTTTGGTGTGATCACCGGGGTCGGCGCTTCTCCAGCAGATTCGATTTAGCGTGCATCTTGCTATGGGGCGCGTAAGGCTAATCGTGTCGCCGTACAAGAAGCGCTTTCTCACTGGACAAAGAAGGTTCGGGTTTGAGTAGCACAACCAGGACGTATTTGCAGTGCTTTAGGCTCTTGATGCTCCCAAAAGCTCCAGGCTGAAGAGCTTGCCGGTAAACCCCAAAAGACTTGACTTGAAGTATCACTTCTCCCGAGAAATGACAAACAGGTGCGATGATGCGCGCCTATGTTCTCCGCCTCGCGAAACGCACGCAAAAGCCATAAGAAGCCGCTGTTGACTTTAACAAGCATCAACAAAACGCAGGTCAATGAAAAAATGAAGCCCTCTTTTGGATGCCGGGCGGGGGGGGGGGGGGTGTCTTGCAAAGCCCATGATGCGCGTCGTCCACCCTTTCAGGCCTGCTGCCATCCAGCACGTCGATACCTAATTAGACATGCCGCCTTCCCTCCCCGCATTCAGCGCGCGGTGAGCATCACGATCGCCATCGGCTCGGGCTATCTTACCGACAAAAGAACTTGAACCCTATACGCTGCACCCATACCCAAATCCGCATCTGCTTTGGACGTGGCCAGCTGTGAGCAACAGCCCCGTATAGCCCTGCCCATCCCTGAAGGGATCAGAAAACATCCCAATCATTGGGCGCGAGCTCAAGGGGTCAGAATGGCAAAAAGAAAAGTCGAAAAGCAGCAACTCTGTCATGGCCACTGCCATTTCCCATCGAGACAACTGCCGGCATCAACAGCTTCAGCCTGTACTGTAGCGTCCTGGGCGTTCTGGTCGTCTGTGTTGCTTCGAGCATTCATCGCCGCAGGTGGGAAGAACTGAACCTGAACTTTCTGTGGCGGGCTCTAGCAGCTGGACTCGGGCAAATTCGGAACCTGGAGATTAGGTTGGGGATCTGGTTTGTCTCAAGCCTATCGACAAGGCTGTTAAGAAGGCTATTGCAAGACTAGGTTCAAGCACTGCTCTGTGCACTGACCACTCTGCTCTCAGCATATTCTTGTTTTCCCGGTGACTCAGGAGGAAGATAGAACCAGGGCTTCGATTCGCTTCGGTCTTTAAGAACTTGAGATGTGAGAAGCTGTTGTGACTTCTGGAAACTTGTGCATTACCCTTAAACTCAAAGCGGAAAGTCTACACATGTTCGCTCTTCGATGCTCTTCGGCTCGTGCACTCCTACGTGCCACATTGTGCCGGCGGTGAGACAACCACAAAGTATGACCGAGGCTATGGCCTCTGGATGTCTCGCCATGTTGTGCGACAGGGAGGATGTCCCGCATTTCTCAAAGCCAGCAACTACCTCGGTATGCAAGCTCCATGGCGGCAACATAAAGATACACCCTGGGCTACATCTTGCACCATGCAGCGCAGGTGCGAAATCTAACTTCAAATGGCGCCAATGCCCAAGCTCCGTTGCCAAAGCCTCCGTGTCATTCCGATGAGAATTGCTGCGGTCATTGCTCAGCCACGCTTGGACCTGCCAGAGAAGTTTCCGACAGCCCACATTCAAGTTGGCAACGTTCATCCTGCCAGAACCTGCCTCACGAGAACTGCATGACTTTGCCATGCAAAGTACCGATCCGGGCAGCTTTGCTGACGAAGGCGAAACCTGCTGAGAATTTGCACAAGGCAGCACAGGGCAGCATGCAAGACAAGGGGAGTGATGGTAATATCTGGCCTCCCACAGGCGTCCCCCGACGGAACGACACCGATCCCAAAATCCCAGCATGTCCTCAGAGCAGATGATGTGGTAGCTCCTACTTTGTACAACCTCTGATGTGCCGGAGATGTTTGTCGAAGCGGCATCATACATGTTCTCATGGGGAGATGGTCCTGGCGTGTCTATCGGCCACCTTGATGTCCATTCAACAAGATCTGGGTCTGAGCAACAATGAAGCAAGGCAAGAAGCCAAGTCCGGAGCATGACTTCCTGTGGAGGCAAGAAATTTCGAGGGTAGTTGTCCAAAACTGGTGAGTTGCACATTCGTCGAGCTTGAGATCCTGGAAAAGGCATTCCAGGGCATGCGATGACTGCACGCTCCAAATATGCGAATCCACATGTCCGAGCCTGCAATCAGCACAAAGGCTCTGAGCATTTTCAGAGCATGAAGATACCATGGCGCGCCCAGTATCGCAGGTAGCCGCCCTAAATTTGGTACATGGTTTGAGAATGCGAAAGAGGCAGATATAAACGTGCATTCACGACTTGCGTTGCGATGTGTTGTCTATTTCTGAAACATGGCTGTAACATGGGGGCTTTGTCTGACTCGGGTTTATGCAACCTCTGGAGCCCATTTGTTGGAAAGGACAAACACAGCTTGATCCAGCGAAGCAACACCTATACAGACATATATATATATATATGTACAGATGCATACGCCTGTTGTATAGGTATATATACATAATACGGTTCGAGCTGGTGAGTCTCCAGAGGCTTCTGGTAGAATGAGCCAAAGACTTCTTGTAGAGCTCATGATCCTCTTTGGAATCAAAGCTGCTGTCGAGCTCCTGAAACACGCAACAGCATCCGCTCCAGGAACAAATCAGTTATGTATAATATATATATATCTATATATATATATATAGCCTGTATTATCCATTCGTGCCTCTGGCATGACAGCTAGCTAGCTGGACCTCGGATGCAAGATGTTCGAGATTTCTTGGTCACCCAGGGTAAAGTACAGCAAAAGATGCAGCATCACGGCGTTGTACAGTACATTGCACATCATTCACAGCCACTGCACAACATTCGGTGTGAAGGCAGCATAAGCAACAGGCGGCTACAGTTGATCTGCGCAGACGCTGGCCACAGCACGCATGGCAGCCAGAAGCCACCACATCTTTGTCATAGCCACAGCATGCTACGATGCTAACTGCCAGGCAGCTGTCTCCCTGCACCATAACCAAAGTCAGTCAATACTCTGAGAGTCTTCACCAGGGCAAGTATGGAACGTTCACATTCTTGAGCCGATCTCTCATCGTCAGATCGTGCAAATCCACAAATCATTCCAGCCCTTACAGAGTCAACAATCGGCACAGAGTGTCAAGACACGAGGAGCTTGTTTTGCTTCTTCTACTCTTGCCATCAGATTTGCGGCCATCTCAAGTGCTGGTGGGATAACTGTCATGCCGGCTACAGCTGCAAGAAGTCACAAAACAGGTGAAATCGTAACAGTCCCACAAGATGCACCATGATCAAGCCGGACAAGGCTCGTCTCAGGCTGTGAAAGAAACTTCGGCTTGCTCCAGGTCCTCTTCTGTCGTCGACTATCGACAAAGAACTGTATCAGATGCCTTATGTAGATTGTAGAATACTGGACGACACAGAAGGCAGGTTGCGAGGGACCCGGGCAAGTGACCTTCCTGTGCAAATCTCAGGCAATGCCGAGACCAAGGCCTCCTTGCATTGCAAGAACCGTTCAGCCTTCGTCAGGATTCTTGCCTTACCTCTCGAGACTGTTTTAAGCCTCAGACTTGGGATTTGCTCTGCTCTGCCACACTGGTAGAACGCAGCGAAGTGCTCTATCGGCAATCCGAATCCTGACCTAGAATAAGGTGCACAGCCAAGTGCTGCAAATGCGACTGCACCATGCCTGATCCCCGGCACGGCTCTCAATTAGAACTCGAGTGCTTAGTTCGCAAAGTCATGTAGAAGTTTTCAATGCTAAGTGTGCTGTGAAACAGCTTTGTACAATGTCTCACCTTCTGTGAGGCAGTTTCGCATCCTGTCCATTCCTGTTTGCTTGATTTTGCTTGTATGCACAGCTCTCCTCAACTCAGAACCATTTTCCAGATCTAGAACGGCAGAGCTGGCTTGGACAAGATCCAGACGCGTCTAATAATACGTCTAAGAGGCTGACAGTGGTCGACGACTGTGTAACAAATATTCGCAGATCTCGCTTCCACCGAAGCAAATTCCATCTGTTCCGTCTCAGGCTAGATGGCAGGCATTCAAGTGCACCTTCAGGTGCTCCTGCACACACGCACGAGATCGCACGCGTGCAAAAGTCCAGAGTTGCAGGTCAGATGAAGCATGCAGCTAGGGCGGCTAGCAGGTCTCAGCGGAGGTCACAATCAATACCGTAGGAATGTTTTTGGGTGGCGCCAAGCTACGTTTGCAGAAAGAGAGGATGCAAAGCTACGAGCCATCTGGGCGAGGAATTCCAAAAATGGCAACCAATGGTTTAGGAATCTCCGTGTGTGGGCGCTTGCAGCCAGGCCATTGCGGAACACTGCAAGCTTGAGGCTCCCAACGTGTTTCAAGCAAGGCCGAACATTGAGAACATGTCAGAACCTACAGCTACAATAGTGGCAGTTTCAACACACGTACCAAATTGAAATAACCTTGCGGAAAAGTGCCAGATCCATGATGCAACTGCAGAGCAATCGAGCCTGAAGCACTTGATTCGAGTGTTGCAGCCTTCGCTGCGTCTCTTGCGATTGTTCCAAAGCCTGTCGCAACGACTGCACCTGCCAAGAGAACATTGTGGGAGCCCAATAGCGCTAACATGAATCTAAAGACATTTCTCACTGCTAGCATGCAAGCTGGCACCGATGGCGTTGCCTCGCTTGAGCTACCTTCAAGTTTACGACATCGCCCTGCAAGATGATGAACCTCGCATGGACATGTTTTGTACTAAGCCTTTGTTCTCCCACATTTCAGCCGTGATCTGTTGAATTACCTGCTGAGCCCTACACCGCCTTCAGGAGAACCTGACTTCAGCCAGCTGACTGGCGCAGTCAAGAAACAGATTTGTTCACAAGAACTTCGTGATGCCTTGTTCGTGTGCTGCAGGCGTGAGCACGTCGCCTCCTAGGAGCACATCCAATGCAGCTGACACACACGATTACACCATTCATGTCTTCTCGTGCTTGGCCCCGCCTCTACAGAATTCGCACGCATCTCTTCACGCAATTGTTCGGCCTGGCCCGTCAGAAGCTTATGGTATTTCAACAGGGACAGGGGAAAACATCTGCAGCCGAACTGCATGTGTCGGGCGTTGGCCGACAGCGTTTTGAGCGTGTTTTAGGGCTTGGGGGGCTTTGGGGTTTAAGGCGAGTGCTAGAGCTTCGGGAGTCGGGCTTTGCAGGGGCTGCAGGAAGCCCATTGTCTTGACCTTGAAACTGACAGTGACATTGAGACCTACTCAGAAACCGTACAGCTTCAAGCCCGAAGCTCAAGTAAAACTCTTAACCCTAAGCCTCAGATCGCAGACCGCAATACTCCCTTGATACACCTAAGCTGACCCCCCTGCGTAAACCGTAAACGACGTACAACCCTAATCCCAAAACCGCACTTCAGACCCCAAACCCCGAAGGCCCCGTTACAACCCACTAAACCCACGAACTCCTTAACAAACAAATCACAAACCGTATTTCCCCCTAAGGCCCTAAACCCTAAAACCCCTGTAGCACCCTTAACCTTTACCCTAAAACACCTTCAAAACAAAACCACTTCAGCAAAAACAACAGACGCACAAGCGAGGCGTGAAACTCGTGATGAAATTTGTCCTACTTACTTCTGCACCGTTCTTTCAGAAAAAGAGCAAAGTGCCCCAAGCCTCTCGCATAGTGGCTGAACGCACTTGCGACTCGAAATCTGTCAGCGCAGCCTCATGGCACACCAGGGCAGAAAGGCAGGGAGGTGCCTTCAAGATCCTTGTTGCACAACCTCGACTTCCCGATGCCAAATATCTTGTGGAGCTTCGTGAAACTGAGCAGGGCACGCTGCACCGTTGCACGGCCTGATGGCGACTGATAGCATCACTTCAATGAAACGTAAATCAGAGTACCGACATGATGATCGAAAGAAAGAACCCTTCCACAAAACTCCACCACCGCATGATGATTACCAGGCCTGCTCTATACGCAAGTGTGTTCGCGACGTGCAAGCTTATCGGACACATGCTTTACGGATCCCATCTCCAGCGGGCGCTCAAGCCGAAGTGGCGTACAGCACTCCTTTACATAGAATCCACTCTAGGAAGCATCTTCTGTACACGAATCAGTAGTCCCCGGCAACTTTCTGAATTTCAGTCAACTCATTGATTGAGGGTGAAAATTCGATAGGGTCCAGCATCATCGAGAAGCTTCCCACGATTTGGTTCGGATACGGAGCTTTGCTCGTAGAATTGTCAGATTGCACATGTTCGGAAGCCCCAGGACATACCAGAAGCCTCATGCGCAATGATTTGGAACCCTGGGCAGAAGCAAGCCATGGACCGGGGTTGAAAAACATCAGCTCACCAAGATGTTTCCCATGCGATTGGACATCTTCTGCTGACACGTACGAAAGTCCTGACTAATTTCTAGGTCGTGGAGATAGCTTCCGCTTACGTGTTGCAGTGATAGATTTAATACCCAAAAACCACAAGCAGCAGCTCGAATGCGTGATTCCTGCCGCTCAGCCGAGTGAGTTTGAACGATGAAACTCGGCTAGGTACAATATGCCCGATATATTCGAAGGAGGATTCGCAAGAACAGAACCTCCCATTCGTCAAGGTACGTCAAGCTTATTGAATGCTAAACTTTGCCTTGAACGATTTTCCTCCAAGAGTCTGGTAACACTGTGGGGTTTAACGGGGGATCAGATGGCTTGTTTCATGTGGGGGAGGGGCGGGGGGCATTGACGTAAATCCGACACTCATCCCATTAAAAAGGAGTGGGGTTGGGTTGGAGGGTATGATCCAGCACAGGAATGTTTGGGCCCTTGGAGGTTTGTCCCACACAAGAGAAGTCGGGAGGCGACTTCGTCACAACCAATTCCTCAAACGGCGGCAGGCGGCAGACTTTCGGAGACGGGATCATGGCCCTAAAGCCCAAGACATGAAAAGTGGCTTTGGCCGGCGAGGAATAAACGGCATGGGATCTTGGGGCGTTTTAGGACCACTCAGCCTCTGAAGAGAAAGGTACAATGGAGACCCTGCAAGGACTGGTGCTGTCAGAAGCATTCTCATTGCTCATGTATTATGATGTAGGGAGTCAGAATCCATCCAACCGTTGAGCTGGAGAGGAGGCGCACGCCATCTGCCCCGAGCTGTCTAAAAACCACAAGGGAGCATGATGAGCACGAGGGTGGGGAACGGAAGACCTTCGCTTCAAAATGCAAAAACCCAACATGGTCTGACTAGGTCTTTCCTGCTGTCCACTTCATGGCTTCGGGCAAAAAACGTCCAGGTCAAATGTAAAGCAAGACCCCTGCCCTAGGTTGGGCCCCGGTTGGGCCGTGCAGAATGCATCCACCAGACTTCAATCTAATGGAAGCTTTGGATAGCCATCTTCAGGCTGTTAGTCATGGAGCTCAACATGAATGATTTTCGCAGAGCTTCACCAACCATTTTGCATCAACCCTCTGCATGCACAAGTGGCAGGCACACCAAGCCTGTTCCACGGATGGACATCCATGTAGTGATTTTACGACGTCTTCAGCCCAATGTCGAACCAACGCCTGCAACCAGAGTTGCTGGAGGTTCCACACGAAAACCCAGAACCCTTGCCTCTTTGCTCATTCCCTCGCTCGATGGAGCAGCCTGGTACTGCACACTTACTGTCGCGATGGGCGTGCCAAGTGACAACTCGACTCTGCAACTCGTATCGCACTGCACCCGAGACTGGTACTGCAGTGCTGGGACCTTCGATCATGCCACGAAGTCTCTTCAGTGCAGGCTGATCCTCAGGCAGTACACTTGTCTCGTGAGAAATCAGTGCACATCAGCGCTGCATACCATTATGGTGTGATGGCCTGTACATCGTCTGGCATCCTGCGATACTCTGCTTCTTCAACTGCGGCAGCAGCAGCCGCTTCCACAAAGTCGGCGTCGCAGCCGGCAGCCTCATGCAAGTACTGTAGTCGAACCGTTTTCGAGGAAAACATAGGAGAAAACATTTTCAGCCGACTTGACTGGTCAGGACCTCTTGCGCCGCCACCAGTGCATGCTCCTCCGGCCTGGTCCGTTCTTTCTTGCATGTGTCGGTCCAAAGAACTGGTCTCGCAAAACATGATTGAGTCAGAGTCATAGCGAATCATACCAGCGAAGTAAAATGCAGCACATAAGGCAGGATCCCCATAAGCACATCATGTCGCGAGCGCTTGAAAAGAGGTTCAAGAAGCTCCTGAAAAGTTTTGCAAAGTAGACAGAAGGCTTGCAATACACTCGACGCACATGCGGAGTGGCAGTGCCGGTCCACGATGGCCTCTGTTGTCAATGGCCTTTTGCAACTGAGGAGCATCGCCTTCGCAAACGTGTTGAATGTCTGGCCATGGTTCTCTAGGCTCGAAGCAACTGGTGCAGCTGAACTCAGGTGCTTACTAATGGCTACGCAATGAGCAGCTAGCTTGCCCTGTCCCACGGTATCTGGGAATCGGCTGCTGCTTGAGCCCAACACAGCATGGCTGCAGGCTTAAAGAGCCACGGGTGCTGACGGGACGGCTCTCTGGCCTCCTCTCCGCTGAATGTTGAAAAAGACGAGCCCTGAACCATACACCGTGTCTTCCGATATGCGCCGGTGTAACCTGATGATGTTTGCTTCGTTTTCGCAGCGCGCTCATCGAGGTAACGACGCATCCTCCGGGCTTGCCTGCAAGTGGCATCTGCATTGTCCGAGCTATGATTTCACATATAAGGCAGCTTAAGAGGCGGCTTCAGGACTTCTGCTCTTTCTGCCTGCATGCTTCCAGTCGGATGGGCCTGGCAGGCTCCCAGCGTGCACTTCATCTCAGATTGGCATCACGTTGCCGACTGACCTCTGCACCAACAGGGTCCGGGGAATGTCTTCCTGGCTTCGTCCTCAGCTCTCAGATCCATGCACATGCATTACAAAGCATGTCGATCGGCACATCAAAGTTCTGGGGCTTGAGCTCAGGAGGTCTGATAGACCTCTGGTTGCCTCACGGCGCTTTCCCTGGCATGGCATCTTGAGTTGAGGGCGGGCAGGTTTCAGCAAGAACCAAGCTAAATAAGATGCAAAGACAAGAGAACGCACCTCCAGTCGCTGAATGATGGCCCCTTGGTTGCCATGACATGCTGTGAATGCAAGAAATCTTACACCGATTGCCGCATTGACCACATCGTAAAGGTAAGGTGGTGGAAGAAAATCACCCCCGTAGCTTCAAAGTCATACGTGTGCCAACCCCATGCAACTGAGGACCTCGACAAGGCAGTTTGCATACTTCTTCGTACCACGAAGCCTGCCTCGCTTATCTTCGGGTTCTGCAATGTGGCTGGACAAGAATTAAGTTGCAAACGATTGCATACGTAAGCCGGATGAAGAAAGCGGGGCTTCATGGGTTTCAAGGAGCTGCCTCACAGCATCACAAGTGGACTTTTGAGGCTGGTGCCACGTGGAGGGATGCCAACTATTTGTTGATGGGAACTGATGCTTCCTGCCAAACTGGACCACTTCATCACACTTCTGCTGCAAAGCCGCATCACTTGAATGCACTTGGTCCTTGTCTCAATCGTATCCAGCTTCTCAGCCCCAAGCCAAACCTTCAGCGGGCTTCACATCATTGCTTTGGGTTCGTGGACAATTATGGCCTGGTCCGATACATTGCAAGCAAATGCAAGCAAGAAGCCGCTAGACGGTTCAGGCCCTCGGGTCCATTCTGTCGCTGAAGAGCTTTCAAGTGCAAAACGCGTACATCCTCCGACCTGGAGCAGAAAATCTCAGAGTTTGCAGAAGAAAAATATGCCGTGGCCACCTCAGCCCAAACTGCTTCGCTTTGTCCAGATTGTCCGCAACATTGGCCTGGGCCACGTGTCCGTACGCAATGCTCATGCACCTTCTTCTTCACACCCCAGACATCGTAGGAAACGGGTAGGGACCGGTCATAGTGGAAAGGCATCCAGTCCGAGTTATTGCTGAAAAGCTCCGCCAATGCCTTTGCATCCACAGAAGGACCTCGGCTTGAGATGCAGAGCACTGCGAAAGCAAAGCGAACAAGATCGTTAAGGGAATCTCTAGCGACTTCAGCAATGTTCTGCACCTTGCTGTGGCTCTGTTTGCAAACATGCAGCTGCTGGCACTCTTCAGCCAGTCGAGCCAATCCTTGACATGCCCTACACCCCAGGTCACTCACAGCAACGGAACAGATAGCGTGCCTTCACGATGATCAGCACGCGCACCTCTATTGGAAAGCGGACTGCAGCACTTGTCGGAAATGCAGCCAGGCAAACTTCACTGAGCACAAGACTTGTGCAAGCTGAAAGAAAAACACAGGGAACATGCTCAGCACAGCAGGATACACCATTGAGCATCTAAGCGTTGGTTGCAAAAGCATGTAGAAAGCCAACCGTCTTGCGGAGCTCATCCCGAACAACAGTTCCACACTCTCCAAGTTAAGCTCTCCCTACCCAACCAGCCCAACATCGAAGTGGCTGTCTTGGATGCAAACAACGATTGCCCAGCAAAGTTTTTTCTGCAATGTGGCAGACTTGTCCTAAAAAACGGTTTCACATGAGTACTCAGAGATGTGTCCATTGGAGCTAGACAACTCAGGGATATCGACCGAGCAGGCAAGAAACATCAAGAAACTCAACCCAAAGTTCCTGCGTAGTACCACTTTCGCCGCTTTCATACTGGAACCGCCGGAACTTATGTTTAGTGCTACAACTGCCGCTACGAGCAAGATGCGTTTCGCGTTTACTACGAAGTAGCACTGGAATCGCTGCTTGGCAAAGCCATCGAAAACCTTATTCATTTGAAAGTGCGCAGTTTAGTCCAGAAATTCATCCTCCATCTCAAAGGACAAGTTCAGCACGTCACCCCAGGTGGCGGCAGCCACATCCAAGACCGGGCTGGCCAGGCCCACCCTCGTCGGGCTATGCATGGCTATGCTGCATGGACTCGTTAAAGGGCTGGTGGCGGGGGGCTGAGATGTTGATGCATGTTGGGGTCGTCACAATTCTGCAGTTTAGAAATGGAAGCTGGGCGTCTCAAACCCCTGGAAAAACACAACACGAACGACATTGATGGGGTTTGGGGCCTACTGGCTTTACCGGGTGTTGCCTTCACGAGGCTGGGTTGCTAATCATAATATGCACAGACTGTGAACAGGGCAATGCTCCTATCCAGACCTGTTGATACTCCTGCGTGACATCCACCCAACTTGTGGTCGAACAGTGGTCGAACAGCACTGTGAGTCTTGCTTCACTGCTGGCGTTTTACCACTGAGTTGGTGCGTTTGATGCGTTTAAGGCGAGAACTTCAACGAAACCCGCGCGGAGAGAACGCAGTTCCAGGGTCACACGCAGGTCGTGCAGCGACAGTCCGATACTTCCCGGGGCATACACAGCCCCATCTCGCCCAATCTCGCAAGCAGACGTTAGCGCACCGTTAGCCGCCGTTGTATCGTTTTGCATTCCTTTTCGTGCTGACCTCTCGGGCAGCGCCTTCAGCTGGCCAAGGACTCGCCGTCCCCGTGCAAGTTGAAGCAAGCTCCAATCCTTCAAAGCTGACAGCACTGTGGATATTGCATACAGAACTGTACAGCTGGTGGCGCATATTCAGAACTCTAACTCTGGCTCTCCCTCTGTCTCTCTGATCTTTCTGATGCAGCTGAGGGGCCTTAATGCCGCGCAGCACACGCTTGCCGCTGCCTGTGAGGCGAGGTTCATCCACAGGCTCCAAGAGCCTGAGCAAGAGAGAGGGAGAGAGAGGGGGGAGAGAGAGAGAGAGAGAAAGCGCGAGCAAGCGAGACAAAGAGAGAGAGAGGGAGAAAGAGCGAATGTCTCACGTGATGGTCGTGAACAGCTTCTCTTGCAAGATGCGGCCGTTGTATAAGTGGAGTTGCAACTTCGATTGAACCCGCAGAAGTTTGGGTTAAGCCCACTGACGCAGATACCTCTGCTTTCAGACTTGATGCTCAGTGCATCAAGCAACTGGCGTCTCGACATGTTTTATTGTCCCAATCCCTTGATGATGCCACAACTCTTCCTAAACTCCCAGAAACATCTAACAAGGATCTCTTGCAGATTATCTGCATGGTTCTGCGCTGCAGAAATATCTGCATAGCACATCGGACAAAAATGAAAAGGTATGCCTCACATGGACTAGACCTCTTGCCTTACGTAGGGCGGCAGGGCAGGGCACAAGTACAGAAGCTATGAATGAGTTCGCAAACCATGCCGAAACACCACACTTGTGGAAGACGACGGGAACGAAAGCTAGTGCAGTTGCTCGAGAATTCACTCTGGAGAGCAGCACTGACCGAACAGGCAAGTGCGGCAAGCGGTATACTTGGAGGAAACCGTTTATTCTTAAATACTACGTGAACGCTCGGTTGTTATCACATCCTTACTGATCAATATGTAGATATTGGTTCCCCCGAATCGAAAATCTAAACATTTGAGTGGGGTTGACCCATATTATAATTTGGAGGCTACGTCTAATTCTTAAATGCTACTTGAAAGGTCGGGAATCTTTGGGAGCTCCCCACCCAAAGTTAACAAATGCAAATCTTTCAGATGCTTTGTTTGACATACTTGGAGGGCCTCCGGTAAAAACCGGTGCAAACCAGTGCAAGCAGTACCGGCCAATGTTCCCAAGACCCAAGGTCCAAGATTGCAGCGGAGGGAAATCTTGGAAACATGAGCCGAGCCCGTGTTTCCAAGATTCGTCCGGAAGACCTCCCCGCAATCTGGCATCTTGGATCGTTGAAACGCGAGCCTGTACAACTTGTACCGGTACCGATTTGTACCGATTTGTCCCGGTTTGTGCCGGTCCATGTATCAGAAAACAAACGGATAAGACGAGAACATACTGATAATATACAGCTCATATAAAGCAAAACGCTGGGGATGGCAGGACCAGCAAACAACAACAATAGGCAGAAATCAGCCAAAAAAGCGTGGAGAACCGGGGAGGGGATACCACATTATAATATGCATGTTACATATAGAGCCGCTGCAGCACGTCCTGTTTTCCTGTTCAAGCTTTGAGAGGCGAAGCCACACGGAAACTAGAGATGCTTGTTTGCAAACAGATTGATGCATCGACATGCCGCCTGTCGAGCTTGCTGAATTTCGTTTAGGTTTGCATACTTCAGCTGATTTCCGAGCTCCTGGCGATGTGCGTGGCACCAGGTGATGCATGTATGAGCGACGGAAAAGGTATCCGAGACCTGGGAGCCACTGTGCAAAGACGCCGTCTTCACTTCTTGGCCGAATGAGTCACTAGAATCACTAGAAACAGCTCATGCGAAATCGTTTAACTGCCCCCTTGAACCTGCTTGTTTTGAAAGCAATGCTGAAACAAACAGATCACGCAGTGTTCGAGAGTGAAACTGAGTCATGCACCTCCTTCTAAGCAGGTATCGGCAGGATCTGTCAGCAGCTCAAGTTGAGGATGTGTCCTCATTCGGCTTGCCAGTCTAGCTTCAAAAACGGGAACTCAGAAAATCAGTACGATATCCCGAGGCAATGGCCTTAACCACGCCTTCGGAAACAACAGCAAAGGCGAGGGCTCTGACTTCATCACATCTTACCACATTACAGCCGAACAAGCCGCGGGCAGCAAGGGATGTGGTACCACTGCGCCCGACTCCAGCAATGATCCACTGAAGATCAACCTGCGCACGTTCAGACTCGAGGAATGTTGTCATGAAGCTGATGCACCACTCCATCAAAATGAAGCGAAGTTTTGAGTCCCGCCGAAAATCCCTGGAGTGCTCACCCAATGAAGCCTGCAAAGAGTCGAGTATTGGTGCCCAACCGCGTCGGTTTAGTGCTAATCGTGACGCAGGATAAAAAATGTTCGCAGTAGTACTTACTTCATGAGGATTTGATTTGAACTCGTTCTCCGTTTACAGTAAGTGGTCGTCATTTCCAATCATTTCTAGTTTTATCTCGCAGTGCCTTTCTATCTTTCTTCATTTCGTCCTTTCTTTCTTTTCTACATTACTATGTTCCTTACTTTGGATTGTTTCTTGTTTTCCAAATGTCTGTCTTTTCTGGTCTTTGCGAACGAGAATGACCTCAAAAATTAGGCACAGTCCGTGGGCACTCCAAGGATAGTCGGCGGGACTCATGGATTCTCTTGGGGTGGGCTCTCCAAGGATATGCCGGGACCTGCTGCGGGATTCTCTGAGGTGGACACTCCAAGAATACTCGGCAGGACTCTTTGCAGGACATTCCGTGGGTAGGCAATCCAAGGATAGTCGGCAGGGCTCTCTGCCGGATTCTCGGGTTGTGGGCGCTCCAGGGAGACTCTTTCTGAAACCGAGGTCTCGTTCAATGGGCCAGATCTGTCTCCGTGATTCGAACTTGAGGAATTCTGAAAACTTCTCGGATTCCAGACATTGACTGGCAAGGTTAGACTTCGGCAATTCCGGCGATAGGGGCGCTGTCGGAAGTTCAGATAGGTAAGGGATAGGCTTTGCCTTCCTATTTGGCGGCTGCTCCGGCAACGATCCTGCCTGCTGCTGCCGAAGTTTGCTTTGTGTTGGGCGTGCGCTGTTTCGACCATCAAGTAATGTCTGGCGACTTGCAGACATTCATGGGCTAACTACGAGTACTTGCGGGCCTTGACAGAAAGGACGGGATGCACCTTGTTCCCGCTAAAGTCTCCGCTCTAGCTTACTTTTTGTACAGCCAGGCGGGCATACTGAACTTCGGCGTACATGCAAATTTCCACAGGAAATACGTGCTTAAGAAGCCGAGAATGGGAATCGGACTCGGCCCACCTTGCCACTGCACCAGACGGTCAATCGCACTCTGAGTTAAATTGAAACCATCTTAAACTAAGATGTCGGCAGCTTCACTGCTACCAGGACTGCACTAAAAGCCTGCCTGGGACTTGGTTCATTATCCAGAATGACGAGCTAAACGCAGAATCCCAGTCGCCTGCCTCAGAGATGTGGGCCAATTCGGTGACGTTGATGCTCTGCGCTGAAACCGAAACACCTAGCACGTCCGCAATGAGCTTGTTCAACTCAGAGAATGCACAGCTACCTGGGCGCCAGTGTTCCAGGGTCTGTGCAGTCCACCATCTGATGGCCTTGGCGTGGACCCCAGCAGCCCTCTCTCTGGACATGTGCAGGATGCAGCTTAAGGTTTGCATGTTGAAACTCCTGGAACTCTTCATGGTTTCATGATTTCGTGATCTCGCGGTTCCATGCGAGCGCTGAGATCGTCACACTGGCAGGGCAAGCTGCCGGAGCACAAACACCCAGATCAAAGTCCTGGATTGTACCGCTTGGAGGTGCAGTTCCGGTCTAACCTTCCGTTAAGGTTCGAAGGGCTAGGAAGGCATCCATCAGACGAGGCTCGCCATCGCGTGCTGCAAATGCCTCGAACAAGGGCTGCTGCAGTCACCCGGTTGACACACGTGACACATGCCCTGCAGTGGAATGCTTCCAAGCTGCTGCCCCGAAGAATTGGCCCCCAATCTGGCGACATGTCAAGTAATGGCGCGCAGCAACGTCATCACGAAGTGCCAAAGCATCTGCCTGGTGGCTGCAGGTCTTTCAAAGCTGCCGCAAGAGATGTTAAACAGTGCGGCGCGCGCACGCGTGCGCGCTTCATCCATCTGCATGTTTGATCGCACGATCGCGTGTCCTCGGAAACGGAAGAATCCACTTTCGCTTTGGCTTGCTTTGGCGGGCTGGGAAAAAATCTTACTGGGATTGGTTTGCGACGTTTTGCGGTACAATGAAAGGCGCCCACAGAATGCTGATTTGCATCGTTCACGGTCGCAAGAAAATTAGTAGAAGTTGACTCTTTTCACTGGAAGCTCAGATTCAGAAACCCGCCTCGGGGCTGAGGTCGGCGTCGATGTCTGATGCAATGCTTCGCACCTGTTAAGACAGCTAGAATCTAGAACGAAACTTGCATCATCACATCTTAGACTCAAGGAACGCGAAGCACCTGTGCACCGAACAGGCCCTCCATCTGCAGCTTCTTCAGGGCTTCACAAGGCGTGCCCAGCATTTTGGCAGCATGCAGGCAGGACAGCAAAATTCATAGTGTGCAGCATGATGTCCTGGCTGAGGTACTTCCATTTGCATCGCTCGGAAATACAAGCTGGGTCACGCATCTCGTCCGCAATTTGCTGGCGACAAATAGCCTGCCAGTAGCAGCTCTGGTGCTACCGTGCCCGAGCTCAACTCGTTTTTGCGCCTCGGCTTCCTGACTGTTGCGTGGACCTTGGGCAAGAGCGTAGCAGTGGCACAAGCGAGTCACGAAGTGTGATGCGAAGTGTGACACAAAAGGACTTTTGCTCTCATGATAACAGCGCGCTGTCGTGCAAACGGACGGATCAGCAAGCATCCAAGGGCCTAGCTGTCTGAAGAGCATGGCCTTGCAGAAGGCAAAGACGCAGGATTTCCAGTGTTTGCTACCTCCGCTCAAAAAATCGGATCTGGTGTCTGATGGTGTCTGATGGTGTCTGGGTCTTCGACCATTCTTTGCTCTAGAATTCGTGGCAGCGCCAGAGGGGCAAAGTAGCCGAGGCAAGCATCTGGAATGCATGCGCCAACTCGCAACCTCCAGGGTGGACAAATGCGGGCAAGTCACACGTCCATGGCATGAATCTGCCTTTTAAGAACTCTGACGCTGAGCATGCTTAAGAATGCACAGGGATCTGGGTTTTGGATGTTTCACTCTCGGTACAAACACCACCGCGAAGGCCACGAAGTCAGGAAATTTCAGGGCTCTTCTCCATGACATCCTGTTGTCCCACGAATCAAGCTCTAATTACCATTCATTTTCCAGTACTTGTACTTTGGCTCTAACGACGATGGTCAACAAACATGGTCAATGACAATGTCCTGTCCAGCTTGCTTGCAGCCACAGACGCTTCTTTAAGATTCTTTTGACGGCCCACACACTCACACACACCTCCTCCTCCTGCACAGATCATCCGCAAGCATCCAACTGGCAAAAGGACCGCCCCTTGCGCTAGGCACTGTTTTCGTGACCTATTTGACTGAGGCCTTTGACTGAGGCCTCTGCATGTGTCCCTCCTCATGTTTTCCCTCGGTGTCGGTGCTACAAAAAATGCGAAGTTTTGTGCTGACGGCCGCCCCGTCCTTGTCAAGGTTGTGCAATGTATCATCGGTTTCCGCCCTCAAGGTGGGGTCTCTGAGCCGCGCTGGCCATACTACTGCTCTACTCAAACACTAAAGACGCTTGGCCGTCGCGAGCCTGTGTCAGATGAACAGCAAAGCTCACAGCATACACACATGCTGCCTGTCAGTGCTACATTTATCAAGAAACGATGGATGAGTTTGCGATGCGCTGAGAGCAGAGTGATGACAGCACTGAGATTGAATGGAGCTTCATAACTCCAAATGAACATGTGGAAGCAAACGCTGCTTATAGCGGACGCGAGGTCGACTCTGTCGACATATTGCTGAAGGCCGCATACGATCAAGAAGCCTACTACTACAAGCAACGCACGTTATGGGCAGTATAAAGACCGATGTCACTGATTTGGTTTCATCATGTTCGTGCTAGACTCTGCGAATGCATAACTGACCTTTACAAGCTTTGTCTAGGCGCTAGGCCAATGGCTGTCGCTGTAGCGACTGGTCTGCTCAATCTGTGTCAGCTGTAGATACCTTGGCAAGCACGCAGGTTGCCTATGAACACCGCAGAAATCCTCGGAGCCCAAACCTTGTACTCTTAGACCAAGTGCCTGACCTTCAATGCAAGCACCATTAATGTTGACAACATTTCGACAAACTAGGCCCAGGAACCATGAGGACAGAAAGGTGTGCGCGAATGCAACTCCATGGAAGGCGCAGCGGTCCCATGCCAACGCCTTGGTTCAGAAAAATCAAGTCTCAGAACACACGTTGACTCTTCTGAACACAACTCTTCCCGCTTGCAATGCAACGCTCAAGAACTGCTAGCGTGGACCACGCTGCTATGAGGCTCCCACCACTTCTTGGGCTGACATCAAGACGGCGTCTTCAATCACAAGGCTGAGATGCAAGTTGAGACCAACATGTCCTCACGATGCACAACCCGCATCAGAAGAGCAGAATGCACAGCTTTGTATACGAGTAGATAACTTATTGGCGCCTGCACGACTCAGCATCTCGGCACAATTGTGTGCAGGATCCGAGCGGACATCGTTCCAGATTCCAACGGCCTGACAAAGCCAAATCACAAAGTTAGAGCCTCACAAGGATTTATCGCTGGCAGATGCAGCCAGAGCCAGCGCCTCTGCAGATCTGTGGCAAGCAACCATCTTGGAAATGACTGGCTGTCATCTCATGAGAATGAAAGATCGGTGTGACATGGGGTCATGACAACATCAGTGTGATTCAATCGCACCGCCATAATCCGCTCACTCCGTTAACAATGAAATGCATGTCAGACTTTGTGTTACTAGCCTAACCTGCTCTTAGGCATGGCAGGTACGCTCAAACTAGGTTATACTCTATACGCCTGCCGCGTGTGCCTATCATAACTCGGGCTTGCGAACTGCGGTTTCAACTCCACAACGAGCAATGAGCACATGCGACTGCTCACAGCAAACCTTGGTCGCCTCGCACGTCCCAAGCTTTGGGATGAGGGCTTAAGGCCCAGGTAGGACCTTAGGTTTCGGGCTCCGACTCCACATCTCCAGGAGCAGGGATCCTCTTTCGGGTCCCAACGTCTCCTTTTGAGGCTCAGGACATCTCATGCAGCATCTTTAGCATCAGGGTTTAGGGTCAGGTCTGCGGTATTCGCTTGTTGTATGTCCCACTCACCATTTCTTTGTACCAGTCCGCCGACCGCTCACCGAATTGCGTCATCGCTGTTCGTGTCGTGCATACAAGAGATGACTAAGTGCAGGGTTACACTGCCACGAAAAATTACGTGCTACCATGGGTGACCTTTGGTCGCTCTCGGACCGTTTTGTTGTGGAGTGCCTCTGCGTTTCGGCTTGCCAGTGCCTCCTGGGATTTCCTGAGGCTCCCAAGAGCACTCACCAGGTCCACAAGGCTTCCACCTAAGCAGTTCAGTGCCTTTTTGTGGTACCTCGGCAATGGACTGCCGGTCTTTTTGCAGTTCTCGGCTGCCTGGGGCCTTGGGTGGCTGCTGGTGGGCCGATTCCCTTTTGGACCTCGACCCTCTGGGACTCCGGGGACACCGAAAGAAAACGTGCGCTGAGTCAGACATTGCTAGGGCTGCTATAGGGCTTTACAGGGATCGCGTGACGATGCGCGGCCTTTTCTTCACACGCATCAAAAAGCCGCCAAAAACCTACGTTTTCACCACCGCACAATACACCACTGTTCTTTTTGGTCTTTGGATTGTACGGTAGGCTTTGGGAGCTTTGAGTGTTAGAGCTGTTCGTCTTTAAAGTTCAGGGCGCCTAGTGGTTGGCTTTTTGGTGTTTTTTTTCAGAAGTTCAGGCTTTGGTCACAAGATGAAAATATCCATTTTGGGCTTGAGGGTTTGTCATTGTAAGCTGAATCGCTCAAGCAATGATGTTGGCAGTTCTTTCTCTTGCAAGAGCTGGCGAGGGTCGCAAAGCACGAAACTTGGCAATGCTGTCTTCGTCTTCATCTATCTGCCCAGCTAACAGTAGCGGAATGCTCACCACCCATGTAGGATGTTTCTAGCTGATTGTAGCTCCTCTTACGCTGGAATGGAAGCCTGCATGGCACCTGCTGGCACTGTCAGCTGGGTCGCAGCTTGAAATCAGCGTCTTCGACGCGGTGTGAAAGGTTGCTTGTTCAAGTCCTACACTAGTATCGTGGCGGAAGGTTGCAAGTGAAGGCGCCTATGTCACTGTCAGCTTGTCACAGTCTGAGTTTCTAGGCACGCATGCAGTGCACATCTGTCCCTGTTGATTGAGGCTTGTACAAAGAACAAAGCTGTGCGGCTCAATACCTGCCCATTCCAGCACCCATCCTGACAGGCTCGCAAATGCCGACAACTCAATGCTGAGGAGCTCAAGATAGCAAGAAAAACTTGGGGGGGCAATGTCACGGTTGAGAACTGTTATTGCTTTGGAAGAGTCTTAGACTTTAGTCTTGAGACATCTCCCAACAACGATGTTTGCCCAGGGTTGGTCCCGGCAGGGCGCGGATCTTGTTTGCCCCGCATACATCGAGCCTGCGGCATTCTGCTAGCAATGCTTCCAAGTCTTCCACCTGGCAGCCAAAGCCACAGCCAAGACGCTGGCGATCTTAGCGCACGTGCAAGCAAATGCCGCCTGGCTTGCCTCAGTGCCAGCACCTGATGCAGCCACTTGCTCAGTCTGCTGCAATATGGTCGTGATCTCCAGTCGCAATGTGGGCCAACGTTGAAATGCTGCTACGTTGTGATGGAAATCAACAACATGTCTTGTGCCTGGCTCAGCATCGACATCACCCGTGCATGCCTGAGGCAGATTCCTACACTGTCTAGTTTGCTTACATACCTCTGATGAAGCTCAGATACCCCCGTTCCCGGCCCTTCCCCCCACCCCGAGATTTGCGGTCCACCCCCCCCTTCCCACACTTTGTGGGACGCCTTGAGGAGCCAAGATCCGATGCCGCGCGAGTTCCAGGCTATGGCCCCCCTACCGTCCGACCTGGGACCCTCCTAGAGTCCGGAAACACCGAACACCTTTCCCTTGAGACCCCTACACCCAGCCCGGCTGCCGCGGCAGCGCGCGCAAGCATTTACAAATTACATTTGCGTGTTGGTCAAGATTGCTTGACAGACAGGTTAAAAAGCGACATCTGCTCCAGCGCGACCTCGAGCTCCACTGTAGGCACCTCAAGCTGCGCAAGTTAAGCGGTCACTGTTGACGACCTATGCGACTGTGCGCTGGCAGCACCTGTACGCCTCGCCATGTCGTACTTCAACAGTACTCAACATGCAACATGCACATGGATGCATCAGAGCCTCCTCTTGCACACTTTGGCCTCATCGGTTCTTTCTCTGCTTACTTGCGACTAGATGTTTGACAAGAGTCTTCAATGACCGCTCATTGGCCAAGCTTGTGACACAAGATCTTGGTCTCTGGTATCTTACGGAGACTGACCTGCGACCGGCATGTCAAGGCTAATTTTTTTGGCATGATCTCCAAGAATGCTTGTCCTCAAAAGGCCTGTGCACGTGGTCTCATCAAAGTCGGCAGTTCCAATCTCTCGAATGTGGCATCCATCTCCAGTACACCGACACTCCTGCGGTAATTACCAGGCAGAGTGTCGACATCCGCTCTGTGAGAACGGACATTTTTGCGGCATCCTGCTAAGACCGCACACAAACAAACAACACAGACACACACACAGAGACACACGCGCGCGCCACTGCTCACTTTGCTCTACATGTTGTCCAGGCTGTCTTTGATCATAGACTCATAGACTTGTCTCAAGACGCATCGGCTGCAGAGTCTTGATTCGTTGCAGCAGCGCAATCTACGAAAAATTGATGTCTTCGCCAGCATTCACAAAGTGTTTTCGGGGAGTTGCTTGGAAATAACAATGTGTCACGGCCTGGAAGATGGCGGCATGACATCAGATCCTCGTGAGCACAGCTAGCCACTGCCGGTCACAACACTCGAGACAGGAGACAGCACTCACACCATCAGAGCATTGACACAATCTTGAAGTCAGAGAGGTCCACTGCCTTGAGAGCGTTTCTGGACAAGTTCTCCATCGAGCCCACCCGCGTCTTCCTTTCAGATTCGTGTGAACAGCGAGAGACGATCATGAGCACCATCACATATCGCGAGACGGACTTTTTACTCCATCGTGGCGAGCTTCTAGCAAATGGTGAGAGTGTAACACAAAACGGAAGAGCGGCAGCACTTTGTTTCTCGATCAAGATGACAGGCGTGCTCCTGCAACATAAAACTGCATGAAAGAAAAGTCTTGAAAACGGACGCCAAATGACCCTTCTTTGAGAAAAAAATATTGCTCTAATCCTATACAGAAAACAATCTGAAATTAATGTACAAAAAATGCTGTCCTGGTTTCTTCATGACAGGCTTGGCCCTGCTAACTTAGCCCTGATATATGTCGTGGCTCTTGGCCGCCACGGCATAAAGGCGGGGAACTGCTGGCTACGTCGTAACCGCATGTCGAAGCTCGGCAGCTACTTCTATGTCGCGCAAGAGTTGCAGCCGATCAGTTACCTCCTCATGTCCGACTCCGCGTGGACTGCCGAGCAATACCTGCACGGCAGGCTCCATCGAGACCACTGTGACTTGCGTGTCTGCATTCCTCATGAGCAGACTACGACGCGAGAGTCATTTGTCTTTCCTTACACGGAGACGTATCGCAACGAAGCGCATTCGTCTTCGCGCCCACACTTGAGAATTGGCTTGCCCGCATGGGGCACTTTCTCCTGTTTCACAACGGAGGTTGACGTAGATGGACCCTGTGGTGCGTGCTGCACCACAGGCTCCGTGGGAGCACTGTCTTGGCTCTTCTTATGGCCATAAAGCCCTCCAAGTAGGCATCTGCCTTGGCCGCTTGCAACTCGGCTGCATGCCTCTCCTCCTTTTCAGCGGCAAGCTCCTCTTGCTGATTGTTGTGACTGAAGGAGTTGCGTGCAATTTGAAGAAACTCTCGTAGAAGATTGTTGCTATCTCCCACATCCAGCGTGAAGCTAGCGCTGTATTCCAGCTTCGGCTTCGTCGCTGGCACAGTCGCTACAGCTGTCTCAGGCTGTGCTGCCGCAAGCTGCCTCGGCGCTCTAGCTTTCGACTTGGCAGCTGTGCGCTTCTGCTGGCCACTGAAGAGTTTGGCCGAAAGCGCCTCACGGTCGTCCGTGACGCGGACTACACGAGGAGTGTCCTCCGCTACATCCTGGAATATCCTGGACACTGTCTGATGCGCCTCGCCGGGCCAGTGTATTGGCCGTCTCTTGGTCTCCCGGTACCGATGGCATTGGGAGTACCGTGTCTACTTCATCCGGGTTCAATACACCCGTGAACTTCGTATTCCTGGCTGCATCGAGGTCAAGTGATGGCTGATGTTCATCAATCTGCTGCGTGCTTAGCGAAATGCCAGCTCGCTGTGCCTCCACATATCGCTGCGTCGCCTCGCCCATGGCTTCTTCCGCACCTTCTTCTAGTACGTCTATGACGTAGGACATCTCTGCAAGCTTGGGCCTTAACAGTGAGCACTTCACATCCTTTCAGAGTCTTTCAGAGGGCTCAATTGATCTCAATCTGAGCACTTGTCCCGCTCAAGACTCGCCCAATTGTGGCCTCATCAGCATCTTGCAGGATCCAGTTTGGAGACGCGTCCTCGTAGTCCTGTCAAGCTTAGGTTGGTATAGCTTAAAGTCAACCAAATTGGTGGCTACTTTGGCCGAGGATCCCGAAATACGACAGCGTCATACTCCTCGTCTATCTGGTGCGCAAATTCCTCCGCGCGCTGAAAGCTAGATCTGGCGTACACAGTTCGACAAAGCGTACGAGACTGTTGCAAGTCAAACCTAGCTGGGTGCTCGGCCTGACATCGATGAGAATCATGTTGCCAAGAGTTGAGGCTGCCCAGGCCTGGGTCAGTGTGAGTGGCTTTAGCAGAGACAACATCTGCTGTGTAGGACAGGCTGTTGCGCCGTTCACTGAAAATACAGGGGAAATCTTCTCGCAACATTGTAGGCCACTCAGTAGGCCCCATGAAGTCATTCATACTTGTGAAGCTGTGGAGCCTCCAAATTCAAACCAAGTGAATCCTCGGCTTTCCAACCTTTGAAGATTTGAATACCGTACTCAATCGTGCTCGTGTCTTCTCGAGGCTGCTGCAGGACTCCAACTCACCACCTGAGGCCGGCTCTTAAGAAACGTAGCTTCAAGCAACTCGCTCGTACAAAAAATTGGGAGCTTCTACAACAAACATAAATCGACTGTGTACTCAAGGCCCCCACACAGGTCGGCAATTTGTTGAGAGATGGGACTCAATGTGCCCTGGCACAGAGCCACATAAACGCTCTCACCACGTAGCCACTTAGCTGCACAACAGTGTCGCCTCTGCTTCCTCAAGATCGTCTGGCCAATACTCTGCCGTCACCTTGCTGCTTGACACTTCTGAGCACAGATCTTGTATGTCGCATCTGTGAAGGCTGTTCCGCAGTGTCTTTCCACAACAAGTCGAGATTCTGAGACGCAGACTCGCAGCGCCGCGCTCGCTCGCACTAAGTTGAATTCCTCCTTGCCGCAGCACACTACCAAGTGAAATGCACGGAAGACTTGATGGGTAACTGAGTCTCTTCGTCACTTGCATCTTGCTCCACTATTTTACTGATCACTCCCAATTGCCATTTTGCATGTGCTCAGATATGTAGCCGCATCTCGCTCACCTGTAATTCGCCGAGGTAGATGGTGTTTTCTGAAGTCTGGTGTCAGAACAAAGTTGAACGAAAGCCAACAGTTAGAAACAAACACTGAAGGCTGAGCTTCCGGATGTTCATAGCGACATCGACAAGCAAAGGCGCACGGGACTGAACCGAGAACCGAGAGTGTAAGAGTTGATGAGGGATTTTTCAGGGAATGATTTCTCTCCCTTTCAAGCTCTGCAGCTGCTTGAGCTGAAGCGTCCTGGGCGAGAATCTCATCTAAGATTGCCGTGGGTGAGCCGACAGCCTTCAGGACAGGATGATCCAGTATGATATTCATTATGATACTTGTGATATTCATTTTGATACTCCTTCTGGTCCTCATTGTGATGCTCTCTCATGAGGTTCACATCCACACTTTGCGATATCTGGCAAAAGGCGCCTCTGCCTCGTCTGTCATGAGGGGAGCTGGAGCTATTCAGATGTTGTCTGAGTGGGTTGCACGTGAGTGCATGAAGAAGTGCTCTCAACATGCTCAAGACACATTCCGCCCTAGTTTCATCACATGTCTAGCCGCTAGCTGATCTGGAATTCTGAGTGTTCACATGACAATGAAGGGCAAGCAAAGCAGGCAGACTGGCAGTAGACTCAGTAGACTTACTGTAGCTGTGCATGCTAGGTCCCATCTTTGTCTTTGGGTTTTGCTGCAGCCAGAGGGCTCTGAGCTCGGTCCGCCCGGGTGGCGCAAAGCAAGATGCGCGGTTTTCGCGCCCATGGAACCCACATGTCACATCGTTTCGATGACATGGGTAGTGGATTAACATGCCTGCTACATGTCAACAGCGCTGTCACATGCAATAGGCTGAGCTTGTGATGCTCACGTCGCATAAAAGCTAGCTCATTCACAAGGGTCGCCCTCTGCTGGGCAACCCATGCAAACTCTAAAGCTGCAGGAATATGCACAATCATTTACATGGACCTGGCAGTTCTGAATCCATCTCTATGGACAGGCCAGACTCAGACCTCATGACGGTGCTCGACTGTGCCGGCAAAGCTGAGGTCTTCAAATTTTCAAGCTATCCTCAGACAAACTCATGAAACAAATTACCTTGGTTACAAGGCAGCATGGCAACTCTGTCAAGCGGTCCTTCTGGCAAGCCCAGCAACCTTATCCGTGAGTACACCTGACACACGATGAAGGAGGCACTGAATGGCTGGCATGTTGGAACTGAGCCGGCTGCGTCCTGTGCTGACGCCCTCTGCTTGAACTCGAACTGGAAGCAATCCTCAACCTATGCAAATTCATAGACCAGTCAACACATGGTCGAAGTGCTCTCACAGTCAAACACGCCAGCTCGACAATTGGACGCACACCGGCAGGAAGATGATGCGGGATGTAGGGCAGCTGCTTGTCAATCAGCACCTGTCACTCAAAACCAATTGTAGTACCCATCTGTACTGCACAACCATGCAGACGCTCAATCTGTCCTACCTTGGCGACGATCTGCTGAATGTTCTGGCAATCATCGTACGGCAGCGGGCCACCGAAAACCTCCACCAAAATGCAACCTTGCGTGGCAAAGATTGGCGTGGACAACGTTTGCAAACCCTTACCCGTACTAACCTGGCTGAGGCTGCCCTGAGGCTGCCACCCAAAGCCCATACATCGACCTGCAAGATGGTCTGCAAGTCCAACTTAAGAGACCATTCCCTATGCTGAAAGGAGCCTCCCAGGCCATGGCCCTTAAACTTCACTTTGCGGGTCGGGGACTCGAGGTGTCCCTGGTAAGCTCAATGGGTGCCGTTGGGATCAAACTGCGAGATACTGCAAGTGCTGTTTAGAAAAGCATGGTGTCAGTGTCAGCCCAAGCTATGAGTCAAAAGGCGTGCACAAATAGTTCGTGTGAGGCTCTACTCTTCAAACTTCAACAACTCTGCTGCCGTAGCCTGGCTTTTGGGTCGTGAGTCGTGTGAAAATACATACAGCAGGACAGAAGCAGCCACATGGCAGCGTGCCTTCTCGGTGATCTTGCCCTTGCAATCATAGCACTCTGGCCTCTGGAAATCGAAGTTCAATGAAACTTTTCAAGCAGCTCTGTGCAGCATAGCAAGCACAACGGAATGTTTTAGCAATTTTCAGTCTTAAGACTTTTCAAAGACATCCTGGTTGAAACTAACCATGGACCGGGGACCATGCTTAAGACAACGGTGCAGCCCCTCAATGATCCAGGCGGCAGTGAATCTATCCGGAAAACTTCTTCGTAGTCAGACTGAATTCGCTTGTTCTGTTCTTGCGGGAGTCTGGTCAGCTCTACAGTAATAAAGCAATATTCAGAGTGCAGTCCAAGTGTAATTGGAAACCACGACTGCAAAATCATCGAGCATCTGGCATGCCCGGGTACACGCCAGGTATGTACACGTGGACTTGTAGCATTTTTGTGGCTTGTTGTTGATTTTCTCGTCCTTTCTTTGTGTAGCAGGACGAGAGATACGGTGTCTGTGCCTGAGTATGTCCGTGAGCCCGTGTTGGATGAACCTCAAAAAAAGGTATAGGAGTAATGACTTGTTTGTAGCATTCTGACTTCACTGAACCTGCACTCACACTGTACTCGGGACACTGTACTGTAAGTAGCCCGGTGGTCGGAGGGGGGCCAATGATGGCTTACAACAGCCATGTCCAGACATGTACAGACATGTCTTTCGTCCTCGCAAGGCCAAAAGCACAGAACTGAAATATGACACACTCTTTGAGTCATATCTCGAAGCCAAGGCCTGTATCCTGAAACCCGAAGCCACCCTATCGATCAGGTGCAGTATGAGTATGGTGCGCTGAGCTAGCGAAGCTTTCACCGGCTGACTGTCCAAATCACTCCAGCCGGTGCCAAGGTTGGTGTGTGCTTGCACTTTTTCGCAACTTTCTCCCGAGCTTTGTTTGCAGGATCGATGTTATGGAGTAGATGCGCAATGTCTGTTTACCAACAAATGAAATTTAACAGCAAACAGCTGTCCGTGCAGCCTGTCAGCAGCACTTCAAGTCTCGAACTGGTGAATTCCTGATTTAGGCTGGTGGCGCCATGTATCTCGGAGAACCTCCGTTGCCGCCCTCCTTCAAAGTAATGTGAGTCTTCTCCATGGACCTGCTCCAAGGAGAACTCGTCTCGCTTGATTTGGGGGTTCAGTGAATTTCAGTGAGGGCTCGGCTGAGTCAAGCCGAAGTCACAGATCTTCGCGTTGTAGATTCGGTCCAGGACAATATTGAGCCTCCAAGTCGTCTCACATCTCAATGCTCTCACAATCTCCACACAATCTCCACACTGTCACATCACCGCTTCCCCAGCTTACGCGCTCGGGCTGCCACGATTTGAGGTCTCGGTGCACAACAGGTGGCGCATGACCGTGAAGAAAATCGACTCCCTCACAAACCTCTCTGAGCAAAAGTTGGAGCTTGGATCTCGAGCAAAGCAAATCTGTCTGCCACTGACAAGCACAAGCACAAGCAAGTTGCCAACTCTATGGGGCCTGAATTGCCATCTTGGACTGCGTCCCCAAAGTCAGTGGAGTACGGGCCTTAGAACTCTTTGGCCAGCAAGATGTCTGCAGCATCTCAGTGCACAAAGGACAGATGCACCTTGTGTAGGAGATGGTGTAGTGAGCCGCCAGGCATGAACCTCAGCTTTGTGCCAGAAACCTGCTTGAATCTGGGAAATTCATGGAAATTCCGTGCCGGTGAGTTTAAGTCGTCAAAGCATGCAAGCTTCGTTTTAAATGGCCCTCCTTGCAAGCATTCGGATGCATCACTTGTACCCTTCGGGTACAGAGGATGCATCGGAAGCTGTGAGCACCAGCTCTACAAGCCTGCATGGTGCAGACCGCGTGCCACAATCACCATGCTAAAGACTGATCAATTCGATGTCATCCTGTTCACCGTCATCGTCAACGCAATGCAAGCAGGCAGGGCAATTGCGGGCCACACTGCGCGCCAACCACTCGTCAATGCAGAAGGCATGGTACTTGCAGGGCAGCAACAATATCAGCATGAGAGGCGTGAGGCATAGTTGTTAGAGGGAGGGCAGGGGGACTTGAAAATACTGACTCATCAAGTTGTTCGTCGAGTCTACGCATCAAGACCGAGTATCGTTTTTAACTTTGTCTTCACTGACACTATGCTACCTCCTGACATGTACCTTTCCATCCTGTCTTAGCATCTTGTGACAATCTTGTGATGATGGCCCGAGCTCCTTGTGCAAACATGGTAGAACACGGAGCTGATCACCTTGCTGAAACTCTTCGCGGCATATCGTGCACTCCTGCTTCAGGCGCTTTGGCTAACTCTGCAAGTCAGAGCTGGTACACGAACTGGTATCCGACAAGTCATGCGTACGACCTCACAGATTGTCTGCAACATTGATTCAAGCGTCAGTGTCGCTGAGATGCTGAGACACGTCGAAGAAAATCGTCAGCATCCTGCACTGGGCAAGACAAGACATCGTGGCGGCAGAGCTGATTTTACGAGCGTCACCGATCATGTCAGTTGTCCTGTCCGCCACACTAGGAGCCACGGGCATCCGGCCCCTCCCTGCAGCAATCGTGGTAGATTGGTGCGCCACACGTACCCACATTGAGACAAGATGGGACAAGCGTCAGTTCTCACCTGTTGCTCAGGCAGCCACCATCTCGCATCCCATATGGTGTGCGACCGAAGTTGTTGCGCAGACAGGGGTTTGCTCTGAACCTCCTCGGCAGCAAAAAGGTCATGAGTTCCTAGATAGCACAAACGTTGACTGTCTTTGAGATGCATAAAGGGCCTCACGAGGCATCTCTCTCCAAAATGAACTTCCTTTAGGATACAGCCTTTTCGCTACTTTGGCGGGATGCAGCGTGAATGCACAAAATGGCTCAAAGCCACAGGCTCACAAGTTTTTTTCTGACGGTCTGACAGTCCGCCTAGTTGGCCTCGAGACTGGGAGATTGAATGGTCAACCTGGGCCTTCGAACACTGCCTCTCTTCCCAACACACAGCCGTGATGGGAATATGAGGCACGAGGGGACTTGAACGCAGAACTTTCGGCTCAGAAGCTTCTCGTCTGCCATTTGGATGACCAAATCAGTGAAGGCTTACATTGTTTACATCCCGGCAGACAATGCGCAAAGTTCTTTGATTTCTGCGTTGGCCTCCTCGGAAGGCTGAAGCCGAGGACTGGAGGCGCAGGGCTGAGGGCTTTGGCAGACGGCCAAGAGCTTTCGGAAACCACAACTCAAAACAATGAAAGGAGAGAGAGAGAGAGAGTGAGAAATGAACAAAAAAAAGGAGCTATTGAGATCTAGCTCTTCCGCAGAAGAGGTCAGTAGACTGACGAAACATCACCTTGGCAAGCGAATGCAGGCTATACGCTCGAATGAAGCCCTGGCGAAAGAAAAAACCCATTTTTCGCATACCAAATCACCTGAGCAGAGGCTTCAGATGTCAAGCTCTTGCCTGGCTATAGCTTCCTCATTACATGCGAAAGTTTATTGCAGCCTTGACTCAGCAGAAGCTGCGCTGCTTCTGCCTGGTCCAAATCCACAGCAAGGTGTAGCGGCGTGCTGCCTTCGGAAAAATTTAGCATCTGGGCACAGGTAAACACACATCATGCGAACGAAGCTGCATGGCCACGGCTGGCCTGGCCTTGATCATTCGTGACGTTCGGGTTGATTCCTCGGCGCCAAAGTCGCTCAGATGTCGTTGTTGCAAGTGTGCAACAAGAACGCAACCCCAATCCGCGTCAGGGCTCTAGTCTCAAGTAGAAGTATCAAGATGTCGACGCTGCCGCGAAGGGCAGCTAGGTGAAGAGCAGACCTTGAAATTCTGGCTTCAGTCTGCCACGCCCCATTCGCTTCAGTCACGCAAGCCAACACAAGGATGCACAGGTTCAACTGATTTGAATTGCTTCTCAGGCGGATGCTGTGCAACGCGGGTGTCTTCCCCCGTCTCACTGAACTCTCCGCTGCCCACAGCGGCGACAAGAGCAGCTTCTGCAGTTCTTAGCGAGATGAAGCAATGGGGAGGAACATTGAGAAATATTGAATGTTGAGCATGACAAACGACGCTACATTGCACATCCGATCGCACATCATGGCACATCCTGGGGCTCTTCAAAAACGCTTTGCAAAGCCTGAGCATGCCTTCGAAGCTTGGGAAACTTTGGTGCCGGACTGGCCGGCCGGCGGCTGCTGAAGGCGCTTGCAACGGAGCCAGCGCTTGACGCTGCCCACATCATCCTGCTTCACCAGAATCTGAAGTCCCACCTGGCATTGGAGCTTGCTTGCTTCCCGTTCACCACAGAGAGAGCACGGGCCTCTGCAAGAAATTCATCATCAGGCAACTGGCTGTAAGATGTCTTTCTTCTTGGTAGCTGCTGGAGGTCACCCTTCGACTCCCAGTCACCGACCTGGGTGGGGTGACTTTGTTGCATCCTCTGCTACAGACATACACACACACATAAAGATGGTCTGAACCCTGCAGCCATCGTGGTGGCGCTTTGGTTCAACTTCGGTGCAAACCTTTTCGAACGCAAATCCCGCCTCCAAACTATACACCAGGTCTGGATGAACCGTAAATTTCTAGTGTTCGTTTGTACATGCAAGTTGGACGACAGAGCCCTTCTGACGAAATGTCTACCGCAGCCTAGGTACAACGCAATAACACATTCACGAATGGTTGGATGGAGGCAGATATAGGCAGATGATGGCAGATGCAGCAGGCATCAAACGTAGCTCGCGAAATACAGAAACGACAAACTTGTTCCCAGAAACAATCCGCATTTTCAGCCTGCTTTGGTGGCAACGAGGAGTTTTGCAGACAAGGCTAGGCAAGAACACAACCAGGAGAGCATCTGCATGCTGGGGCAGCAAGGATGCGCACAGCTATGGTTGTCTGCAGGTTCAGGCGGCGGCTTTCCCGATGCCGATTTCATGCTGCAGTTGGTTCTGGTTTGCAAGGTGAAGAAAACGTTTCACAGGAACACTGCGAAAATGATGCCATCAGTGCTTGCACTAATTATAGGGTTCCGACGTTGGGAGAAAGGAAACTGCATGGAGTCTTCCCAGGGTGGGCGGGCACGCATGGGGGCTCGAAATCGATGATCAAGAAGAAACAGAAGACGACGTCTCGTGCAAAAAGTCAGACACCAGGAATGGCGCACGACACAGATGAAAAGATATTTACATAAAAAGTTGAAGAATGGAAGTCATCATTTTTGCAGACAGAAATGCTAGAAGGGAGTAACCCTAGGGCCACTCAGTCACTCACTCACTCCATCTCTGACCCACTCACTCCTCGACACGTAAATGCAACACGAGATCGCGACTTTGACTTGTGTCCAGGAGGATGATGTGCCCTTGGTTCGAAAGCTGTCGAACATGTCCATGGCTTTGCAGTCCATCACATTGCAACAAATATGCTGTGTAAGCAGCATGTAGCTGCACGAGCTAGTCTTAGAGCTTGCAAACAGGGCTCCTCGGGTGTCTCCCAAGATGACCTGGGATTGTCATCGTATGGATCGCTTCCCGCATCAGCATGCTGCTCTGAGGGTAGAGTGGCTTTCCCGTAGCCGACCTTGTCGCAATTTCTGCTGGCAAGTCCAGGGAACAGCAACATTCAATTTGCTCCATATACAAGCAGACTTGGCCATCACTGTAACCTCTACCAGACGTGCCTTCTCGGGCGCTGGGGGTGGTTCCGGTGGTAAGCTGTCCAATGGGACTTGTTCTGCCTCGAGCATCCTGTCACAGGGAAGCAGAGCACACTTAGCCGTAACTTGTTGTTGCTTGCTTGAAACTTGCAGGCTTTTCCCGTCAAGACTCGAAACTACTTAAACTTAAACCCTTGCTTGGTTGAAGCATGCTCTTTGTGCTTAATTATAAACGTCTTCTCACCATCTCACCTTTCAGGGCATTCTATCGCGATTTTTCATGCTATCCTCTGGGGATTCTGGTTCCTGGGTGAATGTTTTGGGTACCCCCCACGGAAGTCCTGGGAGCCTGGGAGCGAGCCCCGCCGCGCATCATCCAAACACTGCTCGCATGACAAGTTTGGAAAACATTCGCATGTTTTTGATGCAATTTGTTCATGGCATGATCTTCCTTACAAGCAAGTTTGGCAAGAGCCAAAAGTAAATAAACAAAAACACATATGTATATATTTATGTATATATATATGTATATGTATACAAGCGCGGGGGGGGGGGCTCCGTGGTTCGCTGTTTCTCGCTCGTGCTTGTTTCTTTCTCTATTTCCTTCTTTCTTTCTTGCCTTCTGCCTGTCTATACATGTCTATACATGTAGAAGAAACAAGCTTTCCCAATCTAATATAGAGGACGTAATAATAAAAGAAAAAAGAGACAATAGAGGTTCTCCGAATGAGATGTATGTGAACACAGGTTTTCCTGAGAAAATCAATATAAAGCAATCGCCCACAAACATATAGAAGACTCAACCAAAAGAAACAGAGAACATGGAGGATTTCCAGATAACAGACTGATTTTTTCCGAGAATAAACTCAGGAAAATGGGACCAACAATATATAAAGGGCCAAATCAACAAAAAACAATGCCAAAAAAAATGGTCTCCTCTATCTCTGTTTTGGGTTCCGGGTTGGCCACACAATGGTTCCGTTTAGGGCTTTTGACTTGCCACCCACATCTCCTTTTAAAGATTAGAGCTTGCCGCCCAACAACCCCTTTTAGGGCTTACGGCTTTCCACCGATGCAATGTTTTGCCTAATTACCCTGAGACAACAAGTTACAAGTAAGCAAAATACAAGTTAACACAAAGAAAAAAACACATCTAACAGAGCTACCGAAGCCTGCAGCGATGCGCAAGAAAACCTCTTCTAGCCCAACGCACCTTCTGATCAAGGCTTTGCCATCTGCGATGCTCTCTTCGTCCCATGAATTTGTTGCTGCCATATCCTGCCATGAATACATCTCTGAAAGTGCTTGATGCTTGATGCATGAATGGGGTTCTCTTAAAAACTAGAATCCGGAACACTGCGATCTAGTGGCGACGCAAGACATTAAAGTGGAGTTTCCCTGCTGAAAATGAGACTGCGCCTGAAGGCTACAAAATGGTGCAAAGGCCTGGGCATGGGCATCCATACACAACCAACTGTTTTGGCATACGATTCTGGTTTGGGTTTTTGAGAAAACTCTAGACATGGGTGTGGGGTGAGATTTACAAACTCTCCTTAACCTTAACCGGTACGTTTGACTTGAACCGTGGGAAAGGGAAGCCAAGATTGCGCATTTTGGCATTGTCCGTGGTTCGGGACGGTATAGCAGCCCATTCAATGAATCATGTGCTGCACGCTCCTTGGCCGATCGACCAAAGAAGTTTCTCATCTCGACAGAGGCATGTGCCTGGCATTCATCAGATCCAAGGCGATCGCCTGAACATGATTGGGCAGCCGCCTTGAGCAGACAGTGCACGGCTCTTGCACGACCAAGGTCTGTGGCCAAGTGCCTGAGAATTGTTCGCTTCTTGTGACTTGCACTGGAACATGGGGGGGAACTGCACCTCTTGACATCATGTCAACCCTGTAGTTTGGTGTAACGTCGTAACTGTTCTATGGTCCCGGCAAAGGCGTGTTCCCCTGCGCATCAAGCACATCGACCGGAACCTTGGCGGCGGCTCTGAAAGATACTGACATAAGCCAGATCTTTGTCTTGGGCGTCATGGGGGGCGGCCTGCCTCCTCTTGTAAGAACAAGGAGACGATCTCGGCACGGCCGCGGAGCGCAGCGCGGTGGAACGCTGACTTGGCACTTCGGCCCTTTCAGCAGGGCAGACTCAGACTGGACTCTGGACAGAAAAGCCTTGCTGCCACACTATCCCGCATGACAGCCGGTGCACGAAAACGGTATCCGCCGAGGCCTCGAGCCACAGGTGTCTAGGTAAGTACCCCACCACCAGTCCCCTCCCCAACACACCTGACGCAGTTTGCGCCCCTCTATTTGGTACTTTTGCTTGGAATGGGTATCCCGTAGCCGACAAGTATGTGGGAGTGGACGGTGCATCAGGAGGGTGTCTCCTTTGAAACCTGCTGCGGCTGCGAAAAGCCAACAGCAGCGGACGGTGCATCAGGACCAGGTAACATTTGGCCCGATCAAAAAGGGACGGCACCAAACTCGGCGTCTCCCCCCCTCGCCCCCTCCCCTACCTCTGCCTGTTTGCTCATCCCTTACCCCTTCTTTGGTACTGGTACTTTCCCGCCGCTCCCCTGCTCTTTCTTCCCTCTTCTGTCCAACTTCGCTGTCTTACCGTCTACCCCTTATTTCCGCCTCCCCTGCCCTCCCACCCCCCCCTTCCCCCTCCACCTTGCCGTTCCCGCCCCCACTGCCCTCCCGCTCCTTTTTTTCCCGCAGCCCCCTTTTTTGGGTGGTTGCATCCTTCTGCGTCCCCCGCCTATACCTCACCGGTTGTCCTTGCCGACCTCCCTTCCCGTCGACTCGGCGGAAAAAAAAAAAAAAACACATGAAGCCTGTCGTGCCGACCTTGCTTCGCAGCTGCGGTGGTGGCAAGCACCGGCCGAGGTGGTATCATTCTTTTAGGTCTTTCTCCCCACAGCCACAGGCTTGCAAGGGTGCAGCGGTGCAGCCGAGCCACCTCGTGTTCACAAGTGATGATCTCATTGACGACAGCAGCCTCTGACAAGCTTGAAGTCATTGAAGTGACGACGCGGAAGCGCAGGGCATGCAAGGAAAACGAATGAAAACGATATGAAACCGCATGCCATCTTCTTGAAGCCTGGCCATGCGTCCTTCGAAGTCGGTCAAGATGGCGTTTGACTCCATCGAGATCACCATCTCCGACCAGGCTTATCAGTGATGCATCCATGGCTCGATGATCTCGAAATTCGTGACAGGAAATATGTCATAGGCAGAACTGGGGTTGGCGGTCGTCTGCACTGAGGAGATCGAAAGTGGCCTACTGTGAAGACTATTGCTGAGGCCACAGTATCCACACTCAAGCGATGGCAATCAATTCGGGCTGTATGGCAACAGTTGCGAAGCAGGTGGCATGCCAAGCCAAGACAGGCAAAATCACTCAGGCCGTTGCACTGCTATTCACTTGCATTCACTCGGCTTCGTGATGAAGCTTGACGGTGAATGAATGATGCCGTTCTGAGCTGCTGGCTCGGTGACTATACACAAGTTTGGCGGCTGCAAACACCTCTGCAAAGAATCATAACGTGAAACAACAACAGCACGTTGAACACAGAAGCGTTGCGCTGGGAACTATACGCTCCAATGAAGCCCACGAGGCGTGGATGGTTCAGACCTTTAACATCGGCGTATCAGAAGGTGATCAGAAGGTGATGAGAAGGTGATGTCAGTCTGCTGGCAGCTGATGTCGTCGTTGTTGGAACATCTAAGCTGATCTCAGGCTCCTACTTCGAAGAGCAGCCACCTGAGACTGGCTTGGAGCTACGACGATTCCAGCGTCTCCACATTTTTCTCTTTTGTTCCTACACTCCAACACTTCTTGCTCTTGCTACTTGCCAGCCTCCTTCTCCAACTCTTCCAGCTGCAGTGGCGAAATGTTTCCTTTATGGCAAGGGCATCACAGAGCGTTCAGACCCTGGGCCTAAGATCAACGGCCAACATATGTTAGCATGGCACGCCTCCATCCTCACAGAACAGCTTCTTGATTGCAACCTGCTGGGGCATTGCGGCATTGCTAGATGGCTCCTGTGCTGTTGAAGTCGGAATCTTCCCCCGAAGTGGCTTCAACTGCCGCCACTTCGGGTCGCATCAGTCGTCGTATGCCGTCGTCTGTCGTTTTGGTCGCAACAAACTCAAAAGTAGCCGTAAAGGAAAGCAATATCCGGGTCATTGCAAAATGCAATGGAAAGGGCGCGAGCAAAGATAAAAGCCAATCACATAACAACAAGCTGGCATCTATAGTACTGGGTTGGAATGCATAACAGAACACGCCCAACGCAAAATACAAAAAATGAAACTGCCGACTAAGAAACCCCATGATCTGACTGCTTCCGGGCCTTCCTTGGTTGTCTCAGTCCCTCTTATAGTCCGCATGAGTCCCGGGCACTGGGAACGGAGTTGGGGCCTTTGTCCCTTTGATTGAAAAGTACTAGGAATACAAACCCACGCTTCAAAGTTGGCTTCAGGACACTCTAAGAAGGCCAGGGCTTCTGGGAAGCGTGTGTTTGGGGCTCTTGGGCGGCTGGGATTACGGGTTGGAGGTTTGGGAGCGACCTCCCCAAATCCACAAGATACTCCAAACGGCTCGTATCCCCGCTAGTACATTCTTCATTCTCCCTCTTTAAGCCTTAGTAGGGAGACACCACCGACGTGACTCGGGAGAGACCTCAGAAGATCAGCCCAAAAAGATATAGAGCCCAAAGTCGGTCCTCGGGGTTTCTGCGCCGCAAAATTAGGCCCCGGAAGGGCTCCACTTCATACTTAGAGGAGAACCAAACCCCAATCCAAGGAATGACACCCCACCACGCAGCGCAGTCTGCCCAGCCTCACGGGTGCCAAGAAATCCTCTGTACACAGCCCCAAAACCACCAGAACCCAAGCAATCTTTCTGCGTCAGCCTCAGCAAGCAACACCAGTTTCACCAGATGCAACACACACCAAACTGCAACTGCTTATAGACTTGGCTGAAGGCTGCGAGAAATCAATCATCTCGTGCTTTGCTAAAAGGATCTTCCTTCCTGGAGAATTGAAGTGCAAGTTGTGCAGACAGGCGCTCAAAGCATGCACCACTTGTCGTCCTTGATCTAGCGAAGAGGCAGCGGCTCGCCCCTCCTTCGCTTCGATCGCTCCAGACATCCTGGAATGAAGTGATGAACAAGTTTCTGCGTTGCTCAGGAGATCAGGAAGGTAGATGGATATGGAAGAGCGGCACGCGGTCCACTGTCGTCTCTCTGGCCCGGCTGCATCGCTTGGTGGCGATGGATTTGACACCTAGCTTCTGAAAGATGCAGATCGCATGTCGTAGCAGCCACAGAGGGTCGGAAGCAACCTCTGAGCAAAATGCCCAGGCACGACGATCTGCAACCTGCCCGTGATGGAGGATAATGACAAAATCCCCTCACATCATATCCTGGTGTTTGCACAGATCCGCTCTCAGGATGTCTTGGATGCCGACTGGCGGAGAAACTTCACTCTTGGCTTTCACCTGTGCTGAGGAGCTCGCACTTCACAGATTGCTCAAGGCATAACTCAAAAATAACAGCACGCACATATATACGATTCGCACACCGCACCGACCTGACTCTCCGGGGAAGAGGCACTGAACCTGGGGTATGAAAACCTACTCAATGGAATTTCATTCAAGCAGCAAAGGGCAAAGTCTCTTGGAAAACGGCTCTCGTGCAGGGCCCTGCCCTGCGGACTCAGGTGAGCTGCCCTTTCCTGCTTGGGATGATGGGTCTCGGAGTCCCATCTCCAGCTCCTGCTGCCGCAACGATGTGTATTTTTACACATCTTATATGTACTTCTGCGTACATCTATTGTGCGTATATCTCAAAGAGGAGAAGCTACGAAGACCTGACACAGCCCGACACTCCATGGCCTCCACATGGCCTCCACTAAGTATGAAAACTCAAAATTTTCTGCATTGTCATGATGGTCATGAGGCGAGGTTTCGCAAACGTCAGCGAGGTAGAAACAGCACAGCAAGGGCACTCTAATCTTCGAGATGTCGCAGACGGGATCATAGCTTGAGCGTGTTTGATGTCACCCTTTCAGCCTGTCCTTTCACAACTCGAAAAAGAACACCCGAAAGCAATCTTTCATTGTGTTATTACTCACGGGAGCATCAAGTATACTGATGCGCCGTGAAAGGTTGAATTGAAGACGGCCTGACACATCAGTACCGTTTGCTCTGAAATTCATTGGCTTCAGTAGCAGCCTCCGGACTATGGGTCATGAAACTGACAGCAGGCCCTCTATTGAGCATCCTTCGCCATCAGCTCCACCAACTGCCACGCCTTCCGGAAGCTGCAAATTGCCGCACTCGAATGCCAAGCACGGTGGACATTCAGGTTGCCTGCGCAAGTGTGACATCCAGGTCGGACATTGAGCGAAGCTTTGCCACCAAACCTTCGCACTCACCTCACGGGATTTACGGAGTTCACGCAGTTCAGATGCAGGGAGTCTTGGAGTCTTGGAAGTACTGCCACAACTGCCACAAGTGCCTTTGACGATGCTGTCCTTGCCAGAGCTGCACAAGTGCTCGAAGTTCCTGGTTGCTCCATGGTCGTTCCACTTCCACTCACATCTGGGGCAATGAGCAATGTCAAGCCTGTGGCTTTTGCGAGCTTCGGTAAGCTGGTAAAGGGCTCCATCCATGTCCTGCGGGATAAGTCGATGAAAATGTTGATCGAGCAAACAATAGCCAGCAGCCAAAGCCCTCACGACCTGCTGCCCCATCATTGCCAGTGCCATGTAAATCCGAGCTGATCCTTTGACAGAGCCTCAAAGCCATCAGCCGAAAGAGAATACTTTGAATACTTCGCCGACCCGCAAAAGGCGTTCAGAGATCACTGTGACTCCTGTGACCCCTGCTTGCCCACCTCTGAAGCACTCTCAAAGTGTCCGGCCCCAACCCCATCCAACTCCCCCCTCCCCTTCGTTCACTTGGGAAGCTTTGCATTGCAGACTCTGGGGAATAGTTCGAAACGCCCTCGAATGAGTTGAATGTGGCATTCACAGAAGCCCCAAAGAAGCCTTGGCGGCCAAAAGCTCTCCCGAACCCCCTCGAGGCGGTCGATGCGCAAGCACTTGTGGAATTCAGAATGCACGCAAGATGCACGCAAGATGTATTAAGTTGTACTTAAGTCTTGCTTGGGACGACGCGAGGCAAGGCGACTGTGCCACATCGCTGCTGCAAGGCACGCTGGAACAGCTGGATCGCCTCGTTAAATACTGATTTGATTTGAACAAGGTCACGTCTACGCCTTCCACTTGTCTCATATTATCTCCACCTCCTGCAAGTCTCCTGCCAACAGCTTGCAGCAGCCGAGGCGGACCAGAGCAAGTGCCTCGTGCAAACGTCAACTGTGCCCACTTAGATTCGAAGATTGTGAGACAGTGTAGCTATTTTGGGGATCCGAGGGCGCTAAGGCTGAGAGCCCTGCGTGATTTTTCTCTACCGCCAGGGCTTTGCGGTAGGAGGTTTCAGCCTGCACTTGATGGGCTAACGCCTCTCATTGCCTCATGTGACTCATGTCTTTGTGCAGCACACATGTACAGGCACGCCGCGTGCCTGCTCTAGATCTTTCATCTGCATGTGGATGAGACCCTGCGTGATGAGAGAAGACACCTGAAGAAGGCAAAAGAGTATCAAGAGTCAAGCACAGCTGAACAGCGGCAATGCTGCTGCTGTGCTAAGGATCTTACATGCGATGGCTCCTGTTTCAGGGCCAAGGAGAGCCTGAGTTCGACAAAGCACGATGGCTGCCTCGAAGTGACAGCACTGCACTGTGCTCCGTACTCTGCCAAGGCATTCGTGTACTCGCCCTTTCTCTCATAAGCCTGGAAAGTGGAAACGATGATCAAAGCTTGTCAACCACAGCGCGTGACATTATGCCTGGGCCAGCCAATCGTGGATTTCCACTTTTAGGTTGTCACTATCTGCGGAGCTCAGGTGGAGAAAGGCCTGATGCAAATCAGTCTCAGTCAGTTCATCAAAAGATTTGGCATGATTCTTCAGGGGCCTTTTTCAGAGTGGCAATGGAAGAATCAAAATCAGCCATTCGGTTCTTCACCAGAGCCAAGATGAAGAGGAAATGCGGGTGATTCCTTGGTCTGTTCAACGGCACTTCTGCAATAATCGGCGAAACATGGCTAGACATGACGAGCTGGGCGGCTGACGGCTTCAGTGCGAGCCCAAGCCGGGCTTGCTTCTCAGCCTCAAGCCGATGTTATCGACTCCTTGCATGTCCTTGCACCCAGTCAAGCAAGAAGGGCCTCCTCGTATTCGTCCAGGGACACGTACGACTTGGCCAGGAGGTACCTCCGGTTCATTCTTGCTGGAGATGCACGGTTGCTGCCGGCAAAATCCTTCACTTTGATTGCTTCGCCATGTTGAGGCACAAAGCCCCTGTCTTGTAGTCTGTTGTACAATTTGTCTCGACCAACCTGGCGCACCAGCTAAACTCGGCAGAATATGTCAATCGCGCATACCAAGCTTGGGCAGTCTTTGCTGCATCGACGGATGCCTGGACAAATAGAACTGGCACTCCGCATGCCGATGCTGCCGGTACAGAATGTCACCTTAATGTTGCTCGATACATGTCCGACAGCTCCGACGGCTCCAACGGCAAAGAGTCAACGCTGCGGAGTCCGGCCAAGATAATAGAGCGGCCCTTCTGCAGTTGCGTTCACCTTCATGCTGAATGTGCTGCAAATCATTGATTGTCACCGCTGCCTAGCCCTCGTTCCGCCTTCAAGCATTGCTGATAGAATTGGACAGCCTGGCGAAGCAGAGAGTTGCTGCTGGTACAATCTAGAATATGTCGCCTGCATTGTCGTTTGATGCTGGGGGCCAGTTGGGATCAGTTGTCTACAGCATGCGCCTGATCGAGGTGATTGCCTTTGCGGGCACAGAAAGCTGCCCCCTCGAGAGCCTGGACTTATACAGCATGGGTCAATGAGTCTAGAAGTCACAGCTCATCACCACATAGCACAATTCACATCTCGGGACGGCCTCCAAGTTGGAAGGGTTGATGCTCAGCACCTCCAAAACCGAAGTGCCACTGCTATTCCCTTACCGGTACTGTACTGGTCTCAGGACAACACCTGCTCGTACAGCTTTCGTGCTTCTTCCAAGTTGCTTTCTCGAGCATCCTGCCAGATGTGTACTAAGAAACGGATTGGTCTACGAGTCTACGAGGATTCTTCGCGCCTGCCGGTGGCAATGTGCCAGCTTGAGCAACGCTGTCAGATTGGTGGGCTCCAACTTGATAACCTGCAGGCGTGCACACGGAGGGAACGGAGAGAGAGAGAGAGAGGGGCAGGGAGTCAGAGACGTGCTTAGCAGCGCCAACTGAGATGCGTCGCGATGTGTCAAGATCTGTCATGACATGTGACAATGACAAGCCTGACTGAGCTGATCTCGAGCTTCGCGCACTCGATCTTCCGAAAGTAGAAGCGCAGCGTACCTGGTGCAGCAACATGTAACATGCCTTGCATTGAGCTTGCAATACAGTTCAATACGGCTTCTGCGTAACGCTCTTGATGAGGAGCACGAAGTCTGCGTGGCTGCTGTCGCTGCGCCAAGCTGTACCTGCAGCTGTTGCAGCCAGCATGAGCAGCTCTTTTGTCCAGAGGGCTGCATTTGGCCTCTGAGTTCCTTGCGAGCCGTCGGTGGCAGTGATATTGCCCCTTCGAGTCTTTGAGCTGCTCGTAGATTGACAAGAGCTGTCGCCAAACCTGCGACCAAGCATGAGAGATGAAGAGGAACCTGTCAGCACAGCGTTCAGCACCGCCATCATTCGGCATGTTTTCTTGGATTGTCTGTCAGGCCTCTGCATCATCCGGGTGCTCGCGGACTGCACTCTCTAGGGTTTGCTGGGCATCCTTGCAGTCTGCACATGTCTGGGCAGTTGCAGGATCAACAGATGCCAACAGCCTTCCAAGAGCGTATCGTGGTCTGCACTGTAGCCATCTGGGACACAGGTGTGTTGCTGAAGAACATTGTGAACCTTGTAGACTTTCCACGGCTGTCGCTTGCATTGCTGCCTGCTTATAGATGCTTCGGGAGTCCACCGTGCTCGGTCTGCACCTGAAATTGGAGCTGGCATCACGGTCCAACGGTCCAGAAGGTCGGGAGGCCGTTGTTTGACTGACATGCTTGGAGGTCTCAGCATGGATGCTGTAATGTAGCTTCATTAGTAGAAATGGCCCGTCAAACTGCATCATGCTGCGAAAGTAGCATGGTTTTCGAAAGGATGATAGGATGAATCGAAGGAGGACTAAGCTTGTGGAGCCTCACTCCTTTTGAAAGATGATGTTGTACCTAGCTGAGATAAACCTCATTTGTTGCGCCAAACTTCCCTAAGCCATCTGCCACCCAATGATTGAAAACCCTAAACCCTGTAGACCCTAAGCCCCTGTAGACCTTGAACCCCTGAAAGCCAAACCCCCAAAAGTCCTAAAAAGTCCTAAACACTAAGCCCTATAGACCCCAAGCCCTAGATTCCTAAGCCGTAAATTCCCAAGCCCTCAACCCTAAGCGCTGAAATCGAGCTGCAGTACGATGCTCCCATGTCTATAGGGGCCCGGCTGCAAAGCTGTGCGAAAGTAGTGCACGGCCTCCACTGTACGGCCAATCACAACGGATGCTGACGTCGCTTATTAAAGTCCACCAATAACTCGGAGGAGGCCTGGCTAGCCCCGGCGACGCCTCTGTCCGCGTGGATGTTTGCCAAACCTAGGATTGGTGCCAAGAATTCTTTACAAGCAAGCTTTCACGGGCTAAACACAAAAATGTTCAAGCTGCGGTCCCCTCTATATGCAAACGCCATGCAGCATGACAGGTTTGAAAAGGTTTCGTATGCTTCGAATGCAAGTTTTCTTCATGGGCTGATGCTCTTTACAAAGCAAGCTTGCGCATCTTGAACACGAATAAAAGCAGGGGGGCTTGGGGGGTTGGGGTGGGGTGGGGGGGGCTTTGTTTGGCACGCGCCCGGTCTCTCACTCACTCGCGTGTCTGGGCCCGTCGAGCCGTCGAGTCCTCGTCCCGTCCAGGGGCACTTTTTATTCGGCACGTGGTTGGCCCAGCAAAAAAAGGAGAGCTGGCCGAGCCAAAAAAAAAAACCCTCCGACCCACCGCAATCACAGTGGGCCAACCAGCATGCAAAAGGTATAGAAGGCCAGGTGATTCCACGTGTGGGCCTGTGGATTGCAGTGCAAGGCATGAAAGATCATGAAGTTTGAAGTTGTAGTGCGGTGCAGCGGCTCAATGTGCACTCGTAGTCCCCAGGCCGTACATCCAACACCCTCTTGTAGTAGGCAATTGCCTCCTCATGCAGGGACCGAACCCTGCAAACACAGTATTCAGATACCCCTGAACATGCACGAGCCTGATCTCGGCCAGCTTTACGGTAGAGGGATGCCTATCACGCGTTGGCCGCACATTCGGCGTCATCGTGTTGCAAACAAGAGTTCTCTGACTCTGAGTGACTGGCCAAAGCAACCATGGATGGGACATCCAGTGAGGCGGGCTGCAGCACAGCTGCCTGCCGGGAACATCAGAGCTTGCATTTGTCGCGCACAGGTAACACAACGCACCAAGACATAAGGTAACGACGTCATTTGACACAGCGCGTAAAAGCTCTACAGAGAGCGCTGAGAGGATAGAGAGGTGTCAGGAAAAAGCTTCAAAAGCTTCTGCCTGCTCGAAGGATCGTGATGCCTCGTCTGCCCTGGTTCGAGGTCAGGGATGTTCAGGGGCCACAGGCTTGGAGATACGCAGACTTCTTGCTGCCTTCCCAACTTGAGGCATGCGTGGCCCAGGCACAAATGAGCTGCGACATCCCTTGGGGCGAGTTTGGCTGCCTGCAGCTCTTCAGATCACTCAAGAAGCATAACAAGCATCACAACATCATCACAGCATCGAAGCCTGTGCAGCCAGTCGATAAGCTTCTGGAGCATCGTCAGCCTGAGCCCAAGGTCCGAAGAAAGTCCCAAAGGAGGGCCCCAAGGTGACAAAGAGAAGAGCAGCCATGTGACCACATGTAGCCCCCAAGCCCGGGAATCTCTTAAGCTTGGAGCCTCAAGATGCATTTCGGCCAATCGCCTGTGCCCTTCGGCATTGTCAGGGTGCCTCGAAATGACCTCAGGAATCAGGAGAATCAGGAACTCAAAAGCTCCGGGATGATTCCGCAATGCCAATGTCACACAAGCCGCCTCCTCGTAGAGTCTGCGAGCCTCTAGGCGCTGCGTATCACTGCGTCGCAGCTTCGACATGAGAGCAGAGTGAGTCAAAAGACAGCCATGATGGCTTCTCGCCTGCACTTTGCCGTCCTTCCCTTGCAGCACGCGTGCAAGGTCCAGCATGGCTGCATCATCACCCGCCTGTGCGCAGCTCCGGATCGGAGTCTGTGGCGACCCCTCATGTCATGCGCACGTCTGGGGCGGACAGCTGTGTCGGCGCCTTGGAAGCCAAAGCTGCCGAGTAATGTTTTTCAGCCACCGGAAAAGCCCGCTCCGCCTGAAGTGGTACCGTAGGCAGTCTGTCAAGCGCAGTATGTAGGAAATTTAGGAGATGAAATGGCACAAACCATCGCCTCCGCAAGCTTGCCCAAGTATTTGTGGAGCTCATAGCCGAGTGTGAATCCAGAAGCCTGGCCGCAGTCACTGCAGTCACGGTGAACCCTGACAGCGTGACAGAAACTGTATAGTCTCAGCACGCCGTGTCGCAACGTTTTGCGACATTTCATAGCTTTTGGGCCGGCCTCATCACCATATTCGGTGGCCTGCCGTGCATACCTGCCAAGTCGCATCATCTGGTACACTTTGCGGCTACATTCCATCTCTGCTTGTGGCACTCCCGAATTTCTGCAGCATCCCCGTCGGTTGACCTTGCAGCTGCCGGGCTGACGGAGCTTTAAAACTGAAAAGTAAGCAACTTGAGCTGGGCTAGGCTCTGCGCAACAGAGCCCTTGCTGCACACCGCAAAGCAACAGCCTTTGACAGACGCTGGCTTGTCTCGTGAAGTGCGAGGTGTGTGTGTGTGTGCTGTGCGGACAACCAAGGTGGCAGCGTTTTCGGGATTTCGCCGAAGAGTAGCCCGAGCATTTGCTAAGACCTTCATACACAGTCTGGCAGTTTTTGGTGAGCTCCACTCGGCTTTCATCGCCTCCCGCCACTGCTGCGCCCCAGATCCGGCCAAGCCTGAAGGCTACACCACAGAAGAACAGAAGCAAGCGCAGCAGAAAGACATTAAAAGACCACTCAGACCAATTGATGGTTTGATGGTTACACTTCGTGATTTGTCAACTTCTGCCTGCTGCTCTTTCAGCACGACGTAGCTGTCGCTCCAAATCCTTTCCGGCATTTCAGCGCAGACGACTCAAAACAAGTTGCCAGCAGGGCAGAGAGACCGAGAGCGAGAGGAGAGAAGAAGCCCGAAACAAAGACTGCCTCGGTTTCTTGGGCCAGGCTTGGTCCACCTGCGCAAGGTGCGCACGGCAAATTGCCTATCTACGCAGTAGCATCCGCAGCCTTGTGGGAAGCTGGCATCTTTGGCGACATCAGTCCTGCAGGCACGCTGGTCGCATGTTTGCATGCCGTACTGCAACACTCTCTCTTTGTCTGCACAGCCCGCACTGTGCAAGCACACAGCAGCACCCAGGTTTTCAGCAGAACGCTGCACCAGGGGGCTCTTTTCCCCAGATTGGCCCCGGCGCAGCCTGCCACGGTCAGCTTCCAGCTTTTCTCCAGAGATGTTCCTTGATGTCCAGATATGTCCAGATATGTCCAGCCTGCCAACCAGCAGCCAGTGCACCTCAAACTCAGATGGATGCGCTTTCTTAGAATGCCGGGAGCAAGTGCGAAAAAGCAAGCGGTCAAGAGTGAGCTCGAAGCTAAGGGAGTTCGCCACAGCTTCGTGGCTCCTTTTGTCAGGTCAACCAAGAAGGTCTGAGGAGCTTGTTGCAGTTCGGCTTCAGAGACTAGAGACTGCGGATCGATGCTTCGCCACTGCTACGTGATCACAAGGATGATGGCATGAAACGAGAGCTGCTGCAAAATTTATATATACAAAACCAAAACATGGGTGACAGGCAAATCAGCCAAGCATAACTCAGCAAACATGAGGGAACATCAGAAAACGAGACAGGGCAAAACAGAAAAACCAGGGCACGAATCAGAAAACAAAGTCACCAACAGTGGGCTCAATGCATCTTTGTACAGTGCTTGCTGCATCGGTGCAGAGCTCCCTGGCGGGCCATCTCCGTAGCCTAACCCTAGGCCTAGGCCCTAAAAAACCCTAATCCCTAAAAAACCCCAAACCCTAGACCCAGCCCTAAACCCAAAAAAAACCCTAAACCCTAAAAACCCCTAAGCCCTTAACCCTTAAAAAACCCTAAACCCTAGAAACCCAAAACCCTAAACCCTCAAAACCCCTGAACCCTAAAAACCTGGCCCTAAACCCGAAACCCTAAACCCTAAAAAGCCCTAAGCCCTGCACCCTAAGAGCCCCTGAGCCCTAAACCCAACAAACCCTAAACCCTAAAAACCCCAACTTCAAACCCCGAAGACTCTCATGCGAGCATTGTGTTTGCAATTGGGGGGGGGGGGGGGGTGCTGCGCCCCCCCCACCCCCCCCAACACCCCCTTTTTTGACCCCATGATGCCGAGAGCATTGTGTTTGCAAATGGGAGGGGGGGCTAAACATCCCTAAACCCTAAACCCCAAGAACCCCTAAACCCTAAAAACCCCTAAGCCCTAGAAACCCCTAAACCCTAAAACCCCAAAACCCTAAACCCCAAAAGCCCCTGAACTCTAAACCAAACCCCTACAACCCCCAGAAGCCTAAAAAACCCTGAGGCCTAAACCAAAACAACCCTAAACCCTAAACTCCAAACACCCAAAAAAAAACGCCAAAAACCCTAAACCCAAAAAAACCTAAACCGAAAAAAAACCCTAAACCCTAAAACCCCAAGCCCTCAAACTTAAAACGCCCCAAGACCTGCACCCTAAAAAGCCCTAAACCCTACACCCTGAAACCCCCTAGACCCCAAACTCTAAAAACCCTGATTTAAATAAAGCAAACCTTGCTGCTCGAGCGCAAGTGGTAAATTTGTTACCATAGGGGTCTGTATAGGGGTCTATCGACGCCTATCATAGCGGGGGGGGGGGGTACTTAGTAGACCTATCTTCAATAAATCTGTCTTAGGGGAGAACCCTAAACCTAAGCCCTAAAAGCACACCCTTCAACCCTCTCATGTTAGCTTAGGTTAGGTTAGGTTCGGTTAGGTAAGGTTAGGTTTAGGGGGTTGGCCTCTCGCATTGCAGATTAGGTTAAGGTAGGTTCCGTGAAAGGCTTAGCTTACTCCACCAGGCTACGGCGATGGCCCGCCAGTGAGGGAGACCGATGTAAATGCATGGCTGTCCATGCATGCTGAGTCGCCCTCGCTGTTTGCTGATTCTGCCCGTGCTGTTTTCTGAACCATGGGTGTCTGATTCATGGTCTTGCTTTCCGATTTGGGCAGCACCCTACAAAAAATGAATGCAGACACCCCCTTATGTCGGCCGACCCGCCACACTGCCTTCACAATTGCGTCTGCATGTCAATGTGGTTAGAGTCCATTTTCACAGGCAGGCCGCCTCCCCAGCATCAAGGAATCTTCCCAAAGTACTGCCAGCACTGATTTCAGACCATTGCTGGCAATCCAGACCCTAAGCCTTGAGCGGAACAGGTTGATTTCATGCCTGTCACAGCCTTTCACACAAAGGCTCTTGTACCCTGCAGCTCTGTTGGGTTTTATGTGCGCAGATTTCGGACGTGATCGAAGCCACTGTCCGAACAAAAAAACACGAAAGCCTCACACGACCTGCATAGGAGGGTGCCTGTCTCAGCGGAATACACCAGGGCCACCAGATGTGCCGTAGAGACTGTTGCCGCCATAAAGGCCGCCTAGGCAGATAGCCGGACATGAACTGTATACCAAGGTGCAGTACCACAAAGGCCTCGCATGCAGTCTAGACTCTGCCCTGCGCTCCCCCAGGTGGTGGCATGCTTGACATTGGAGGCTGGTACGTTCCTGGCCCACCTTGGAGGAAGCAGATCCCACTGGAGGGCAAGCCGAGGCCATCTCAAGCTAGCCCTTGCCAAGTAAGCGCACCGCTGCTGGTGTTCTTGTTTCTTGGTGGGCATCCATATTGATCTGATCAAATTGACACCCCCTGCCTCCGCCCCCGCCCCCCCCCCCCCCGCCGGCCCCCCAAAGAAATGATAAGTTTGCTTGAAACACCCCCCCACCCCAAAGAAGAAGCTTCTTGTCAACCGAAAACCTTGAATTTCAGTCTAGACTCTGCCCTGTGCTCCGCCGGGTGGTGGCATACTTGCCATGGGAGGCTGGTACGGTCCTGGCAGATCCCAAAGATACAACTGGCCTGCGAATTGCAGCTACCGTTCCGGTGATACTTACATGACGCCTCGGCCCTCGGCCGTGTGACGCGCAGAGGCCCAAAACACATATAAAAGATGAGGCCTCGCATGCAGTCTAGACTCTGCCATGTGCTCCCCCGGGTGGTGGCATATTTGTCGTGGGAGGCTGGAAGAATCCTGGCCCACCTCGGCCACATCAGATCCCACACGATGCAGCAAGACTCTGCCGTTGCAAACTGGCTTGTTGAATTGCAGTCCAGACTCTGCCCTGTGCTCCCCCGGGTGGTGGCATATTTGTCGTGGGAGGCTGGTAGAATCCTGGCCCACCTCGGCCACATCAGATCCCACACGATGCAGCAAGACGCTGCCGTTGCAAACTGGCTTGTTGAATTGCAGTCCAGACTCTGCCCTGTGCTCCCCCGGGTGGTGGCATATTTGTCGTGGGAGGCTGGTAGAATCCTGGCCCACCTCGGCCGCAGCAGATCCCACACGATGCAGCAAGATTCAGTTGCATACCGGTTTGTTGGATTGCAGTCTAGACTCTGCCCTGTGCTCCCCCGGGTGGTGGCATATTTGTCGTGGGAGGCTGGAAGAATCCCGGCCCACCTCGGCCACAGCAGATCCCACACGATGCAGCAAGACTCGGCTGTTGCAAACTGGGTTGTTCCACAGCAGTTCGCTATTTTCAAGGAGGAAAGGTGCGCAGGCGTGTTGGAAACCCGCGTTCGCTGAGAGATCTGTCTAAAGCAACTTCTGCCGTAGCGCCGTAACTTGCTTGGGCTCTCTGCCAATGGTTGCGTGCCGGCACCGGGCTGAAGCAAGCTGAAGCAGGCTGAAGCTCACAATACCAAGTCGAGCGAGTGAGTGAGTGAGCCACCTGCAGAAAGCGCCCCGAGAGCACCCGGCCAAGATGCAAGAGAGCGATGCGCGCATGTCTTTGCTCAGAAGAAAGGACTGTTCCGGCAGTCCAGGAATCTTTGCTACGTCCATCGGCCCAAGGGGGGCCGTGGTCAGAAGAGAAGGGAGGGAGAAGACAGCTCCACCAGCGTAAGTAAATAGCACCCTAGGAGGCTCCCAATCCCAGCTCCATCACCGTAAGACAGCACGCGTGAAGAGGGCCTACAGCACCCTACACAGGACAACTCGGGTGGAGGGCAGTCCGCGAGGGTGGGCCTCAACGAAGTTGGCAGGACCACACACAAGAGGACCCCAGCTCAGAAGTAAACAGCACCCATCAGCACAGGGGGTTACCGGGGAGGGAGTGGGTGGCGGGGGTGGGGCGGGTGTTCTCAAGACATCAGTCAAGCTCAGATCTAGCCCGGGTTAAGCTTGGCGGGGTTTGGGCACTTCAAGCCCAGATCTAGCCCAAACCCAGGTTTCGAGCCGGAAAGTACAATATCAAGTTATTTCAAGTCGCGCGAATCGTTCCGAGAGCCCGGCCCTGAGTATGCCTGGCTCCACCGGCCTGTCATGTAATGACTGAGCGAGAAAGAGAGCGAAGGAAGCACGATTTTATATCAAAAGGAGAGAACGAAATAGGGGCACAAAATGAGTCTTTTAATTGTACCCTCACGAAATATTCATTATACGCGCGAATTAAGGACGTTTAGTATGCGCGTAACTGCACTAGTTTTATAAGGTACGACGTGAGTACTAATTAGTGCGTTTGTAAAGAAGCGAAGCGAATGCACGAAGCGTACGAATTATATGAACGAAGAAGTTGGGCCCATAATTCGTATATTTTATAAAATTCTATTAACAGGCAAGGAATGCAATGACACGTGCTTTTGATACAATTTTTGGGCTTTTACATCGCTCCCTTCACTCGCGACTCCACGAAAAACCTATTAAAATATGTTAAATTATAAGGCACGCATGAATTTAGTATGTTTTAATGGGCGTTTTTCCCCCAGAGTCGTTCATGAAGGTTTCAATCTTTAGAAATCGAATTACGGGCAAGTTCACGCGCGCCGTAATGATTCTAATATTGGCTTTATAAAGAGTGAAAGAGCGAATTATGTGAATGCGAAAAAGGCCTTTTAAAATGATATAAAATTGGGGCCTTTTTCGTCTATTCATTCACATAACTCTCTTTTTCCTGTTTCGTTCACACACTACAATAGTAGTACAAGGGAGTGAGTGAGCCTGGTTAAGAATATTACAGTGAGGTGAACAGACAAGGAGTTAAGGTGTCATGAGATTGATGGTGTACGAAAGGAAAAGCAAAGGTTAACCGCTCTCTGAATCACCCCTAAGAACCCAACATAGAAACCGTACCATCATGAGTCTCGCTTGTAGGGGCATTTCCTTGTTCACCCATCACACCTTGAGACCCTAACTCTGAGATCCTAACCACGAACACTCATTAAAACCAGCCCATGAATCCGCCCTTGAGACCCTGCTAACGCCTGGTCTGGATCTTCCTTGGCGATGGAAACACCCTTTATAACCTTGAGATGGGAGCTTTCGATCAACCGTTCACACCCTTGGAATCGCATGCCAGGTTAACCGCTCTCTGAATCACCCACCCTTTTACTACCAAGAATTCAGGTCTTTTAGATGGGGCTTTGGGGTTCATTTTGCGAGGTTTGGGTCTTTCGGATGACAGGTGAACTCCCTTTAAAGCATACTGTGGGCTTCATAGAATATTACATGGTAAGAGCCGCACGCATTTAATATTAAATGAATTCGCCCACATTATCATTATTAACGGGACCCCAACCGCCAGAGTCAGATGTTGAGTCATTAAGGTCTTATGGAAAGGTTAACCGCTCTCTGAATCACCCCTAAGAACCCAACCCTTCCAGACCTTCAAGATACGGGACTTTGAGGCGCCATTTGTACCATCATGAGTCTTTCTACGTGACAGGAACTCTCTTGACAAGGAACCCACCCTCGGGACCCCATCAAAAAGACCTATTGTCCAGTATCTTTCCATCGGATTACAATGCGAACGAAGTGAACACTCTTTTTAGCTGAACCGTGCAGCAATTGCAAAGATGCCCACTGTCTTAGCTGGGATGTTCGGCCTGCGTCGGAGTCGATGCCGACATGCGATTGGCCTGTCCTGATGAGTCGGGCTGAGTAAAGGAAGCGAACAGATGCAGCCCCGAACTAGCCTGAGGTCGCTCCATTTGCACCGGACTTGACCAGCTTCCCGGTCACGCTCAGGTGCACATGGGCAACCTGCAGACACCGCGCGCAGCTTGTGTTCGGCATTCTAGATCAGAAATACCGCAACGAGCTCATGTAGAACCTCGATGGTGTGATACGCGATCTCGTTCGCAGACTCGACTTTGACAATGCGGTGCGCAGTGATGCCCTCCTGCATCAGAAACGAGACTTAAGATGACTTTTGTATGAGCAAGATAGCGAAAGCATGCATTAACCAGTCCTGTTGGTCCCACTGTCGAAGCTGGCCAAACACGCCTTGCCACAAGCTTTGTCCGAGAGCAGCTGTCACTGAGGCAAGAACCATGAGTCTTCTTGCAATTCTTTCAGGATCTTAAAATCATCAGTCCAGGTCACGGATGTAGTCGCCGTCCTGAAACTCTGGACCCGCAGATGCCTTGGGGAGGGTTGGGTCACTCGTAAAGTGCTCGAAAGAACATTGTTTCAAACATTGCTTCGAGCTGTCAACACATCCGAGGCTCAGGATCGCTGTCGGAGTACATGTTGCAGCTAATTCTGCCCGTGCCATCCTTGAGCTCACGACTCAAGGGTGCGCATAGTGCAAAGGATTGCAAAGGTGTGGCCAGGGTATGGAAGAAGCTGAGAAGCTGGCATTCAGGGTCAGGCTGATGCCCATCTGCTGATTTCTGATTCCTTCCACCTGCGCCATCTCAGATTTGGCTTGTCAGATGACAAAAGCCAGAAGCGTGTGCTGTGGTAAGAGCCGCGCGCAAGCTACGACTGTGAGCATCTGAAGCTCTCTGCCACCATTGACGCCTCGAATGCGATTCTCGCGGTGAGTCTCAGAGACTGTTGCGCGTCAAGGCTCGTCTAGTCACAGCTCTCTTTCCCGAAGGTTGAGATCACTACCATGCCAAACACTTGAATCTGTGGCTCGTACAGAAGGCCCCGTCTGGGCCCAATTGTGCACTGGAGCTCACCTTGGCTTTAGGCAGCTTCGAGCTGCAGACCGGCCGCGTGCTCGGTAAGCTGCAAGACCGATCACACGACGCGCAGTGACAGAGCAATGCTTTGAGCAATGCTTTGAGCAATGCTTTCACCGAAATTTCACAACTGACCGAAGGTGACAGTATTGGCGGATGCTCAATGCTCACATCGTATGCAACTCCTGGTGTTCCATGATAGAACTGCGCCTGCTAAATACCCAAGATCCAGGCAGCATCCAGGAGCATGCGGATTGTGACGGGGGTCAAAGTCTGTGCCTTGCTTGCGACATTCGCAAAGGGCTGCCGAAACCCAACCCACATTGCAGTCAGCGCTGCCATGTTCACTCATGTGCAAAACATAGATAGCTAGCTTGAGCTGCGTGCTGATGTCTTTCCGCTGCCTGCAAGCATTTGTTCATGGCAGACCGGCAACAGAGACGGATGACTGCCGTTGCTGCTGTCTGACCTGCACCTGGCAGCTCAGTGCGAGTTGATCCGGCCTCAAGCAAGTCGCGCAAACACGCTCTTCATCGCTCTTTTCTTTGTGGTCGATGCAGTGACTGAAAGCAGTACAAAGTGCTTCTGCAATCCTCTTGCTTCGGAGAAGCGTTGTCACCGATGATGAAGCCACCGTGGCCCTGAGTGTGCAGCCAAAGCGACATCTGTCTCACGAAGAACCCTGGCAAGGGCCGGCATAAGTGCCACTAGCCTGCCTGCGATGCCTGCACACCGCCACACGGTCCACCCTACAGCAGTTGGCAAAGTGTCTCCACTTCGGCAGAGCGTCGTAAAGCAACACGAAGCGAATCCAGGACTGGCGGAAGCCTGGCCAGCAGGTTCCACGCCGCCGTATCCTCCGCCACCCACGCCACCATAGCCAGCGCCATAACCGCCATAGCCACCTCTGGACAGCACAACCGGCATCCCATGTGAAGCGCAAACCGACGCCAACATGGCCAACATCGCCGAACATGCCCCAGCCTTGCGGCGCACCGAAGCCACCGCCACCAAACATGTTCTCCCCAACCTGTCTCAACACTCAATCGCATGGTCTTGCTTCCTCTTTGTGAAATTTGCAACAACTGCAAGGTCCACAGATTGCTCGGGCAGTGTGCCTCAGCAGAGCAGATCGGACAAGGCGATTGGATGTTTACTTGAACACTTATGCTTTCTTAGATAGTAATGCAGAACTCTTCCTGGTGCAACTTCACACCCTTGAATGAGCATTAATGAGCTTGGTAAACTTAGAAACTGAGGCCAAGCCTCGAGCCAGAGAGACAAGCGGACTGATTTGTAGCACTGCCGGAAAGTTCAACAGAGCACAAAGTCCGACCAGAGGTCGGGCACGACAAAAAATGGCAGACAGCTGCGGGCTGCAAGCCACGAGTCCTCCACCTGTCCTTGATGGATACTGGCCTGGCATGGCCAGCTGCAGCGGTTCGTACTTGTCTCCATAGTGCAACACGTGATCTGTCATGACAACTGGAGTGACAAACTTTTCGTGCTGTGTCGGGCTGACAGCTCCGGATTCCGGAGACTTCTCCTACAAACTTGCTTTACCCGGGACAGGGTGCGCACCCTGCACATTGGTAGTTGCATGAAGCATTAACATCTCGATGCAGAGGCATTCCTTAGTACCAATCGAACGGATTCCTGCATGATGATATGCACTTGGAGGTTTCCGGTTGCATGCATGAGTACATGCACAACGCGATCGTAAGCAATGCCCCGCGGCATGAAATGCAAACAGATTGCTCCCCTGACGTCTCTTCCGCGATGAGTGGCTCACCCAACAGATGCTTTAAAAGACTTGAAGCCGCACGGTCTTCCACTTGTCTTATGTTGAACTTGGATCCATCTCAGTCTCATGCTCGCGTCAAGACACACTTCCTTCAGTAGGACAGATGTCCTTCCCACTCACTCCAATGGTCCCCGGAGTGAATCCCCGGAAGTGTCAGACTTGACAGCCTTGGCTGATGCGCACAAACGTGTCCGTCTGCAAATCTGACACCCCACCTGCCTTGTCAGCTGCCCGCAGGTTCAGCGAGTGACTCGCGCCTTGGCATTCGCGTAACTGCTGCCTGCGCACTGTCACTACGCCACAGCTTAACACTGCGAAGCCCTGCAAGCCAGATACGGAAATAAGACCAAGACCCCGCCAACACAGGGAACCCCACTTCGAGCACCAACACCCTGTGTTCGGTAGACCGGTAGACCACTTAAAGGTCTTAGGGCCTTAGGGCTGAATACTGTTGCATAGGTATGCACCGCTGATATCCGCTGATGCCACAACTGCAGCGCCAAACCCACAAATTGTCCGAACTCGACTGGTGAGATGCGGCCATCACTTTTCTTGGGCGCATAAGAGGCCCCCCAGGTCTACGGATATTGGCCGCGTCCTCTTTAACAAGAAACTAGGAACCAGGTTGGAGCACTGCCTTGCTCTCCAGATCTTGCTGTGACTTCGCACATACACATGGTACTGTAGGAAATCTCAGGAGAGCCATCAGAACATGATCACACCAAGCTCGGGTCTTGGTACCGCGTCTGGACTCTTCACACCATGCCTGTTCGCGACTGCAGCGTTCGCAACCCCTACCCGAGAAACAGCAGACTGTTCGAGCGCCTCCCACGTTGTCCCTCTCACAACTGTGATGTCGGCATATGGCACGTCCTCTGCATGCAGCAGAAGCGGTGCCCTGTTGCCACTCGCAATCTGACATGCTAGAAGCTCTCCTGCTGGAGGGTCACTGCTCCACTCATGTGTAGAGACAGGAGGTCAACAAAGCGGCATGCTGCAGCCTGCACTTACAGTGGTTGAATTTTGAGGATGCTGTGAAGCGGTGCAATGCGAACCTCTGCACTGCACTGGTCCGAGTCGCAAAGATCCAGGAAGGACAGGGCGGCCTCCTCTGCAGCCGCTGGCTGGAGGCTGTTGCACGTTGCTGTTCTTGAGGAATGTCGTTGCTTCGTTTCTTCGTTTCTTGGATCAAAGGTTCCGTACCTTGCCTCTGGAAGTGATGCTCGAAGCTCTCTGCCCTGGTGCCAAGCTGTTGCAGATTCCAGCTTCAATCCAGAGTCAACGTGAGCTGAAGCGAGCTCTCCACGCCTGCTTGGCCGAAACTTTGTCCAAGTCTGCCTCAACCCCCTCTTCTATTTTGACCTCCCAAGCACGTGTACTAGCAAGCTGTGCACGATTTTGAAGACTTCGGGCAGAGTCTGTGATACCTGCAATGACCCTATGCCTCTGTGATCTCCAGTGGCACCTTGATAGCTACCAGCTCCCCACCTGTCATGTGGGCCCCATTGCTCCGCAGACAGATGTGTCCAGAGTCCAAACTCGCCAGGCCCTCTGTCGTTCTGGTGAGCCTGCCGCTTTGCTGGCGGCAAGCTTTCAAAGCTTGCAACCTCAGTGATCTGAGAGTGACAAGCAACACTGGAGACTTCTTCGGAATGTCGTTGCGGATGCTTTCGAACGGGCTAGTGAGATCCCCCCCATCCACGTCCCAAGCAGCGACCCGTTCAGACAGAACATGCGTCGATGACTGGTTGAATGCAAAGCCTTCTCAATTAGAGATCTTTTGGTTCACATTGGTATAAGTCAATATTCTGCAGGATAGTGCACTATGTTTCGCTGTCCATGGCAGCTTTGGGCAGATGTCCCGGAGAACTTCGAAACGTTCGGTGTGCTCGAAAAGCCAAGTCAACTGCGAATCCACTACAGTTGTGCCCAAGAGAAAATCTGCTAGGAGCAAAGCGTGTGACCATATTTTCTTGATTGGATGGCACGAACAGATGCCACATCTGGTCTGTTTGTGGGATTTGTTATTAATGCCAGTTTTTTGCCACCCTTCCCTCGGGACTGTGATTGTACGAAGGGTACCAGTTTGAGACTGAACTCAAGACGGTTTGGCCTCGCGGCTTGATCCGAGGGTCTGACTAATAAAACCACGTAAATGTAAAAACAAATTTGGCCCGAACCCTCCGGGAAGACTAATTACTTTCCATTGCAAGAGCCAAAACCCCAAATGCGCAAAAGACACCCAGGATTCAAAGAAAACAGATGGCGGCACACACAGAAGTGGAAATGCTGAAGGCTGCAGGAATAATGGAAAAACCGCCGGCCCGCGAGGACGAGAAGCACAGAGATTTCGACTTGCTCAAGGCTTAAGTAAGCTGATACGACGTGCTCTCGGATGTTTTTGCTGCGATGCCTTACTACTTCGCATCATGGATCGATGCCCAAATCATTCGCTCCTGACCTACACAGGGATTTTGAATTGCATAATAAGCAAGCACAGCTAAAAGACAAGCTTCCAAGAAGGGAATAATAAAACCCTCGAGAGTAACAGAATAAAGGTGGGGGGAGAAAAAACATAAGCCTTCCAAGAAGAGGAGAAGAGGAGCGGAAAAGGACACAAGAGGACAGCCCCTTGACGCCCACCTCCCCAACCCCACCCCCCCACCCCCCGCGCAGCCCAGGAAATAGCAGGACCCTCTTCCTTATTCTTCGGGGGGGGGGGGGGGGAGTCATCAGAAGCACGGATTGCAACGAAAAAACCAAAATACCTCGACATACGTTACCTTCTGGTTCGGTTCTGGTGCTGCTTCAGGTTTGCCAAAGCGTAGTCCTGGAGGACTCTTTTACGCAAGTCGGGGCTTAACGCTGCACCGATACTTCCAGTACTGCCATGCACGCGGGATTCCGATCGATCGAGCTACGCAACGAAAACGAATGTGCAAAGCAACATTCTCAGCCAGCCTGAGCCACGGTAACTTCGCATTCTGATGCCGGCACCTCCAAAAGCTGCACCAAAAAAAGTGGAGCTGTGCAACCAGACAACTCAACTCCAACCAGGGAGTTCACGCGGAGCACCTGGTCCTCCTCTTGGACGGCGGCGGGCAAGTCGGAATCCATCAACCTGTGCCGGATCATGGTCATCACAACGACGTGCGCGCAAGCCAGCTTCGATACAGGCCCGGGCGGTGCCAAAGACACCGGCTTGGGCGGCGAAGGCAAGGTCGACTCCTGGAAAGCTTTTCCTCTTCTAGCCACTAGCCCGTATCTCGGTCATGCAGAGCTGCAGCATAGACGTAGAACATATGGTGGAACATACATCCGGCAAGCCTCGGCCTCCTCTTGGACGGCGGCGGGCAATTCGGAATCCATCAACCTGTGCCGGATCATGGTCATCACAACGACGTGCGCGCAAGCCAGCTTCGATACAGGCCCGGGCGGTGCCAAAGACACCGGCTTGGGCGGCGAAGGCAAGGTCGACTCCTGGAAAGCTTTTCCTCTTCTAGCCACTAGCCCGTATCTCGGTCATGCAGAGCTGCAGCATAGACGTAGAACATATGGTGGAACATACATCCGGCAAGCCTCGGCCTCCTCTTGGACGGCGGCGGGCAATTCGGAATCCATCAACCTGTGCCGGATCATGGTCATCACAACGACGTGCGCGCAAGCCAGCTTCGATACAGGCCCGGGCGGTGCCAAAGACACCGGCTTGGGCGGCGAAGGCAAGGTCGACTCCTGGAAAGCTTTTCCTCTTCTAGCCACTAGCCCGTATCTCGGTCATGCAGAGCTGCAGCATAGACGTAGAACATATGGTGGAACATACATCCGGCAAGCCTCGGCCTCCTCTTGGACGGCGGCGGGCAATTCGGAATCCATCAACCTGTGCCGGATCATGGTCATCACAACGACGTGCGCGCAAGCCAGCTTCGGTAGAGGCCCGGGCGGTGCCAAAGACACCGGCTTGGGCGGCGAAGGCAAGGTCGATTCCTGGAAAGCTATCACTTTAGCCACTAGCCAGCATCTAGGTCATGAAGACATGCAGTATAGAGGTAGAACATATGGTGGAACACACACTTGGCAAGCTTTCGGCCTCGTCTTGGAGGGTGGCGGGCAAGCTGGATTCCATCAGCCTGTGCCCGATCATGGTCATCACAACGACATGCACGCAAGCCAGCTTCGGTACAGGCCCGGGCGGTGCCAATGGCGCCGGCTTGGGCGGCGAAGGCAAGGTCGACTCCTGGAAAGCTTTGAATCTTCAAGCCACTAGCCAGCATCGAGGTCATGAAGAGATGCAGTGTAGACGTAGAATATATGATGGAACATACATCCGGCAAGCCTCGGCTTCCTCTTGGAGGGTGGCGGGCAAGCTGGAATCCATCAACCTGTGCCACATAGAAATTCACTCCAAGTCATTCCCTGCTCGTGTGTCGCAGCGTCCGAGGTAACAATTCTCAAGGCTGCCAGTTCCTGGTGAGTCTGATGCTCTTCTGGGATCTTTGTGAATCACAGATGGCATCACAAGTGCACCGGTGACCATCTGCGCCGGATGATCAGACCCTGCATGATGGCCTGGTCTTTTGAGGTCCCCAAACCACGCGCACAGAAGCATTTAACAATATTGTAGATGAAGTTCCCGAGGCCCAAAACCCGTACAATTTTTCAAACCCAAGGCTTAATCGAAGAGCGCATAGTCTGCATAGTACCTGCGGCGTTGTCAGAACCCCGTGGTGGAATCACGTGAAATCCTTTACGCACAACTTGTTGAGGACAAATCCCCGCAGCAGCCTTCATGGGGCTCACATAGGACTAGCAGAACACACCGTGACGACTATAGACTGTCAAAACCAACGTTTCCGAGAGCCGGCTGGATTTTCATTGCTTTGTAGTTAGTACAGGAATGAACGCTTCTGTGAGCCGGCTGGATTTTCATTGTTTTGTAGTACAAACTTCTAGTACTGGAACCGACGTCCTGTGAGCCGGCTGGACTTTCGTTGTTTTGCAGTACCAGCTTGTAGTACTGGAACCGATGTTCCCGTGAGCCGGTATCTTCCTGGATTTGTAACACAAGCTTAATGCTGGAATCAACGTTTCGGCGAGCCGGCTGGAATTTCATCGCTTCGTAGAACAAGCTTAGCACTGGGTTCGAGGTTTCCATGAGCCTTGCTTGTCCTTGTCGCTTTTTTCCTCCTAGCGTTTCCCCAGAAAAATGCTCCTGTGCGCATTGGGCGGCGGGGTCCCTTTACTCTTCTTCATCAGGAGTTTTTACTGCTCCCCCATGTGGAGGTAACGGTCGGGTATCGGCCACCCACACCTGCCGACACAAGTCAACATGCCCGGCATGTTTCGGTTCCAATCTATAGTGCGCGCCTACTCGTGACTAATGACCCGGGTTTTTTGCCATGACTCACCCGTGAACATGCTGTCTTCATGTCCTATTGTCCTCAACCCGATCCCGATCACGGGCTCGGATCTGCTAACACCATAACGCTCCTGATGGTCCTCGATCATCACATCCCTAAACTGACTACGAGTAGTAACAGAGTAACAGTAACGCGAATGGGTTGGCGAGAGCTCCGAGTGATGACAAAGACGTGCACTCAAGCTGTGACCGGCCTGGGCTGTCCCAAAGGCGGCTTTGGCGGCGAAGGTAAGCTTGAATCCTGGAGACATCTACAGCAACATAGTGGGCCTGAAAGACTCGCAGAGCGATAGGGAGCAGTGGCCTCGGCCCTGGCCCGCCTCCGCCTGATCCAGTAGACTGCGTGCATGAATGGGTATGACTCTGCCTATGCCAGTTCAAGTGTCTCGACAAGTGCGACGGTAGCCTTGCTCCAATATCAGCTGCGCGTCGCAGCCTGCAAGAGGCAAAGAATGCGACTTCAAACTCAGACTCTACATCATAGACTCGATGTCTCGGTGGGCTGTACGAGAGACTGAGTCTGCTGCGGAGCACACAACAGCGGGCACAAGTCGCCCAAGAAAGTGGTCAGACCGACGGTCGGACTCCTACGGGACTCTCCGGTCACGGGACTCTGCACTGGCACATGGGCTCCAACATGCTCCAATCAAAATCAAGTTGACCCTCTGATTTGTCATTACCGTCGTTGCCTCCTTTGGAAGATCCGCTGCGCAGGCAAGACTTCGTCACAAGATTTTTGTTCGTCAAGTAGGACTTGCACTACAAGCGAAGAAAGCAGCAAAGCATGAACAGGTCGCATCATAAAGACGCACTTTACCATCCTCCGCTCTTCTGATCAGCAGACCCACGATGTTCGAACCCTCCATCGACCTCCACCCTGGACCCTGTGAAGAACTTGACTTCAAGGTCCGGCGTCCATTTTTGAAGTTGTGGCAAGAGCACGCAGATACCGTGAAATGCCAGGAGGAATGAAAGCAAAGGTGGCTCGCATTTTCTGCAGCGCGCTTGCTTGTGGAGTTGCGGCTGAAGCCAAGGGTCGAAATGTAGATTCGAAGAAGCTACAAGTGCATGAACGCTCGACGAGATGTTTTCGAGCTGACGAGTTGCATGCATTTACATGCAAAAGGTGCGTGACATCCTCCGGGTAAACATCAGGTGCACCAATCTAATCTCAGCCCGCCGACAAGTACCATCGAATCCTCGTGCTGCCCGCGGATGGCGCTGTGAGCGTCAAGGACATAACTGAGTTGGTTATGTTGGTTTAAAGGGCGGCCCTTCGAGGGCCTCAAACACAAAGATTACAAAAACACACACACGCACACACACACACACACACAAACACACAAACTCACACAAACATACGGAGAGCGAGATGAGGGAGACGTGCACCACGTCCCACGGCCAGGCGTTGACCCGAGGGTCATGACCGGCACAATCATCACTAGAGCGTTCCTACTCCACAGCGCTTCTCAGGGTCGCACTGGTGTGGTAGCAGCAGGCCATACTCCAGAGCATTCTCGTGGGTGATCTTTTTGGGGTCATCGTACCTGCGCAGAAGATTGAATGTCAAAGACATCAACAGGCATGATCCACTTGTCTGCTCTATCTGCATCGCATTGCAGCTTCGGACTCGAGGGGCACTTCTTGTCTGGAATGTGAGTGGCTTTGTCATCGAGCCAAATCCTCTTGCGCCGCCGTTTCTGCCTGGGCATCAGCTCCTGTGCCTCCTGCACCTCCTGGAGCGCCTGGAAAGCAAACGACATGACAAGACTGAGAGAACAAGACAATCCAACACACGACCCTCGCTTTCACTCGGCCTCCTCCTGGACTCTGGGTAGCAAATCCAAGCATGCCTCTTCCTGAAGCATCACTGTGAATTTCAAAGTCTGAAAGATAGAAAGACTGCCCGTGAAGGTTGGCCTCCAAATTGGGAGGAAACAATGGCTGCAGTAGCTGCATGGGAACATCCTGACATGGTCAGAACGCTGGGTGTGCAAGCTCCGTGGTTGGGGACAACTTTGGTGACAACTTGGGTGACTACGCAACGCCATACAAGCCTCTTCTGCATCTCTCAGCAGGAAGTCCACAGGCAGCTCGCCCAGGCCCTCCTGCGGTTTGATGCATCGACTCATTCATTCCATTCATTGACCCATATTCAACCAGGTTTCTTGCTTCAGCGCACGAATTGCCTGCAAGCAACGAGCAGCAGCTTCTGCATCTGCCGCAGCTTGCTCAGCCTGCAGTCAATTGGCAACATTGGGTTGAGTGTGTAACAGTTAACAATCAACCACGTATGAGGTGCTCCTTCCACAGATGGCACATATTTTGCTTTTAGGTCATAGACTTACACAGACACCCTCGCACCTTGTTCCGACATATTCCGACTGTGACTCTATGTTTTGCCCCGCCCATCAAGGTTGGCGAATGACCATATATGACCATCCAGTTTGTCGGCGTTGGCAATCGGCCTTCATTTTAGGATGTGCGGTTTGGGTTCCAGCGAGCCTTCCTTTCCCTTCCTGCTGAAGCACTTCAAGGTGCACGTGTGAAGAGGGCCACACTTTGCTGCACCTTTCCTTCCTTTTCTGAGAATTTTGAGAGCCCGGCTTCCGCCGCGAAGGCCTCCGCTTCGAGGGCCGCGGCTTCGGCCGCAGCGGCCAGGTCTTCGCCTTCGCCGTCCGAAGCTCCTCCTGGCACTGTTTTATTCAAGGACCGCGCGTATCCCGCGCTGCGCGCGCTGCGCGCGCTGCACACGCAGACTGCGCAGAGGTGCCATCTGGGCGCTGCTCAGACTGGGACCCTCTGTTTGCATGAGGATGTCCGCTGGAGGGGAGTCTCCCGGAGATGCCTCGTGCGCAACACGCTCCTAATTCTGCTTTTCCTCCGCTTAGCATCAAAAATATTGCGCATTGTCTCCCCACTCTGGGCCGCAAGCCGCTCCCAGCAAGAAGTCGATGGGTGGCAAGGTCTCTTTGGTCTCTGGACCAGGAGAACCTCGCGGAGCCTCTCTGCTCAGACGGCTCAGCGCATCAAAACACTGACAAAGGTGAAGCCTCCCGGCACCAGCCTCTTTCTGCTCTGTGGGCTCGGCATCGCGCGCAGCGCAAGCCTCCTGACCCGCAGACCCAATGTCCGAAGCATCTCTGGCCAAGTTCGGAGAGCAATTTGAGCGCTGCTTATCGCGAAAAACCACTCGAGGAATGACCTCTCTTTTTTTGATCGCAAGAAAAACAGGAACTCTAGGAAAAGATGTGCCGCGAGCCTCTTGGATCTGAGCCAAAGCCACTTGCCCCATGGCAGCCAGCGAAGCTAGGTCCTGATCTGAGAGAGTTCATGCTCATTCGCGCCTGCTTGCAACACATAGCTGGTGCGCGTGAACAGTTGTTGGTTGTCGTGCAAATCAGGCAGTCTCCTACACCAAGTCATTATTTCCTAGCGTCAACTAATTACTCAGGGTCCATTAACTTCAACACACCCTTATCACCTCCAAGAGCAACATTTTTTCGTTCCGAGATTTGAGGCCAAGCTGCCTCCGCACTTGGCGCCCCGAAATCATCTTCTGCAGGACCCGCTGCCGACCGCTTGGCGGATGAAGCTGGCTCGGGACCTGAGAAGGTGCGCGAGAGAAATCGCCCAAGTGTGTGGAAGATGTGTTGAGGGCTACCGTTCTCAGCCCCTCAAGCCACAGCCGTAATTCCCAAGCCATAACTCTAAGACCTTCACTCTTAGCTTAGGGCCTAGGGTTCGGGTTCAGCGCTCAGAACTTCATGCACCGAGTTTCAGAAAGAATGCAAAGTCTCAGCTTTCTTCGAACGGATGCAACTGTTTCAAGTCAACACGGCCAGAATCGGCAGGACATGATAGGATGTCTGGGGCACCGTCTGAGTGTGATGAGCTCGAGAGGAGCTACATGCCGCCTGCCCTCTTCCAAGCTGGCTTCGATCTGCCGAGAGGGGAGCTGTAAAGTCTCTTGCAACGAAGGGTTCACGAGTTGAAGCTTCGAAGTATTTTGAAGCCCGTCAAGACCTCCATCTCTGGCAACTCTTCCATGAGCGCATCAAGCCTCGGTCCACAGCGGCCAAACGCTCACGCAGTACCACTTTGCTTCAACTTCTCTCAGCCCAGGTCCCTCCGACACCGCCAAAATCCAGAGGATGCACCTGCTTACACACGTCACGCGGAGTTTCTGCCAGAACCCTCGCCAACATCGCCGACCAACCTGCTCCACATTTCGCAGGGTCACGGCCTGGGACGAGATTCTTTGGTATCTGCCAAGGCTCTCGGGACTAAGGAGTAACGGAAAAGTGTCTCTGTGTTAGTCACCACTCCCCTTTTTGGCCTGAATTGGGTCGCCCCCATAGCCGACCGTCTGCGATGGAGGTCTCACGTACCGGGTCTCGACATCTAGTCATTCTACTCAGAAACCTCCCTTTTTGCCCACAAGCGCATTGGAGAGAATTTGCAACTTCGCAGCTTATGCCCTGGTCGACTGAAACATGGCAAAGGCAGGAGGAAGTTTTGCGTTCGGCCGGCGAGGCCTCGCGGCCAAACATATTGCAAAACCAGTCTAAAGACTCAAGTAAAGCCAAGCAGTACACCAAAAGCTGCTTCGGGTTCGGCTACCTGCCGAAGCAAGGAGTCAAGTGCAGAAAAGTCGGAAGGACGAGCACGAATGTCGCACATTGGGCTCGAGGAAGGGCACGGCAAGGAGACTCGTCAAAAGCAAAGTTGACAAGCTGGTTCTTTAGGGTGGCGGGGCTGGCCTTCAAACGGCTATCGAAACCAGCTTTGGACAATTATCATGGGTTGTGTGAGCCGCGGCGTAGCTTGTTGAAGCAAAAAATATCACTGGAACGATAAGCTTCCAGAGCTGAAGGGCAGTTGCATTCAAAAGACTCAAAGTTTTCGGCCAAATGATCCCATACCTGCGTAGGAAGTATGCAAGATCCGGAGTTCAGACTGGGCCGTTCAAGGGCAACCATTCCCACTTCACCATGTCTGAAGCGCCTTTGCTGCACCTCGCATACTCAAGCCGAGCCCTCCGGCGGCTACGAGGGCCTGGCCGTCTGCCTGCTTTCCCTCGTTCGATCGCCCGGTCCACCACGATGAGGCAGGAAGAGGGTATGTGCAGGGGTCCTTCGGTCGATTGCTTGCAGTGCCAGGCCCAAGTCCTGGGCCCAGGCCTGTCACTCCTGCAGGTAGGCACGAAAGAGGCACGGAGAGAAACAGGACCCCGGCGGCTCCTAGCAGAGCTCCGGCCAGCAATATGGTGCTGGAGAAGGAACAGTGGGCCGGGCAACCGAACCAGGAATCCAACTCATTACTTGAACCCGCGGATTGCACGATTATGCAGTGAGTCAGGGGGCGCCTTCCGAGGCTTAAGGCATCTTCTTGTGGCTACACAGCTACACAATCACCAGACCCCCAGCTCAAGCGGTTAACTTTCGTCGGAAAGAAATAGCTGTAAATAGCCAGACGCCCAAACAATTCCTGACGAGGCCGTGGCTGAAGCAGCCAAAGTGGGAACGGTTGGCAAACCTGAACCAGATTGAGGCCCACTTCTGGCTGCAAGCACTCAGAACACTAAGAGTACGATTTGCAAGGAGCTTGCCTGCTGAGAGGCTGGTTTGGAGTGATGTGCGCACCTGTCAAGCTTACGCATACACGGGAACAGTCCTTCCAAAGCAGAAATGGCTGGACCTCGTCGGCTTTGCTTTCGAGGTCTTCAGCCTTCACCGTGTCTGCATCTCTCACATGTTCAACCTCCACTGGTCCATCCGCATGATGTGCATTTGAACCCTGCGAACCTGTCTCAACAAGATTCTCAAGATGCCCAGCATCAGATGACCTTCAGGGCTGCACGAGCAGACTGAGCAAAAGTCGACTGCGGCGCTGTTTGGGTATCCATCGTCCATTGAGTCTCGCATTGGTATGCTATCTTTATCTGTCTCGCGGAACTAGTTCATGGTTCCCGGCAAGCGCACACTGTCTAAAGATCCACAGTAGCACAGTGGCACACGAGCACATATTCCAGCAGCACTGGGCTGCACTGACCCCGGCACTCTATGACAGAGAGAACGGTGGTGATACGGCAAACATTGCAACAGTTATAATTTGTACAGTAATGCTGCTCTCTGTACTCTGCTTTTAGCGCGTGGTTTGGTGCGAGGAGGCAAAACAAGCCATGGGGATGGCGTCTGCAAAGCACGGGGAACGAGGGCGCTGGAGAAATGATGCGAGAGATGGCTTCGGGGTCCACAACATCTATAGTATCTAGAATCTATCGTCTTTTCCTTGGCAGCCTTGCTATGTCTTGCAGCACACCCTTCCTGCATGTTATTGGAGGGATCGCCGGCCTAGGCATCTGAGTGGAACCTCACCTGCGCAAGGAAGTATATTCTCAGCGCATTCTTGCCAACAACATTCCACTACGCAGAAATGTTCAAACGAAATGTTCCTACCAGTACAGCATTTCAAGCCTGAGGCGCTGGCGCAGGTTTTCGATTAAAAATTCACATGTGCTCTTCAGATCCGCACTCCTCAGAAGCAATGCCGAAGACAGGTCTGCCCCACCACACACCGGATTTCGAGGAGGACTTGACTGCGGGACGCTGCATGGCTGTTTGGTGAAGTGCAGACAAAAAGAGCTGAGGTGTGGGCAAGTAGTCCTGGCCTAAGCCAAACCATCAGCATTAAAATCATTCGAACCGATTTGCAGCAACTGCTGCGAATGCTGGGTACGCTGCGCTTCAGCCTGCGTTCATAGTGGCAAGCCACCCAAGCCTGCCATGTGCTCACAACTTTGACACCTCTTTATAGATCATGAGGCGTGGCCGCCTTCCACAGCAAGCCTCCTTGCTTCACCAGCGAAACCTCACTACAGCTAGCTACTACGGAATGGATTTACAATCACCGATGTGTGCTGAGCTGCAGGCAAAATCCATGGCACCTGTGTTCGGCGCGCGGACTTCTGAAGATCTGCTGTATCTGTGCCGTGCGCAATTCCATCGAGCCAGTGTGCTACGTTCCAGGGTCTCCTTCTCTGTCTTTGCTCGTTCCTTTACGTGCCTGTAGGCCGGTACTCTCACTGCGTGTATTGCTGCCATACCAAAGCTTCATCCGTGCATTCTGCATGTTGAGACTTTAACTTCCATCGCAAAAAACTGTACACCGCCGCAACATTGTCACCAAAGCCGAAACAGCACATTGCATCTGTGACCGGGCAGTCCATGCAGCAGCTGTCCAGAGCACAGTGACAGCACTGGTTAAGAAATCATTGGGTTCACGAGCACCTTCAGCTTGGGGCCCCCCGACCCGTTCTGTGAAAAGTTAGCGATGCCAAATAAGAGAAATAGAGCGTACCCTCAGCCAGAAAAGCAGGAGTTCTTGATGTTGGTAACTTTTGCAGCAGGCACATGCAGGCACGCTCTCCCAAAACAACTGAAGGATCCGGCAAAATGCCCCTCAACACTTATCCGTTTCAACTGTCGCTCACCCTGCAGACCGCAATTTCTTAAATCAAGAAATTCAGCCCTGAATGCGAATTTTAGAGCCCCTCAAAGTCCCAATTTGGGGGTGCAGGGGGGGGGGGGGGGGGGGGGGGGGGGGGAGGTTGAGGTCAATGCTTTGACCACTCTGCTACCGAATGCGGATTTCTTGCTTGGAGCCGGGACAGAGGGGTTGGGGCCAAATTGAGAAATCGAGAGGCTAGATGTCCGTGAATCCGGTGGGCCAGCATGTCGATGACCCCCATTTCTCGCCTGTTACAACATCAAAAAAGATATTAAGCCCATGTGCAGCGATCATCCCAAGATCGAGGCTCGTTAATGAAACGTTTTGCATTTGTAAAATCAAACATACGTTACACTTGCTCTTCGCCATCTTGTGTGTTTCAATATGTTTCAATCATGTGAGGGATTTTCTGGAGGGGAGGGGCGAGGGTGAACTATTCATAGGATCAGAATCTCTCAAGGGGCAGCACAAATCCCTCTGTATTCCAAATGGATGAAATCAAGGGTTTAGGATAAGAAATCACGGGGGTGGACGTATTATTTCCAGGGCGGGGCAGGAGGTGGGGGCCAACTTGAGAAATCTTTGGATTCTGCAATTGTGTAGAAGACGGGTTCAGGCATTGATGTCAGAATCTCTCAATTTGCAGCTGAAATCCCCCGCCCTCAAGTGAAGAAAGTGACGGGCTGGAAGTCTTAACACCAAGAAATTCAGGCGCTGGACATCTCAAGTTTAAGAAGTAAGAAACCGAGGATACCCTTATCGAAAACTAGATGTTTCTTATCCGGCGCTGTCACTGTAACTACAGTACGACTGCTCTTCTGGCTTGCTGAGCCACTTGGTGGCAGGCTGTCGATCCAGAAGGTCCATGACGTCCTTGCCCCGTGACTTCCAGGGAAAATTCAACAAGAGCTGATCAAGCGCTTGGCGGTCCTGAGGATTGACTGTGGCCCCCTTCTGCGCCAGAAGCAGCTGGGCCTGCCACAGTTGTCGGGACCAATTGCCGCGCAAGCTGCTCCCTATTGCGCTTTGGGCCCCAAAAGTAAAAGGACCGAAGAGCTGTCTATGGCAGCGGAAGCAACATCTGCGCTCGAAGCTGGTGCGCGATTGAAGTTGCCACCACATCTGTTAACTGTTAACACGGGGTGCTCTGTGCTTTAGTGGGGTCTGCTGACTGACCTCAACCAGGGTGAACAGCTTCGGAACACGTACACACACACACACAAAACAAAACAAAAAACAACAAAACAAAACCCACCCACACACACACACACACACACACTCACTCACGCTCTGCGGAGGGAAAGGTCAGACGAGTCAGGCCGAACAAACAAATCCCCTCCAGAAGCCCTGATACGGGCTACAGCGCGTTGCTACGGCCCACTGACTTCGGAACAACGTGCCAAAGCCAGCCTGCGCACTACCGATTTGCGCAAAGTGCAGTGAAAGTGCCAGCCATGTCCGCCTAGCCTGTCCCAGTCGCAACCTTCTAGGCTCGCGCAGTTCTGGTATACAGCCATGTCCCGGACATTAACGGACTGTGCGTTCCATGGGTTCCGCAGTGCGCAGTGCCTCCTTTAATCCTGCAGTGCTGGATGAGTACTTCTGAGCCTGCGTTGCAGGGGCAGGACTGCGATTCCGACTTTGACTTCTCAAGCTGGCCTGCTGCAGCCAAGCATTGGCCTCGGCAACCTGCTTACGCACCAGATAACCTTGCACGAATCCAAGGTGACATCGTGAACACATCTCCGTGAGCTGTGACTGTGTTGACGGCCCTTGGCGATGCTTTGACAGACATCTGCCACGGACACCTAGAAAGAAGCGCCGACATATGTCAACATGTTCGCAGGCTGTGAAGACAGCTGAGCCCGCCACATCACTGGGCAATCGTAAACTTGTGAGCCAGCGCTCATCTGCTGATCCGGCTTGAACTTGGAGCTCCTGCCGCAAGTTCGCGACCCGTCTTGAAAAATGGCCAAACTGCCGAAACATACGGCTGTTTCCGGGCGTGCACACGGAAAGAGGGGTTGCTGACAAGAACAATGTATCAAATGGACATGACTGGATTGGTGGATTCTGGAGGGTCTCGAGTCGTGACATCTGTGCATCGGCCGCACAGCTTGGGCATCCGAAGCTTAAGCTTGCAGAGCATGATGACAAGCACTCACCCAGAGACTCACCCAGTCCGCAAGCAAGTACCAGGCATCCATGTGCAATGGGACGAAGCCTGTCACTGTGTTGGGGGGTCAATCAGGTCTTGGCAAAGACGTCGAAGGCTGAGGGCAGCACGTAACAAACCCTCACAACATTGCCTGCATGTAGTGAACTGCTGATCGGCCAAGAAATATGTATAGCTTGAGAACAACCCTTGCAGGACGTGGCAAGCCTGCAGGATTCGTCTTTTCGCAACTTGTACCTCTGAAGCTAGAGCTGATGGTGTTTCTGACAGGAGGTACGGACAGACATGGAGCACTTCACAAGTGCGAGCCACCGAATTGCGTCCAGGTCTGTCCTATCCAGCCTGGCCACAAAGCACGCATGCTGCAACATCTGGCATCGCATCGCAGCATGCCAGCACGCAGTCTGTCTACCGGTGAGCATGCAGTCCCTCTGTCTGCGTTCTCTCCAACTGTCTACAAGGTTGGGCAGTCGTCATGATGGCGACCCCTCTGCTCTGTCTGCTCCACTTGCCAGCAGCTGACATGTTCGGCACACTCTTTTGACAGGGAAGTAACAAGCCCAAGCCGCTCGCAGATTCTGATGAACAGCCGCTCTGCTTCGAGCCAATTGGATTGCCGGTACCTCCAAGCCGAGATGCGAGAAAGGATAAGTGAGGGAGCAAAACGATGAAGCGAAGAAATGTGGAGAGACATATGAACATTGTGAAGAACGATGGTAGAACGATGGAAGAAGTGCCAGCTCTCTGAGCTCTTTCAGCTCTCTCAGCTCTCGGGCCGGCACGCCAGTTGACCCAGCTCCATCAAGGAAGGTAGGTGGTTCGGCTCCAGCTCCAATCCGCGCGAGAAGCACTGGGCAGCCTCAGGAACAAATTGACTATGATCTCGCAAAAAGACAGACACTTGTGTTCTTTCTTGCCAGCAGAAGGCGAATTCAAAACAGTGAGTAAGGCACAGAAGGAAAGAGGTGTTATTCGGTGCTGCACTTCCCTCTGTTTTGCTGTTTTTTTGAAGAGGGAGCACTGTCCAATCCCCGCCTTGTGCTGCTCCCCAACACGGGCATATTCCTCTCCGAGAAAATGCATCACCTCACGGCTGGCAAAATTTTCAGCCACGGAAGCTTCAAGAATGTGGAACTCACAAATGTCAAATGTGTCCCGAACTTCCGGATGCGGATGACAGTGCGCAGCAGACTCTGCAAGGGAGATAGCTCGCTCGTGGTCCTGCAAGCGCAGGTTGTTCTGGCTCAGCACCATTGCATTATATTGCATTAAGCGAGCCACGGCGAGCGCCTCGAGTTCTCGACAAGCCTTCGCTCCGTAAGACCGTGCCTGCAGAAAGTGTCAGCTTCCTAAGGCTTGGACAGCTTCGAGACATGCGAAATAGGTCAGTGCCTCGACAGCTTTGGGGTCATTGTCCGGCACCTTGTCTAATTCGACTACAGCTTGCCGATACCTGGTGCAGTTCATGCTCGCGAGAGACTGGCGGGAGGAAAGGCAAGCACACATGGCGCACTGCTTCAAGAGGAAGTAATCCTGATTACGTTAGCCATCTACACTTGCAAGCTACGAACAACTTCCACTTCTTTCACACCTTCCCAAGAGCGAAGTGCACCTCAGTGCGACCTACCACGGCGGATTCAAAGCTGGAGGCAGGAAAAGATGGAAAAACACACGTTGGAGCATCTTCAAAGATGTTCGAAATAAGCGCTGCCTGGGCATAAGGTTTCCAGGATGTTCTTGTAGATTTGCACCGCTTTGCTGTACCTGGAACATCATGCCGACTTCTGCTGATTGCAGGGCATGTCGCAGCCAAGGGTCACTGCTTGGTTGCATCATAGCACTGAGCCAGGGATACGTGCCCATCAGGGCTCTCAGGCTGGGTCCTGACATCATGCATCATGTGTAAAGAGCCTACCGTGCGGATCCATCTTCGCATCTTAGACAGCCCACTAGTCCTGACGAGTGCCTGAAACTGCTGGATTGCACCTTGCGGGCTCACGATTCCACAAATTACAACATGGGTGCGAAGCAGGCGCCTTCAAAGTCCTGACATGTCTTCAAGATGTCCCCCAGAAGCCACATGGCCTCGGCCAGAGCAGATAAGTTCGACTTGTTTGATGGGACGGCGACCAAAACACACAGAAACACAGAGACGAGGCCTTGCCGTGACCAGGGTCAAGGTCAAGAACCATCATGAAGAGCTCCCTCGCGTGCGAAAATTTCCTGCCAAGGCAGCCTATCATTCATTGTCCACTTGTAGCGAAGCTAGCTTGAAGACGGACAGAAGACAAGCCAATACTAGCCAGAATCACTGGCGCTTTCGCTGCACCCATGCCAGGGAGAACAGGGTTTTAACCTTGGAGGTCGGGACTGTCGGCGCGACCTTTTTCCAGACTAGGTGCCTGACGTCGCTTGGGTCTTGTTTGTGAGCCTTGTCGTACCTCGAACCGAAGACTTGATTCTGCACTTGTGCTCTGACACTCCGACATACTTGCAAGATTTCGCAAAGATGGGCAGCAACGCGTGCCACTCGTAGGCCCGATCGTAATCCTGGAGCTTGGCATACACCAGGCCAATGTTGTTCAGGATCTGCACCTCGACTTCACTGACAACTCTAGGAGGCATGGTGAGGTGCTGCAGAAGTGCAAGTGCTGCACGCTTGTGGGCTCGGAAACCAAGGCTTGCTTGAACCGACGAATTGCCTGCGCAAAGGAGCAATGTCTTTCACCGTCCGAGAGTCAGATCACTTTAACTTGACATGGCTACAAGCGGCCTCGTCGTAGTGCCCAGAGTTCAATAGCTTCACACCTTGCGCGTTCTCCTGTGCCCATCAACAGGTTGCTGGTCTCTCCTGTTCTGTCAGCAATCCGCACTCTTAATCAGCTCACTCGACCATGGCCCGGGCACCCCACAAACAGAACGAGCGTGACCATACATAAACATTATTCATCAATGCGGCTTGCTGTTGCATGCAGGTGGTATCTGAGAACATTGGATGTGAGGATTCACTTCCTGTCTATCCCGCTTCAAAAGGTTGCCATGTGCAGCAGGCACGAGCACTCAATTTGCCTGCGAACGAAGGGGGCCAGAAGGATGTGCACTGCAACAGGATGGCTGATCGTGAAGGACCAGCGGGATCAAGAAAACGAGCTTAGCTGGGGATACCTCTCTGTCTGCTCATGAGTTTGCGAGAAGTTGCTGGCAAATCACTGGCTTCTTGTGAAGACCCATTGGTGGCGTCGGCCGCTCGACATGTCCATGAGTTCGTGTCGGCTGTCACATGCACGAATCAGGGAGGTTGACCCCTAAACGTGGAGCATCGCAGAACCGCTATAGAAAACAACAGCCCGGCAGCAAAGCGTCGGGGTCCTGCGCTGCTTCGGTCTCTTCTCTGTTCACACCTCAGGAGGCATGCAACCTAACAGAGAGCAAAAGCACGAGTGCAGTCAACTCACATCATCTCGCGGGCCTTTGCTGTTGCTACCGCTGCTGCCTTCATAGCTGCCCAAGTTTCTGGGTATACCCTCTATCATGTCTCGAAAACAAAACATGTAGCCGTGCCTCCGATGGCTTCAACCGAAGCCAGACGTGGTCCTCTGCCCTCTCAGGCATATACAGACATGGGTCCAGACAACATGCAAAAGACTTGTGGCGCCTGTGGGTAGCCCTTCACATCAGATCTAGCAGCTCCTCATGTCAGGGCATTCAGCGCCAACTCGCAGAGCGGGCAGCATTTGTAGGCGGAGGTCATTTGCAGCAAAGAGATGCTCAACTTGATGGTTTGCGTTTAACATGACAGGACAAAAGCAATATCGGCACGAAGAACATTGACCCAGTCTTCGACACATCGCAGCAATCAATAACTTGCATATTGGGAGTGACACTCCTGCGGCAAGAATGGGATTCGTTTGTGGAGAGCTGAAGGTCTACTCTGCAAGAAAAGCAGAGATCAGAGCAAAACTGCCCAATCTTGACATGTCTTGCTCCGGACTTCAGCTGCGTGATGAGCTCCAGTCGGCTCCTGCTGCGCCTCCACCCGGGGAGTCGTCGACCTCTCGACGTCCGATGCTTTCAAAATCTGAAGAAATCTCCACGGACAACATAGTCCCTCATCATTGCCATGCACCTCTGGCAGTGTCGACACATCACTGACCCCTTGCCTTGGCGGGACACAGCGCAACTGACATCTTGGGGAAACGTTGACTGTCCCTGGAGATGCAGCAGACGGAGATGCAATGCATTCATCGAACCAGAGGTCTTTGCCCCATGTGCTGCTCACAGCTCCGGGACAATCCGTTCTGAACTGCTTCTGCAAGATCTGCATAACTGATGCAACGTCCTCCTACAGCTTCCACTCGGTGTGTCTACCATTACTAACAACTTTTAGAAGGTATGTACATACGACTTGTCTACCTTTGAGAACAGATGATCCAAATTCGTGCATTTTGGTGCTTTTGTGGGCTTGGCCCTGCTCTCTGACTCAGTGTGCGAGTGCACTTAGCAATCTTAACACTTAAAACTGCGGAGATTGGTCCAAGATTCGGATCCGCGCAGATGCATTCAGAGATTCACCCAAGACAAGCAACGCATGTCCCCCACAGATGGTTTTGATGCTGTTCCACTTTGGTCCACCCCTCTTCCTGTTGTCCTGAAGATAAAAGGGCCTGCAGTTCTGATTACAAGCCTGCGCTCTGCTACTCGGTGCCCTCGTAAGCTTTGCGTCCTGCTCTAGTGAGTGCTGGTGCTCATTGCCTCGGAGTTGAAAGTAGAAATCAAGTCTAGCGTCCCTCAGGCGCTTGGACTCTGGAATCAATGTTTTTCTTGGGTACAGTCCATGGCTATACCATGGATGGCCTTGGTACGTGCCTTGCATTGCCTTGCTTATGTGGATGGGAACTCTTGCAAGTGCTCCTGCAAGCTTCATACAGGACAAACAATGATTGACAAGCATAGCACCGGGCACACATCAACTCAGATTTTTCAGGCCCTCAGCTGTCAAAGCCAAACACGACGCGGGGCTGATGCTCTCGAAGCACCCCAGGCTGATGCTGATGATATCTGATGCATGATGATGCTGACCCTGAAACCAGCTTGAGGCAAAAGGACTCGTGGCTGATGCTCAGGCTGGCAGAGCGCCAGAATTGCACCGCAGTAGCTCCATCTGTCAGAAAACGCGACTGTCGTTACGTGGCAACCAACGTGAATAGTTTTCCATATAGACTTTCTTGCTCTCTATGTACTCACCATGGACGCTTGGCAACACCTACTTCGGATCTACAGCATTTTGTTCATGCTGCCAGCTCCTGTCTACCTGGCTCGGCCGTAATTGTGGCCGATCAGGCCGTACATTGCAAGCACATACTCTCAGGGTATGATTACAATCGCAAATTCACGGAACTCCCCAGCTGCATCTCGTGGGCCGGGAAAATGAGGTTCGCCCAGAAGCCAGGCTGGGGCTATCTCTACAGGCGCAACAATCAACATGCTGCAAATGCAAGGCAGCTGCTCAGACACTCTACACTGACTCTACACTGTGACAGAGCGTTGCTTTGGGAACTGAACCGAATCTGAACGGAATTCTTAAGTTGTGGGTACTGAAGCAAACGTACTTGTCAGCAGCTGTCTCAGTTAAAAGATTTCGGTCAGACGCGCCCAAAGGCACGATGAGTAATTAGGTACGAAGCATTAAACTAGCATAGTTCCCGTCATGGGTGTCATGCGTCCGCATGCCATGGGCGGAACCTGACATTCGTCAAACCGTCTGCGATCTACCCATACTAGGTATCCAGTGCTTGCAGAAAACTGAGCACGACACCGGCACCCACGCGTTTCGATCTGGGTTCCAACCTCAGGAAATCTGTTCTCCACTGCTCGGCGATGGAGATGCAAACTGTGCGTGCGAAGTGATATGACCTAACATACACACATACACACATACACACATGTAGGAGTTGCATGAGGCATGCTCGGGGTCAAGCACTCCACGGTCTCACGAGGAGCGTCATCCCCCAGTCCACCTTCCGCAGAAGCATGAGGTAATTTTGTAAAATCCTGTCAACTGAGTTGCGGTACATTCCATGGGAAACCCCAGTTTTCTGTGCAAAGTCATTGGAAGACATGGGAAGGTCCAGGTGGGATGGGCGCCTAGTAAGTAGATTCGCCCAGCGGCCACCGCGAGGGCCGCTCCTTCACGGCTACAAGACCTTAAGCTCCACCATGCTCCACCAGAGTCCGCCACACCTTGAGATCCTACAGAGATCCTACAGAGATCCTACAGAGATCCTACAGAGATCCTACAGAGATCCTAGAGTAACTTGGACTGCGAGGCGCAGAGAAGGCAAGGAATGTTTTTGCACTCAGCACACGGCATGTCAGGAAGAGGTTGCCAGTGGCCACCTGGAGCCCATGATGTGCATGATGCGCGTGTTCACTTGAAAGGAGCAGCTTGGGACTAAGTACGGCGCTCACGGGATCAAACATTTCTGCCTGCTTTAAGCACTGGGCCTCAAGCTGACTCGGAGCAGACTCGGAACAAAAGACCATGTGAAAAAATACACGACAATACAAGAAACATCCGAGCTGAGCCCTTTCGCCTTGTCGGATCCCCCAAAGATGAAGACTCGACCTCTCTACGTCTCTCTACTTTCATGTCTTTGATGCACGGCTTGTACATGATTGTACACACAGCGCTGGGCGAAGGACCGTTGAGTGAAGCAATCGCTGCATGGCGCCTCTTGATCGCCATCGGCGCGAGCCTGTGCAGAGCCCAACTGCTTGCAAGTCAGGTAGTACGTGTGATTGTGCCTTTGCCAGGCCCCCTCATTCAAGTCCAGGCATTCCACAGATCGCAACACCTTTCGTTACGGTGAAGAAACGTTACTTTGATAAAGCAGGACTTCAGCCGCACTTGAGGGCGTTGCACGAGCACCCTGGTGACCACCACAGACAATCACCTCTGAAGAGCTGTCAGTGCACTGCCGTCAGGAACAGATTTGCACGTGTGCACCTTGCCATTCACATGGGTTGCTGCAGCGCTGCGCCTGTTGAAGGCCACTTTCAGACGCCGTACCCATACCCCCCTCCTCTCTCGTGAAAAATTATCTGGTCTGCCTGCCCTCATGTAGAGGTGGAGCATGCCTCAATAGAATTGTTGTGTGTATGCGTGGCTGTAGGGTTTCAGAACCTGGGTCTTGCACCGCCACTGCCTGCAGGCTGAGTCGAAAAACTCAACCTTTGCAGCTTCGTTCAAACCATCGCGTCGAGCAACCTGTTTCGGACCGATGAGCCTTGTTGAGGTAACTGTGCCCACAGAAGCCTGCAAGCGGTGGATTAACTTCTGCTAGTAAGCCGACCCTTACGTTTCGACGCAAGCGGTCCTCCGCAGAGGAACAGTTGGCCACGAAGCTGGACGGCAGCAGCACCTTCTCGCCTGCTGGGCATGGAGAGTTGTCGCACGAGTGACACCGAATGGCCCAGCATTCAGCATTTACCTGACTCCAGCCAGACTCACATGATGACCCCTTGCTCCAGCAAGTTTCTCCCCTGCGTCGTTAAACGACAAGATGCTGTGGTAGCAGCCCACACGTGCGTTTGCAAAGCTGCACTTCCAGGCCGTGCCAGATGCAGCGTCTTTCGCTCTCTTGTATGTGTGCATCCATGTTGCTGATACGTCTATAACGGCTGGAGCGCAGAAACGATTGTTGCAGAAGATGTAGGCGTGCTCGGTATTGAATAATTCCTGACCTGCTCATCATGGCAGGCAGCGGATGCCACCTCGGTGCGCATGTCACCGGTACAAGTGCTCGGTAGTAACCGTCTGTCTTTGGCTTGTCAGATGGCGCTCCTGCTACACAGACGGATCTTTGGAGTAAGCTTTGGAGTATCAGTAGGTGTGACATGCCGACAGTCCAAAGCAAACTCCTGTGCCAACGGTCGAAACAAGACTTAACATGTCGGCGGACCGGTTTTCGATGGGATCGAAGCTCTCTGCCGACCTTGCAGGATCTTGCAGCTCAAACTGACACTCCTATGATGGCAACCACGGTCCGAACCTCAGGAAGTGGATATCGTCGAAGCCAGCACAGACAATAAGCTGGCCACGGACAGGCGCCGCCTTGCGGAACACACAGAGGAAATCAGTGAAGCGCAATATGCCAATCGTCTGGTCTTCAGACCACATGGTGGCTGATACTCGTATGTTTTTTGACTTTGTCCCGTGTGTATCAACTTGCTTCTCACCTTTGATTGGCTATGTTCCTCCTCTCTATCCTCTCCTCCGCCTCATCCTCCTTCCACCCCCCTCTTCCTTCTCCTCGCCCTTGCGCTCAATGCGGCGACGCTCTTTCTGCCAAGCTCGCTCTTGCAGACGTTTCAGGCAGGTGGGCGTAGTGTGTCGGCGACTTCTGGCAAGCTATTGAATGCGTCAGATCTCCAAGCTCCAGGCTGTTGCACTGGCTCGTGCTGCCTGAGGCCAACAAGCATGGCACCCAGGGCGTCTGACTTAACTGCAGAGTTGTCCAACAGATTTCCCAAGGCGAGGGGCCTGCATGCTCGGCAAAAGCTCCCAGGCATTTGACCTTCGATCTTTCCGGTATCTGTGCCTCTACAAAAATTGTCAACAGACAGGACCTGCCTGATATCCAGACACTCTACGTGTGGGAAGAAGTTGGTGCCTCAGAAATCATCCCGAGGGTTCAACAGCCATGCAAATCAGGAAAGGCAAACTTTCGAACTTGCTGTTGTTTCTTGTGCTTAGTACTTGCTGCCTTCGTTTGTCACAGGCGGCACGCAAAACCTGAACATTGACTCTGGGGAGCTCGCCGTCTTGGCCACCAAGTATGTACAAACACCCACGTAGCACTGTAGCAGCTGCCTCACATTAAAAGGATCAACAGCATCATGATCAGCATCATGGCAGCGCCGGCTTCTGCGGCCAAGTTGCTCTGCTCCTGGCCACAGCCAGGGGAGGCAAAGCCCGCCAAGCATGAGCCTCGCTTGGGTGTTGCGGTCTTTCCAGCATGGAATCGGCCGAATCACAATTTTAACTTGGCTGCTGGTGCTGGTTACCTGTTTAACGCTGGCTGCGCCTACCCAATTCAAAATCCGAAGCTCTGGATTCGAAATATGAATCAGTTGTGTGTTGAAAACGCAACTTACTTGCACGTTGGCAGGCCCGAATCTACAAATGAGGCGTTTCGCAGCTAGCCTGTGGAGGTATCAAGCCCATGATAGAAGCAAGGGACGAGGTGCACGGTAAGCGGATTGTGTGCTTCAGATAGTCAAGCAAGGCACACGCCTGCATCTTGGTTTTTGTCCCTTGCTTTTTGTGCCTCACACAAGCGCAATATGATGGGCGTCAAATTTCTGCAAACTCTTATCTCCAGTTGGGCCTCAACCAAACTCATGCTGCAAGTGGGTTCTTGGGCTTTACACGGGAAGGTACGAACAAAAATTAGTGAAAGATACCTCCAGTTCTGGAGGTGGAATTTCATGTTCATCTCGTGTTCGCACTTTATCATCAGGAAAGGGCTGTCGGGAAGCATGTGTGAATGAAGGAACATCATAATCTGGATATTCATAACAAGTGAGTTGTCTGGAATGAAACGAGCTCGCAGAATGGAAACCTGCTGTGTAGTATTGAAGCTTAAAAAGTTCAAAGCGAAGTCATTGGTTTGAAGCCTTCAAGTTTAGAGTCAAAGACACCTCGCTTGTCGTTGCCTCTTAGCTTCTTAACCACAACAACTTCAAGATGAGCGATTGGAGCTGGTATTACCACCACTGTGTAGTAACATGTACAACAATCATATGTTCTTCAGGAGAAAATGCAATTGTTGCTGTGAATAATTTATGGTCAGCCGACGCCGGCTTGACAGGGCGCCCAGTGAAACCCCTTTGCGGGGCGCCAAACTCTGAGCCCCTTCTCCAGAACATTGGCCGCTCAGGACGACTTCTGTTTGCGCAGGCCGCAATCACATCGACAGAAAACAAGATTTCGGTGTTGTGCAAAATACGTAGAGCGAGGGTGGCTTTTGGGCAGGTGTTCTCCCTCTTCCGCAGCTCCCCAACCCCAATCCCCCGCCCCCCCCCCCATCTCCTTTGTCCAACCATTCCAATGTCTGTCGCAGATCCAACATGATTTGCCCCACGCCCCCCCTCCAAAACAAAAAACTGTTGCAGGACCGCTGGCAGCGGGCTTCAGCCCCCCTAGCCCCTTAAACCCTGTTTGATTTCCAAGGCTCCTTGTGGCCAGGAACGCCAAGGTCATAAGGACAGCATCTTTAGTCTGAGCCCCCGTCTAGAAAGATAAGTTGGCCGGGCGAGTCGGCATGTGGGGACCGTTCGCGGGGCCGGTGAAATCCGCTCCGAAGTCCAGTCTTCCAGGTGCCGTAAGAAGATTTTCGTGTGGCGCGTTTAAATCCATTGCCGGCCTTCCTCTCCCCAGGCCTGCCAGGGGAGTATCCAGCCTGTGTCTAACGATGGCCCAAATCAGCTTCGACTGTGCGAGGGGCTGAGGGACATACCAAAGAGGGCCGAACATTAAACCATCTGGAGCCCCTACTTGTACGTCCATTAACTTCAAAGTCTTGTCAAAATCTTAACAACAAAGTCAAGGGTTCTTCAGCACATTGGCACCCTTTGGAGAACTGATGACCAAAACAAGCAAGGGTGTCGCGGTGGTGCAACGAAAAGGCTAAGCTCAAAAAGCTGGGTGCCTGAGGATTAAAGGGTCAAGAACCGGGCATTCTGGAGTCCCCTCCCTAAACCAACACTCGGTGCTGCAGCAGCCCTGGCAAGTCGGTCCACCTGCACGTCCATGTACTCCGCATGCTTGATGCTCTGGCTTCCACTGCAACCTCCACATACATAGATACCTGATTCGAAGAAAACCCTGCATGACACCCTTGTGGGAATGCCTATGCAACGGCGCACGCAGCGGAGATGTCAACTCCACGTGCTTGAGCACCGGGACGCCACACTGGCAGCGGGCATCAGTGGACTTTGCACCCAGCAAGGACTCATCACTTCTTCCCGCCTGGAAGTTCTTGCGGCAAGTCGCGATGAGCTGCTTCCCTGCTAAAGGCCCTGCCAAAAGCAGTAGAATAAAGTTTCGGCTCGCCATCCTTCTGTCTGCCCATGGTCATTTTAGCTTAAGCGAAGCCACAGAGGATTCTGCGAACGCCGCAAGGGCCCTATGCAGCCTGCAGCATGAACGATGGCCATCGCAAGCTCTGGAGTCTGCAAAGCCTCCGAAATCTTTATATTCAGAGTTCGCTGAAGTTTGCTGCAGACGGGTAAGAGCGGACGAGTTCGCGTTTTCATCTGAGCCCCACCTGCGCCGCGCCTGCTCTCTGACTACCAAGTGGGTATACCTCTCCACAACACACAATCATCCGCAGTGCTCACTGAGGCAAATTCTGAGCCTGCGATGTGGCAGCAAAGCGTTTGCTGTGAAGTCTGGCCTTACACTCAAGTATCAAGAAGATGTGCTGCGGCGAGATGCTTCTTTGGAGAGACACGAGCGGCATCGTGCGACACAAGGGTCGCACGAGAAACTGCTGCTGATGCAGAACTCCCACCTCTGCCTGAGACAACCAGTTCGTCAAGTGTACAAGGACCTGTTACAAGGACTTACGAGGGGACTGCACATGTCCTAGGAATTCTGCCAACCAAGCGGCCAGATACTCCTTCAGCACGCTCATTTCAAGCCACAAGTCGCCCACAGTTGCCTCAGCGCAAGGAAGCATTCTAGTCATTCTAGTCGTTTGCATTCTTGTATCAGATTTGAACCATCAAGAACTCTCACTGCGACCGAGAAACCTCCAGCTTCTGCATCTGTGACCAGCTACGGAAAGCCGAAGACGCCATGGGGAATCATAAACTAGGATTAGGCTCAGGAACGACAGAGCGGTGCCTTTGGCGCAGGTACTGTAGCTTGACTGGACAGTGTACGACAGTGTGTTGAAATCCGAAAGACATTGGGGAGCTTGGCTTGAAATAATGGCCTCACATTGCAACATGCACTACTCTATCCAAATGATGGGTGTTGCCGGCTCTCCTGCCGCAGCGAAGCTCCTTTTTCACAGCATTCAAGCAATGTCGGGAGAAGCGTGAGGAATGTCGCCAGCTTGCATGCCAAGGCCACCGATGATTTCCTCGATGATTTCAGCCTGAAGCACCGAAGAGGCGTCGCACTCCAACAGCTGACCCTACCCGACAAGAAACGTGCCGGCAGTAACTTTGCCAAGCCACTTCGACTGAGCGTAAGCCATGCTGCTCGCACTCCGGCAATACCATGAGGCGGCAAAGTTCCGGCCCGAGTCTTCGACGTGTAAGCTCTGAGAAAAGCAGTGATATTCGCTTCCAGCGGTCGCCTTTGCACGCCTGCTCAAATCTGAAACAGGATCTGTCATGGCATGTCACTGCTTTTTTATATTTTTTTGCACATCGCATGGGCACTATGTGCCAAAGAGAAGCATGGCCGTGGCTCTGATTCTACAGCGAAGTGCAGATTGGAAACCTCTGAGATCACTTATTGAAGTTAAGGTCGGCATGGGAGAGCTATGGAGAACACCACTGCACATCTTCCCGGACAAGGAGATGAAAAGCAGAGAACATCACAAGAGCCAGGGTAGAGCAAGTGCCATGACCTCCTTAAGACCATGAAACACGATGTCGAACGACTGTGGAACCAGCCCTTCGGTGTTGCCATGTCTGCCATGTCTAGCCACCGGAGAAATCAACACATCGGATGTCGGATTGTGAGCAAGATGAGCCACGGCCACCACAGACGGAGAGCAGCAGGCCAGACTGCAACGACTCAGATGTAAGAAGAGGAGCCTGCGGCAAACATGAAATGAGCAATGGCCTCTGATAGGGGATATCAATGTTCTTGCGCCGAGGGGGAGTCCGGGTCCGGGTCTAGGTCCCGGGGCCCAGGTCCGGCTCTGGGTCCCTGGGCGCGGCCGGGTGGGTCCGGGTCCGGACGAGCCGACGCAAGAAAAACGATGTTGCCATATGAGCCCGCAAGCCCTCACCCCCGGCTTCTCTGCTTCTGAGCAGTTCTATTGCGACTTCGGTTCACTTGCAATAGCTTCTGGGCCCGAAACAGGAATCTGATGCAAAAGCGGAATGCGCAGGTGCTCTGGCCCTAGCCCCATGATGGGCAGGCTGACCCCCCTCATGAAGAATCAACAAGACAGCACTGTGCTGGGTCAATACTGTGCAACTGCCAAATTCAGACCAGGCGCCTGAATGGCTACGTCGAAACTGATGTCATCAGCGAGAACATCTCTTGAAGGCATGAGATGAAGCAACGTCAACGAGTCGCGCCAGCGCAGCGACTGCGCGTGGGCAGTAATGGCCGAGTTGCAGCCTCCAGGACACCAATATGTCTGTTAATATGACGGGGTCAGCGTTGATTCTTATGGTCGCCTCGAAGCCTGGCCATGCCGAGCCTAGTAGGGGCTAAATCGAGTGCTACATATCATATGGCTTCGTGTCTTGTTGCAGCTTTGAAGCTCGCCGTGTCCAATGATAGCTGCAGAAGCCTTACTTCGTCAAGAAGTCGCTGTGCCCATTGCCAAGTTTGTGGAGTCTGGCAGGCGCTTATCAGCGCACAGCAGCTGACTTCATCCAGCAACATCCCAGCAGTTTGCATGCCCGTGGACATGCCCAAAGCACACTTCCAGTCCGACGATTTGCTAAACATATCCAAATGTGAATTCTGGGTAATCATGTCCGCGCGGACTTGCCAGCGAAACGATTGCAGCATGCTGCAGGCTCCTTGCCATGAACTGGAAGCACGGCTGAAGACGCAATAGCTCATGGCATCATGTTTGATAGATTCTTGCAACATTGAGGAAGCCAAGGTGACAGATGTCTGCCATAAAGAAGCTGACTGTGCCGCAAGCATGCCAGCCGCAAAAGTGATCCGATCGCACTGCACCGAGAATTGTGGCAGGCGACCCAACAACGCAAATGCTTGCAACCACCTGGGTTCCGCAGAGAGCGTGTTCATGAAGCAGTTCCAAATCAAGAAGTTGGGAGCTGAGCCGCATCGATGCATCATGGCGAGGAAGTTTAAACCCTGCTGCCACTGACCTCCCGGACCCTCCGGGATTGCCGAGCCATGAGTTACTATGTCTGGCTCCAGCTCCTGATCCACAAGCACGTAAAGACAGGACAGTGACTGCTGCCATTGGGGGACAGCATTGATGACAGTGTTGGCAGAAATATGATCCCATGAGAGGCGTGCGTGGCTCATTCTTCTAAAAACGGACGCGGCTTCCCTCCATCGGTTTCCAGTCGCCAGAACATCAAGGACTGAATTGGCAACCAGTACAGGGCTGGGCCGGGCCCTCCTCTGGGACGCGGCCACGGGTGGGGCCATAGACTGCATATTGGACTGCATGCTCAGCAGCTGCAAGGCTTTGGGCCAGCACCTGCCTCTTTTGCAGGCACCGAGAACCTCTGCCAAGCTGACAGAATCTGGCTGAAGATTCAGACTGGCAGAATTGCGAAGATACCAGATGGACAGCTGCCAATCATTTCTTGTTGTGCACGGTGCCAGGAATGACTTCGTGTATGCCCGGATGTCGGCCCTCATGGCTTTCATATCGTGGAGATGCTTCAGGGACAACAGCCAATTACCACCCTCCATGTGAGCTCTTGCCGACACTGTGGCCGTTAGTACGTCTGGCAGGAGGGCAGCACTACCCATCGCTGCACAGAGGTGCACAGCCTTTTGCCAACTGTACTTCTCAACCAAAGATCCTGCAGCCGCGTTTGAGTGCCACACGTTGACTTCGATTTGGTTGCTCTGCATGCTGCGGAGAATTCCGCTGACCACGCCACTGCCTTGGGCATTTTGCAGCAGCTTAGTCACGCGCCCGGGCTCGTTGTGCCAACGCTGGATCAGGCTCTCTAGGGCACGTTCCGTATCGGAACTGGAAGCTTCTGGCCCCAGATTCCGTATCACATCAAGATCTGTCCGTTTCTGGGAGTGTGAGGAGACTCTCTGCCTTCGATTGCCCTGTGCCTGACGTCCGTGGAATTCCATGCTCGAGTCTGTCAGCTTGCGTAATTCTTCTGTCACTTCTGAGACTTCTGTGCATCGGCCCAATGGGCACACGGTCACACGGTGGGCAGAAGGAGGTCATCTTCCCTTTGATATCCAACGCTGATCACGGCAGATACGTGCGACAGTCGAGGTCTCAGCAGCTCTCATGCCCGGATGGTGGCGCAGCAGCCACTCACAGTCGATCACATCAGCATCGAAAGCACTGGAAACTAAGCCGAGCCTGATCCAGAGCCAAACTGCAAGAGCCTAGAAATCCTACGACCAACCACCTCCTTCTGTATGAGCCTTGCAGGCGTGACTCCTAAAACCGCAGCATTCGCAGTCACTTTGTCCTTAACGGCACTGCATCTCAAGAAGCCAACCCCCACAGCTGCCCATCTTGGGCTGCCGCCACGGGAATTTCCGCAGCGGCCAACTATGGGTTCGGACAAGTTGACTTTCGACACCACCATGCAGGCTTCCTACTTCTTGCTCAGAATCGCCGCCGCCTTCTCACCAATGAGCTTGCCGTGCTTGTCTGCCTCAGCCTGGCATTTAAGGGCCACCATCTGAGGTCTGGGGTCTGAAGACATCTGCAGCCAGGCACTGTGTTGACTATCGGGCCTCGCCGACAACAGCCCCAAAAGCTAAGTATCTCTTTAAGCGAATCATGAGGCTAGTGCCATGCTGCTCTTATACTACAAGAGTCGCTAAAACAACAGCTCCCGACTCTATGAAAAGGCTCTTCTCACCAGAGCAATGAAAAAAGCACGTGTCGAAGTTGTGCTTTGGAGCACAAGCCTTGTCTTCTGCGGAGATATCATCGTAGCTTGCATTTGGCGTGTCATCTTTGCAGCAGGCGGCCAAACAGCGAGATATGCTGGCGCAGGAGCAGTTGAACGCGCTTACAATCCACTTCTCGTCCGTCCCCTCGGGGGATGAGTTGATGAAGTCGGCGGTCCACCACAATGGGAGCTCATCTAGACCCAGCGCCGGCATGACGAGAGGCAGATCTTTATCTAGGAAGCCGCGAGTTAGCCTCTGGTACTGCGGCTCGTCAGAACCAAAGTACGTATATACAGAACCGGTACCTCCAACTGAGATGCCTCCTGCTTTTGGCTTCTCGTGAGTGATTCCAACCAGCGTGTCTGCAATCATGTTGTACCGCAGTTCGCCTGCAGGATGCTGGCATGATCATGTGATCTTAGCTCTTGCTCGCAAACATTTGGATAGCACGGACCGTATGGTTCTATTTCTGCGTACTGTAATTACTATTCAACGTGCTGCTCCTTAAAGCAGGTCAGATCAGGACAAGGCCTTCCACTTTGCGTGGGCAGAATCTCTGATCGACCAGCTGTCCGCCAGCTTCTTTTCCACCCGCCAAGTACTTCCCAGCTCCTTTGGAAGTCCACTTGCCAGCCTTGTCGCTGTGTCCGTTGACACAAAACTCGATGAACTCGGCAACCGTGTGTTCTTCCTCGTGGTTGTCATTGTCTTCCATGAGCACCAGAACTTCCGTGTCTTCAGCGCAGCGCTGTCCAAACTCGGAACAGTAGTTCTGTGCTTTCAACTTGACAGTCCAGATGCCCTCTCTGTGCCTGATGACACGCGGCTGGAAGGCCACGGCCTTCTTAAAGCCTTGAGCAAATTCTTGCTCACTGTAGTAGGCCAATGTATCAGGCAATCCAATGCTCATGCTCGCCACCTTGCACAGCGCGTCCTGAATGCAGGTATTGCCACATGGAAATTGCCAATTCGACTTGGCCAGGCTGAAATTGGTGGCCCACCCCCACCCCCCTTTTCCTGTCTCGCCCGAACCGCTTGGAGGAGCTGCAATCCGATGCCGCTGAGGGCCGGCCAGGCTGCTGAGGTGGCGTGCGCAAGCAGCTGCAATTCCAGAGTGTACGCAGTGTGGGAGTAGCTATGCCAGCTATGCACTTTCAAAAGATGCACAAGCTTAATACCGACTTTGTCTGTGACATTTTAGACATGTGACTCTGAACCCCGTGTGAAAGCAGCACTCCGCGTCCTTGGCCGCCATCTTCTCCATGCCATCAGGCGATGGCCAGATCTGAACACCTTGCTTCCTCTCATTGTCAAGGACAAAACTGCGTGCCGTCACCTGAGACCGCCCTTGCAAGTGTCCTCAATTTGCGCATCCCATCATCAAACTTCTGCTGGTCTCCTCCATCCGCCTGGCACACTAGCAACGTGGAATACCGGGATGATACCGGGTGCCGCCGGCGAGACTCGAACATGTTCCGGCCTTGATCTGGCCTGGGTCACACCTGACAATGATGAAGTCAAACTTTGCAGCCAGAGAGAAGAAGTGCTCGTGCTCTTCGTGTGTATAGTGAAGCAGCTGACCTCGGAGCGTGATCAAGTATCGTTGAACCCACGGCCGCTTCGCAATCGAAGCTTCAGATGGAATCGGAGCGCATGTGACTGCCAGGCCCAGGGGCTCTGCCTAGCTGAGACCTCGCAAACTCCTGCAAGATCGATCAGTCGACAACCAGTTCCACCCTTATACATCCCTTTGCCTGGGTCATCCTGCACACGCCCTAGTCCAATGTCTAGAAGTTACTGTCTAAGTCAAAAGAGTGCTTGTTGAGTCGCCATCTAGACAGCCCACCGATACTCCCGCCTTGACAACGGGATGCTTTCAAGCCGAGATGGGTTGTTGGACGCTAGAGTAATCTTGGAAGCCCTGCGCTAGCAGCGGACTGTCGACATGTTGGTCGGGCTCGAAGCAAGCCATTCAGATTCCACTGGCTCTTGTGGTCTTTGAAGCTTTACTGTCGATTTAGGATCCACATCCCTTTTGCAGCAACTTGCACCTGCGAGCCCAGCCTCGACGAGCGCTCGAAGCAACAGCAAACGTTTACTGTTGGGCCAAGAAACAGCTCATGCCTGACTCAATCATACCATTTGCGAGGGTGATTGAATCGAACCGGTGCCCATTTGAGCTCTTGTCTGATCCGCCAAACCTCAGCTCGCAACTTTTGGTCACTGACATCTGGAAATATCTGCAAGCTCACCGGTTGTCTTACGTCAAATGGGCAAGCAAGGGCTACTACCATGGGAGTGGCATCTTATGAGTCTCACCCAAAAGAGGCCGAAGATCTGACCAAGGAGCGGTGCGCCTCGCACATAAACTTGCACCAGGGCGCCCTTGAACTTTGGCTGCGAAGGTTGCTCTTTCAAGCCTCGTGTTCTGCCATCTGCTGTGATACAGGCGAAGAGACCAAAAAAGTCGCAGTGACGAATCTGCATCTCTCCAACAAAAGACGCCTTTAAAAGAGCCTCGAAGAGCCTCGAACCTCTCTGGCCTCTGCAGTCTTTGGCAATGGCAGTGATGGAGCTGCAGTCGACATGCCCAGATGCGACGGCCCCTCCTGGTCCAGCACCTGCACTTCAACAGGCTGCACAGGTTGCAGGCGTCGAAGATATGCAAAAGCTCCATCAGGGCCTGGTGTGGGATTGTTTGCAGGTGCCGCCACCACTGCTCTCAGCTTGGTCTTGTCCTGTGGCGCCAAGTCCTCGTGAAAAACGATTAGATGGTAATGACACGGAGCACATCAACCCACGATCAGTTCATCTCTTGTACTGCCTGCAAGGCCATTTTGACCTCATCGGGGGAGGCTTCCTGCAGAGCAGTCTCCAAGGCTTTGGATGCACCTCACAGGCCACCAGAAATGCTGTTGGCCACCATCTGCAAAGGCAGTTGATGTATCTTGGCCAACGGCAACTGAAAGTAGTCGTATGTGTTGAAGTTTTGCATCACGCCAGAAACTTTTTTGTCGGCAGGCGCACAGTGCACGCACGTCTAATCAGACTACAAGCAACAACGCTGAGAAGCAAAAACTTGGCACTTGTTTCAGTACTGGTGACTTGCGCATATTACGTCTCAAGTGTGCATCGTTTCTCTACACCTAAACATATGGGGTTGTCAAACACGTCTGAAGATGTTTGCACGATGAAAAAACAGAGACGCGCAGACAGACAGACAGGCAGACAGACAGACAAACACAAAGACACACACACACACACAGAGACAGAGAGAGAGAGAGAGAGAGACACACACACACACACACACACACCCAGCCAGCCAGCCAGCCAGCCAGACAGACAGACAGACAGGCAGACACACAGACACACACAGTCGTCTTCGGGGTCTCCCTACTCATGTAGGGGACGGCAGAAGCCCGAGCACACAAAGCTCAGTCTATGCGCAGCCTCAGGGGCTAAAATGGCCCAAAATGCGCACATCATGAAAATGAGGAAAAGTGAAATATCTTCATCTCATGTTGCAAACCTCGCGCGTGTTGTTCCAAAACAAAGTGCTACACACACAAACACATACTACAGAGAGAGAGAGAGAGATTCAGTCGGCTTCATTGTTCGGAAAAGCGCGCACAGGGGGCCTGAGCCCATGATCCAGGACAGCAGTGATGAGGTAGACGACTTGCTTGAGCTGAAAACATAGCACCAGCGAAAGTGTCGTAAAACTTCGTGTTAGGGCTTTGAGAGGCTACAGGCACTTCACCGGCAGGACAGCTACCTGTGGCATTTCAATCGACCTCAAGTACTCGTACACCATCTCCGAGAGTCAAGAGGCCACGAGCATGAAAAATGCTTCTGTACAAAATCTGTACCAATCTCTACCAATCTATACCAAGCCTCGCAAGATGCACTTTAAAATCGAATTTGGCTCCCAGTGTCGCTCGGGACAGAGCAGAGCCAGAGCAGAGTCCCTCTCCAAGATGTGCGGCGCTATAAATTGACAGGGCTCACGGTCGTAGCAAGTGTCTAACACTCTTAATTGCGGCCATCTTGACAGGAGTACAGTGACACGAAAACCGACTATGTAGTCTGCACACCCACAGCACATTCACCGCAGCTGCATAAACCTGCAGAGACGCTTGCAGCCACTCACTCGAAGTTTTGCAGAGCTCCAACCGAAGTCAAACCAGCTCTGAGATCAGCTAGCTCTGCTATACCAAACGGAGTTGTACTTTAGATGGACCCGAACCGGGTTCGTCACCCGGCCTCCAAAGCATGTTGCAGAAAAAGTCCATGCCATCCTGGCGACTGCCGTGCAAGAAGCAAAGAGGCCCAAGATGGCTCAAGAAAATGCTCCACATGTCGCTAAGCCCAGCACAATACGCACACCCTACCCATGGGAAGCAAAAGGATTTGGAGAGAGAGGAATCTGACGAGGAAGGAAGCGCTTGAGAAACATCACGGTACTGCGGCTCGGCCGCTGTTGCGCAGCTGCCACTCTTCTGCCCGGCACCCCTTGTGCCTCCGACCATCTCCAACCCCTCTCCACGAAAAAAAGCAACACGATGGCAGAGCGTAAGCACAGCATCCGCACGCGCGGCGTTTCTGAGCATTTCCTTTTGAGAGCCAGGGTGGCCGCGGTGGGTGCAGAGACCCTCGCTACAACCATTATCAGCGCAGACGTCAGAGAGAAATCGCTGCAGCAAGTGTTGACTTGCACCAGGTCCACACCTGATCCAAGCAAACTCATCAGCGATGGAAAACCCACTCTGTACATCTTGACGTGCGGAGGCTTCCTGTAAAGCCAGGATTAACAGTGATTGGTGCACCTCCTCTTTGAGGGCTCAACTGTGGTTCACTAGCGGGACGTTGCCACTGCATAGGCAGAGGTCTTACAGCAAAGGTCAAAAAGTTGAGCCTCCGGAACCGAGAAGGCCGGAGGATTTGGGCCTCAGGCTTTGGCTGCCGTCTGCGCCTTGCCGCTTCACCAGATTTTGCATTTAGGGCTGTTCGACTGCTGCAGATATAGCAAAGCGAAATCACAGTCGGCACTGTAGATTTCCCACATTTTCCGGCACGGGCAGCTTAGTCGCAGCAGTCGCAGCAGGAACACCCAGACTTTGTGGGCCAGACCTGCGTCCAAGGCGTTTTGGTTTGATGCTGGACTGCATGGTTCAAGAGTCCCGATCGAATGGGGCTGCAGCTGAAGTGTCTCGGTGCCATGGATATCTCTTCACAGCAAGTTCCTGCCTGAAAATGACACCAGGCTCAGCTTTTCAACTCTTGACTGCCTGGCCCTGGAACACAATATGTTTTGCCCGAGGTGCTCCGGCTCAAAGTCTTGATCGCCACGCAGCACCTCGGTCCGTTCGGTTCGTTCGGTTCGCGGAGGCTGGATTCCGATGCGCATTTCAGCAACAGCCTGCCGCTGAGTGCAGAGCCATGAAATCCTTTCGCAGGACATGCCCCAAAGTATGCGTGCAAGATCGTGCAAGCTCTGGGGCTCAAAGAACAACTGCCTACTGCTGCTACTGCTACGGCCTGTGCCACCGTGACCTTAACATCATCTCCGAGAATCTGCCGCGCCTTGCTTTTGGCCAGTTCAGCATGGCACTTCATGGTACTGATCACTAACCATCACTAACCCTGCTCGCTTGTCTATGCCTCGTCACCCAACTTCTCCGCCGGATCCGGTGACCTCTCGTCCACCTGCAAGTAACACAAGTAGTCCTACGTCAAGGAAGCACACAAGCCCCCACCTCAGATGTCTTTGCGTATCTTGCCGAAAAATGGGAAAGCACCAAGCGCTTCCTCAACATGGGCGTCAGAACAAGCATCAGTAGCAAGCCTTGTGGCGGGGCATCTCGACCGAGATACGTGGGCACCATAGTGCGACTGAAACACATGTACGAATATCCTTCATTTTTCGAACTTGGCTAGCGCTCTAGCCCGGTTCGAAGCTCAGGCGGAATGACGTTGTCCGCGTTGGGACTTTTGTACAGCGGCTCAGGGGCATCTTGTTGAGATTCAGCTTCATCTTTCAAGTCTCTCAAGTGCACCTCAGGGTCCGGATGTGGGCTTTGCAGAACCTGGTCGCCATCGCAAGCATTGAGCCTCAAGTTCAGTCTGTCTGGCCGTGCCACTTGCTTCTGCCTCAACAGGTAAACATGAGCATGGACTCTGAGAAGATCCGCACTGCTCCAGGCCTCCTCGTGCTGACGAAGCAGCTCTGACCAAGACTCATTTGCCTTCTGCTCACGTGACTTGTTTCACAACAGGCATCGCAATATTGCATGGCTGGACATGGCCTTCTCAGCATCCGCATACCGGTGTTCGGCATAGATCTGCTGCAGGCACACGTCAAATTAGCATACTTTGGTGGGGTCTAGGCCCTCCAGACCCAGATACTATGTTACTATGTCGTTCCCTTCAGGAGTGATTCAAAGAGGAACACTCAGGCCCCTTACCTCACTTTCTCGGGAGTACAGAACGGCTTGCACATCAATCCAGAAAAGCTGGAACTTCGTCATCAGCTTCCTAGCAAGAGCAACAATGGCTCTATCTCGCTGTCCCTTTGTCACTCGCCGACCTGACTCCCTCCCCCATGCCATTCAACGAGTCAACCGCCAGCTTGATGTTGGCTGCCTTGATGCTCGGCACTGGCCCAGCAGGCAGGTCAGCGTTTCCGTCTTGTCCTTCACATGAACTTCTCATGGACAAAGATAAACCATGAGAGAGGCCGATACGCTCGCAGACTCTTGGACTCACACTAGGATGCGGCGGCCACTTGCCTGTCTCAACTGTCCTGGCTGCACATCGTTGAACGTTCGAAGGAGATGATGCAGATTGATGCAGCATGCTGTAGCCTCGTCTCTCTGACATATCCAGATACCTGAAACGCCGTCAGGTGATGTCAGGTGAAGCCGGTGAACAGCAGGTTCATCGTCGTTCAACGACTTTGTGCAACGCACCTCCTCTGGAGCCTCTGTGACAGTGTCTGCAGGTTCTGCCTCCGTGCTCCGAAGCAACAACTTCTCCGATCCGGTATATAAGCAGCTAGGACCAGCCCTACTGGCCATGGCCCCAAGCGGACAAAACTTGGCACAAGCATCCAACCATTCGACAAAACCCGCCGAAGCCCGCCGAAGCCCAGGTAGTGCAAACTGTGTGGAAGCTAGGCAGCCAACTTCATCCGCATCCAGCTGTGAATGGACTGCGGGCCGAGGGCCATTGGCTTCTCCTCGTAGATCACCTTTGATACTCGGTCGGATTGGAATGCAGCCAATACTCAAGCTGCTACAAGCTCAAACCCACATCACCATACATCAACACAGCTCGGCAATCGTGGTGTTGATGTTGCAGCGAGTCAACATGACAAGCCCTTTCTGCTGCGGCACCCATCGCAGAGGGTTTTGGTGGATGAGGTGGCACGACCTGGCGCAGAAGATGGCCACAGCTCGCCGCAACACCCCCCATTACCTGAAATTGCGGCGGATGGCAGGACCGATGTCGCTGGGCTCCTCGTCTGGAAGATTCTCCTGCAGCCAACCCAAACTTCATATGTAAGATCCATCATCATGCCGCATGCTAAACTTCAGTTCACGGCCGCTTCTACCATAACTTGCCTCATCCTCACGGTCAATGACGACTTTGCCGTCCGAGGGTGCGGGCACTTCGAAAGGTAGAGTGTCCCATTCTATCTTCTTCCCTGACGCACCTTGACTGATGTGCCAATGTCCAAGCTCATGCACATGACTTACGGCACGAGGCTACACACCTATTCGACTCCGAACAGCTGTGCCAAAGCTGAGCTTATTCTGTCCAGCGCCAGTGGTACAATCTACATTACGAAGAACATCGGGTCCGATTTGAACCAAGGCATCGCAAGCCAGACAGTTTGTTGCCAGCGCAACATTTTCATTACATCACACAAACTTGGGATACCCCGGACTGCGGGGCCTTCAGCACAAGGACCTCAAGTATCGGTGCAAGTTGCTCTGTTTCGAAGGGACATGCGACTCCTGCGCCCGCGTGCTTCGTTCGCATGATGCATCTCAGGTGCCGCGCAAAATACGCCTTCGTGAGCAATGTTCAAGCCTTCATCGTCCCGAATATTTTTAATCGACCCTTAGCCTTAAAGCAGTCTCGTTTTGCAGGGGGGGTCCTTTCGCAGTGCAGACAAGCCGCTTCCGGACGCTGGACCTCTAGCTGGACTCGTGTCGAGAAACATGGAAGAAGCAACCCGGCGCGCGCGCGATGCGGCACCTGTCACAGGATATGAATGGAGTGGAATGGAGGAGAGTCGACATTGAGGCACGTCGTGTTATTAGCAGGATGATGCCGAATCGTCACAATTTCGCACTGGAACCTAGGAGATTTTAGGAGTCCTAAGGTAAGACCCACCTGTCCAGGTAGCCTCTCACCCTGCCTCCAACCTTCCCTAAGCGTTTGTTCGATTCAGGCTTGAAAGCGAATGGGGAGTCCTCTGTTATCACAGCGCTTGCGGGATCGGACACATGCCGCGTCAGCCTGCCCAAGGAATGGGCTGGAAGCCTGAACCTTTGGATGGGAGCCTCATAGGCTGGGAGAGGGGAGTTGCAAGGCTCGACTGGCGGATGAACTCTGGGGACGCTTCGCATTGTCAAGGCAAAGGCCTTGCCTTGTAAAGTCGAGCCCTTGTACTCAGAAGCGCCACTGTGCCTCTATCTGAGAATCGTTGGACTGGCATGTAAGCCCTCTGAAGGTGAGATTCGTTCCTGTTGGCGGCGGATAGCGCCGCAGATGACCACCAGAACAGCACAGGTGAGCACAAGTGAGCACAGGTGAGCTGGACCCGTGCTTCCGGTGCGTTGCATACTTGCATACTCTAGGAGCTCCTTCTGGCATGCAGAAACACATCGGCATAAATCTGTCTCGAAACTTGTGGGTGCAGACAAGGTCACTCTTTCAAATGCACAGTGTCATCGATTTCGGCGCAACAACATCGAACAGTGCAAGACCAAGGAAGGGTTTTGGTAGGAGGTTCTTGCTTCAGGATGGCGCATTCATCTTGGCAGTGTTGTTGTCCCCCCCTCGATTTGCTCTCCTGTATCTTCCTTTCCACCTGCCAGAAATCCTGACATGAGTTCCCTGAGTTGCTAAAGGCGATAGGACACCCCAGTTCGAATTTGTGCTTCGGCTGAATGCAGGTCCCCCAATCACAATAGTGATTTGACAACGAGGGAAACGATCCTCAAAAGCTACCCCCAACCTGAACCCTGGGAAGATCTTGGGAGCCCTGAGCACCGATTGGGGTCGGTTGGGTCAATGGACTGCCTTTTCTACCCGAAGGACGAGACGCTGCCTGCACCCAGCAGCGCCAGGTCATAACCAGCAAATGGAGAGAGCTCCGAACAGGACTCTCGTAGAGCGCTGTCAGCACAGTGCCTCAAGCGAAGAATCAAGGAAGCCAATACAGGAAGTCGAGGCTTCCCCTTGGCAGACCCTGCCTCTGCAAGAGGCTGGAAAAGCCACTCGCATGCATCTGCGTTGTGGCATGGCGCATGCCCTCTCAACATTCCGAGACGTCGCTTTGTTCTGCATATTCAGTGAGGTGCGAGGCTAGCTTATAACTGCATTACGCATTCGTTTGGACATCAATGCTGCTGACCAGGTTGACAATGCAGAGAATGCATGCTGTGATGCACTGATTGCAAACCGAATGCAGAATGTTGGCAACCGAAGGGCAGATACTGCATGCTGCGCTCTGCAACAGTATGACTCCCTTCCAGCATTCTTTCTGAGCTCCCTGCGCTTGACACGCGGCCGCAAAGCGTGCCGCCATGGTGCTCCTCAAGGCAAGGCGTGGTCTTTTTTCAGCCTCGCTGGCTCATTCGTAGGGCGCCGCACGTGCTGTGGCCCTTTCTGATTGCCTCGAGATCAAGGTCCGTGCACTCACTGTACATCATTTCGCCACCTCATTCTAGGTTGCCTGCCTCTGTCTCCATGCTGTCTTCAAATGTGGCTTCATGTACAACCTGGGACGGAAACTGTCAATACTTCTTTCTTGGACATCTGGAGCATTCCATCAAGCTTCAAAAAAAGAGACTCAGCAGTTTCTGCCAGTCGTCTGGCAGCCTACAAAAACATCTGCAAGTATGAACTGCAGCGGTGGCTGCCAAAACAAGTGTGACAGGGAGCCCGGCACATGCAGCCCCACGACAAGGTTCAATTGCCGCTGATGCATCAGAAGTGTCCTGAACCCCAGGATTACATGACTCTGAGATCTCTATCTCAGCGGCAACACCCAGCTATACCCAGCTGCTCCAGCCTGCAAGACTGCCAATGTCCGGCCAGGAATGGTTGGGCCTGGGTCAGTCCACAGCCTTCCAACTGTACTGAAAAACCGGCAAACTCGGAGATGCAATGAGTGGGCGTCCGAGAACTTGTGCCGGCGAAACCGTCCTTGATAAACACGGCGGGCAAAGGTCAAAAACAAAACCCTGCATGTTTACCCACTATGCTCACGCAGCCGCTCGAGCATCCGGAGCGTGATCCACAACAGGCTGAGCGATAAAAGTCTTTACCTTTTATGCAAGAGCGCACCTGACTTGGGACTTTAAGATTTTCTCACTTGCGACTGGAAGTGGTATCACTTGCGACTACAATTTTTTATTCATTCGCGACTAGCAATGCCCTGCTATGGATTCAGTTGACCCCGCCCCCTCCCCATGAGCCGTATGGTTCTTATGGATACACTCCCAGCCAGAAATACACACTCACTTTGACTTCGAAATAGTCGCAAGTGATAAAGCTGCCTTCATATGGTCGCAGAACCTGTCTCGAGCAGGAGCGGCGTCTGGCAAGTAATCATCTCTGGCTGGGGGAGGGGGGGTGATAATACTGTGGTCAACTGAATCCATCACAACCACATCACTCCGGAAGATCATCTTTTGCTTCATGGTGGGGGGGGCCGATAATCACGTGGTCAACTGAATCCATGGTCAACTTGATCTACACGAGCCACATCACTCCGCAAGATCCTCTCTGGCCCTGTTGATAAGTACGTGGTGAACTGAAGCCATTTCACTCCGCTCCATAAGATCATCTCTGGCAGGGGGATAAGAACCTGGTCGTAACAGCCTCATCACACCGGAGCATCAGAGAGCCATCTTCGGTTGGAGGGGGGGTCAACTGAATCTGTAACAGCCATATCACACCGTCAGGTCATCTCTGGCTGGGGGGTGTTCAACTACATCTATAAGTAAAGCCTCCGAAAGATCATCTCTGGCTGGCGGGGGAGGGGGGGGGAGGAGTTGAAACAAGTGAACCCATGACCACCACATCACACCGAAGCATTAAGAGCATCATCTCCTGTTGGTGTTGGGGAGGGGTGGGTCAACTGATTCCAGAACAACCACGTCACACCGGAAGATCGGGGGAGGGGGGGCGAAAGGTTGAGTCAACTGAATCCACAACATCAGTGCACCTCGTGTCTCAGACGAATCTCGAAGCATCAAATGGCATTCGGATCGCGAATCTGTACCGCAGCATTTGTTACTGGGTAGCTCACGAACCATCGTCCAGCTCCACAGTCCTTCCTTGCTTGAGCTGTCCAAGCCTCCGAATGCTTCGGCATTGTGTTGGCATGACTTGGCTTCTCCAACTTGGCCACGCACAATTTGCTCTTGGCAGGGATTCCAAGCTCCATAGCCTGGCCATGGCCATGGCGAGGCCATGGCGAGGCCACGCATGCAGGGCAACAAGCGTCAACAAGCGTCAACAAGCGGCCCACCTTGGCAGCATTCAACTTGCCGGGGCGATCTAGCTCTGTCAGCACATACCCCCAATCCTGGCCGAGCAGGACAAGCAGTTCTTTTGGACTCCCGTTGCTGGCAATCACGAGGATGGTAAAAGTTGGAAGAACCAATGACTTTGTGACTGCCAAGCAATGCTTTACAATGTGATCTCGTGCGACACAAGAATCCAGCAGAGAGACATGCCAGCGTGACAGGCAACCCATGGACTAGCGGCACTGCTTGTATGCGGAGACCCGCCAGGACCTGTGCCGATGTGAATCCCTCGTGTATCCCTGGTGCCTGAGTCCATCGTCTGACAGCCCAGCCCCGAGTTGAACAGGGGGAGCATGTCGACAGAGGTCTGGATGGAAACCCAGCCCGCGCCCTGAAGAACTACTGCAAGAAGCAGAAGTTGGGCCATCAAGGCGGGCATCCCGGCCTGAGCCAGAGGACCCCACCAGGCTTTCACCTCAGCTGCTGTCACTTTACATCGCTACATGCCCAAAGTTGCAGCCGTGACTTGGTCCACGTCCACCTGGTGTCCCAGTGTTTGGGATCTCCAGGAAGTTGATCTGGAAAGACTCCTGCGCACCGGGACGTGCGCGAGGAGAGTGCACGCAGCCTCTCCATGAGGTCAAACATGATCAAGCTTGTGCGCAAATGTCCTCTGGGTGCCAACCTCCAGAGGACAGGAGAACAGTCTCCACCATGGTGCGAAGCCTTGGATCGGGGATGTCTCAAACATGGGAGACGCTACAGAGCATCGTAGCCTGCACCATCCCTGTATCCCAGGTCGGCACCCCTGTGGGCCAGCTATCAATAAAGGGTCCTCACAAAACGCTGTGGCTGCAACATGCTGCAGATGCTCGAGAAATCCACGCGGTGCCACGTCGTCCTTTCGACCTTCCAAAGCAGCTGACTGCAACCTGGGTCAATCCCGAGTCATGCCGATGCATGCTGAAGCAGCCGCAACTCACAAGGCACACACTTTTTCCCCAATGTGAGATCGCTTCGTAACCACTGTCAGCACCGGCAAGGCTTGCATATGCCATTAGGGTCTGGATGAGAAGCACACGTGAACCCTCTCATGCCCAACGGACATTTTGCGTGGCATGGCGAGACTTGAGCGAGGAATGCGCAGCTTGGGCAACACTAGATCTGCTGCCACGACAGGAAGTAAAGAGCAGCCACAGAGCATAACATCGGAACTTTCGCGAAAAACGTAAAGTCTTACGCAGGATCTTTCGCCAGTCTTTTGTGGACCACTTTAAACGGCGAAAAATGTGGGTTTTGTATACAACAGAAAGAAGGGAGCTTTACAACAGCCCGAAATACAGCACGCCAAACGGAAACTATGCCATTTTAGGAACCTTGTGCGGTTTGTGAAGAAGGAGCTTCCAGCTATCTGAATCTTGTGCCAGTGGAGAGTGGAGAGAAGGTTCGCTAAAGCAAGGCATTGTGCGTTCCTACCAATGAAGAACTCGAATGAGCCTGCAGTATCTCCGAAGTATGCATTGCTCTGACTCGACTCCATAAGACACGATTCTGCGCGGTGGGCTCTGGGCCTGCCCGATTAAGCAGAGCAGGGGGCCTCTGTGGGCTCGATGACTCTATGATCGTACGAGGACTTCTTTTCGAACATTACTCAGAGACCTATATGTACATGCAGGGTATCAAGGTGGTGCTTTCCACTGCATACATGAGAATCAACTGGGTGATTGACCGATCTACCTGAAGTTTCGAAGATGGAGAGATTGCCGAGTGTCCAGCGGGAGGGCGTTGGAAGCTGCAACTGCTCGGGACAGCCAGTAACGTCAGCCTTTTCTGCCGGAAGAGGTGACGTCCAAATACGCTCCTAAAAGGGGAACTGCTTGCAAAGCTCGTGCCTCCCATCAACAGGGCTATTGATGGGAGGGTCGAGCCGGAGATTTTCACACTTATCCTCATTGAGCTGAAGGCCTCTGCGCTTTTCAGCAGAACTAGAACCACAAGAAACACAAGAAACGGGAACTGTATCGTCAGCATCGTGTCCAGTAAAGGAAGAGGAGGGAGTCAGAACCTCTGGTTCTACTAGTAGCAGCTTCAGACACATACACACAGACACAGACACCGACACGCACAGACACCACGGACAGAGAGAGAGAGAGAGAGAGAGACGTAAAAGCAGACACACACACACACACACAGAGCGTGCACACACGCCTGCGCCTGCATGCATGTGCGTGCAAACTCTGCTCCAATCTGAGAATATCGCAGACCAAACAGTCCATAACAGTGATCTCCATGAAGATGGGTCAGCAACACAACCTGGCCCACATTAACTTGGTGTGCACCCCCATTGAGGTGAAGCTGGAATGTACACACCATACTTTTTTCAACCTGCCTCTCTGTACAAGCAAGGCATCGTCCCAAGTTGAGTTTTGCTCGCACCTGGTGGTGACCTAATGCTGTTGGCCTCAGAACTTTGAGAGGTCACGAGCAAGGGCCCCGTGCATTAACTAAACACAGAAGCAGCGGTCCAGTGTGGTCCAGTGCTCGGGTTAACCGGCTTCCCTCCCTGTGTGGGCAGGGTTGGGCAGTGGCAGGGCTCACTACTGGAGCTCTGCTCGAGCTAGCTCTTCAGGTCCGACAAAGAAACTCCATTCGCCTTGAGCTCGCTCAACGACCTACCGCATGTCGAGAATGCAGTGCCGTGCACGACATGACATTGCAAGTGACTCTCGCCTTTGGAAGTAACCATCATCTGGATATCCGTGCTTGGTCTCTCCTCCGGACGAACTTGTCTTGATGTGGATGTTGAACCTAGGTTCGGGCTCCGTCTTCTCACAGGAGTGCCACTTGAAATCTGAGACAAAGCAATATGCGATGAGGATTGCACGTTGGACGGTATGAGCTGAATGTCATGGACTCACCCATGCCAAACATAACGCGCCGCCGGAAGGCTACCTTCCAAGAGTGACTCAGCCGCATCAGCCCTTGAACGTGGGCTTAAGAGAAACCAGGAGCCTTGAAGAGCTCCAACAATATGACGCCTTGCGCGTTGCACGGCAGGTATCCTTTAGGCTTCCTGCCTGCAATGCGGGCGCTTGACATTGATCTGGGTTGAAAGGCAGCATATGCACACAGGAGATGCATTGCACCTGCATAGCTCTTCCCTTCATCATCGGTGCCCTCCGGGAATATGAACCTAGGTGCAAGTTGCAGCCATGTTTTACAGCACATTTTGTGGGGATGGCTGAGAAGAACTGCGGAGATGATCACCTGCCAAGGGGCTGTATGACAATGGTCTTGGTGGCATCTGGGTGCCCAGGGAGTGAGAACTCTTCACAATGCCAGGTGAAGGTTCCCAGCCGAGGCTGCTTGCCCACCTCATCGTCTCGAAAACGATATAAAACTTTGAAGCGCTACTGCACCTGTCAGAAACATTCCCCCAAAAAAACAAGGAACAGCAACAGCATCAAGCTTGCTTTGTGCCAAGTGACAACCTTGCCGAACTCTTGCTGACAGCTTGGGCATCTCGTTTTTTGCTGAAACCATGTGCGCAAGCAGGTCATGTGGTAAGCATGCCCACAGCGAAGACGGAAGGCTCCTGCAAAGCGAAGAAAGGATCCACAGCAATGCTGACCCTCTCAAAGTCCCACCTTTCATGTCAAGAATCTGAAAAGATGCTTGGCATCTAGCTCGGCCTTCGGCCTCTTGGGAACTCTGCAAGCATTCAAAAAAAATGAAGCTGTGCTCGGATTCACATTCTGGCTCCAACAAGCAGATGTTTGCCAGAACAGCAGCTGCTGCATCAAAACCAAGCATTGCTTATTGCGAGGCTGATAAATATGTAGCCCAAAGGAATACTGCAGGAAAACCAAGGCGAGCGGTACGCAATTGCTGTCAAGACAATGCTGCATCAATTACAGGGAGTGTGGAAAAAATCGGGTTAACAAAGCTCAGCAAACTTCGGTCAATAGTGGTCATTGGTACGGCAGGAAAGAGCATGAGTGCCAACATCCAAACACAAGACCATTGAGCCTCAACACGGAAAACACATGCCGCGGAAGACCATCTGCCACATGCACTCCGCACACTCACACACAGACTTACTTCTATGTCGTAGAGGTCACCAAGAAGTCTGCCGTTGCATGACATGCTGTAGATGCCTTCGCTCTATAACATTGCAAAGACACACCATACTTTTTGTGTTGTCGCCGTCATTGTCGTCTTTGGGCTGGAGCCTTCACGGGCCAGACCGATGGAATGGTCGACGGGATAAGGGTGCTGTCCCCGTCGCCATCGTCGTCGTCGTTGCCGATGGTAGCATGCAATACGTTGAGAGGGTGAGGGTCCTGTCCTCCTGCTTGCCCCCAAGCTACCATTCCCAGGAGCGGCCTGCTTCCAGGTAGGGATAGGTGATCAAGCTGTCCCCTGCACTACGGCACAGTTTCGTTGCACAGAGTAGCCATGGTGTGTTCTGCGCGCCCTGGCTTCGAAATTGGGGTTCGCGATGTTGGCGCCGCATGTACACACACACACACACCAACACAAAAAACAAATAACAACTAAATAAAGAAGTCGACGGAGACTAGAAGCCGAACAGATGTGCACAGGATTGGGTGGGGGGACATAGACCAGAAACTGAGGGATCTGAGGCCGAAGCTGCAGTTCAGCTCCAACATGTTCAATCTACGTGAGCGATCCGTGGAGGACGACTCAGGACGACGTCACAGACACTGGAAGAGTCAGATGTATATGCCGGGATAAGAACGATGAGCTTAGACGTGAAGAATACATGCAACAAACGCAACATCTGTGAGATGACATGACGAACCATGGATTTAGATTTAGCAGAGGCACAACCTTCCATGTTCCCACATCTGTGAATAAGCATATGCACGCACCGCACTGATTCGCTCACCACAAAAGTCGCTCACAAACCTGGTGTATCCTGAAAAGCAGGCATTCGCACAAAAAGCCTCTTCGAGTCGGAAGCCACCCGCCCACTGAAACCAGCATCTAGTACCGCACCAGTGCCATGTTGAACTTTAAGCAAAGCAGTGGCTTGCACAACCTCGTACAAGTCTTGCCCCGAGCGGGCTAGAACGCAGCAGTGAGGGCAACCTGTTTTTCAATCGGCCATTAGAGATCATTACGACTTAAAAGCTGACACGCAATGGAGGACGGGAGGACGAGAATGGTTAAAGCTTTTGCTGGAACATTTGTTGGTGGCACACTTAGCTGTCCTGGATCACAAGATCAGAATGCAAGGATCGGGACGTGAAGGGTGCCCACCCCACCTTCAAAATGCCCCCCCCCCCCCCCCAACTTCCACGCACACTCTTCACGCACAGTGTGTGCACAGTAACGTGGCTCCCCAAACATGAGTATCAGGTGCAGCACTGGAGAGCCAGAGAAAGCATGTCCTTGCACCGGCGGGGCGTCGCGTACCCAAGAGAATGAGGCATTTGTTTCGTGATTCATTTCCTTGGTACATGTGCATGGAACCAAGTCTTGTCAGAGGATGGTGAAGTGACAGCTTCTCTGCAAGATAAGTATCAACGTCACCATCCTCATCAAGCTCCACCTGCATGAGGCCACCCTATGAGGCATGGCACAGAATAAACAGAGGGTGCAACTTGCCTGAGGTTGCATGGGCCTTAGAGAAGCGAACGCATGTCCTACAGCCCTTATCCGCTTCATTCGGATCAACCACCAGCTGCCTTCTCTGCCTTGTGCTTTGAAAAAGGATCTGGCTCCATGCTGTCCATGCAGATGGGGCATTGTCGTTCGTCATCATCCAGCTGTGCCGTCTCCTGCAAGTCCCCAAGAAGATCCAAGACATCCAAAAGGATGTTTTGTCATGTTGCCTTGGATTCGTCGTCTGGCCTGTGGCATCCCCTATACTCCCTATCCTGGTCCGACAACGCTTTGCCCGTAGACATGAAGTCCAGCGCCTCGGCCTTCTCAGGGCAAGGAAAGACCTCGAGACAACAAGACTTCCCATGGCCCGCCTCCTCCAGATCATCTGGCAACGACAAAGAGCCCGAAACAGGACCAGGAAGCTTCACTTCCTGAGGGGGGCACCGAGCGTGAGACGCACCGTGGCATAGTGTCGACGAACCGCATCACACATCCAAACTGGTAACCGCTCCCAATCCCAACCTGTCTCTTGGTCACCAAGGGTCAATTCGACATCTTCGAGAGATGTGTTTTCTTCGGAGAGTTGCTTTGCCTTGCTCCAGACCCTGCAGCACGAGAACACAAACGTGAGAAGTTTTGGGAGAGAAACAGGGGCTTCTCGTTTGAGTCGTTTCTTGCTCAAATCGATGTGCATGCCAATCGCCTCGAAGTTTTCAACAATTCCAACGTCGTCTCCGAGATCCACCTTGTGAAGCTTCTGCAGGCGTGAGAGACAGACATAAGCAGAGAGAGAGAGATAGAAAGGAAAAATAAAGAAAGAAACAATCAAAGACGGTGAGAGTTATGCAGAAGGGTGATATACACATTGACATGTACGAGGCAAGGCAACAGGCATACTTTTGTTTGCCTGCGAAGGTCTCTCCACTGCCTTCCACTGCCTGCGGATCCATGACGCATGCTTCTACACAGTCGATCACTGGAGTGGGAGCACAACCTCTGGAAAAGCTGGAAAGCAGGCACGTCATATGGCAACAGTGCCTGCCTCAAAAGAAGGTTCGCTGGCTGTGCATCTAGTCTTTCCCTCCTGGACACATTCAAGATGTCCCGGCACTGTGTCTGTTTGATTTGAACACCAGAGGGAATCGCCGATAACTAGCTTTGGCACGTGCCGGTTCCCTTCAACCTCTCCCGATTCCGTGTCGGAAGCTGTTGGTTCGCGAACGGTTCTGTGCACTTCAAAGATCTGGCGACGAGACCCAGACCAGTTGCAGGGCTGCTCTGGGGATGAACAGCAGACTTGAAGTGCCCTTGTGCAGCCGGAGTCCTCCCGTCTGCCCAGACAAAGATGGCCGCGGAGGACAGAGAAAAGGAGCTTGCCCTTTACGAGACCATGACATGTTCACCCTCACACTTTTGTCACCGTTGGTGTTGCCGTGGCTCCAGGCCTGGCGGGCGTTGGCGGATCCAAGCTTCGCCGCGGAACGCCTGTCGGGGGGGAGATCAATTATGAGCATGTTGTACGTATCGTTGTTGAGAGCGGAACCTGGATATGTCGGTACCGGCATCGGGCCAGCGAAGGCCGAACGGACCATCGGGCCATGACTGGAAGAAGGTCCTGGGCTGCTGGAACCCTCGAACCACAGCGAAACATGGAGCCATCCTCTTAAGATGCAGGTCGGGTTCCCCCATATGGTCGAGGTCGAGGTGGGGCAGCATGTGCAATGGGACCCTGCCGGATCCTGATTTTTTAAGCTCATCGGCTGTGCTTGCAATTAATATAATTAATGCGTCACACTTGCCTCACTCTGCGCATAAAGCCCGTCTCCAGATTGACCTGGGCTGACAACATCAGGAAGTCCAGAAAACTGCTCATTTATCACATTGAAACCATTTGAGCACCAAACTTGCGTGAGTGGTGAGTCGCTCTGGAAGTCCTTCAAGACTCTCAGCAACACTCAACAAGGCAAAGTTGATAAGCATCTGGCAAGCATCCTGTATTTGATCCATTCCCCACAAAACGTACCGAGAGCTCTTCGCCACGAAGAAGACCTGCAAAACAAAGCCAAAGGAAAAACCAACTCTCACTGCACTCTCGAAACCCATTATTGTGGCACACAGGGAATCTTTGCAATTTGCTTGGTGCCTCGGAGGGGCGCGGGCTGGAAGCAAGGAACCGCTTCAGCTCGGCCTGCAGCTCCTGGCAACCCCCGGAATCTTTCCGCCAGAATGCCCGAAGCTTCAGCAGCGCGCAGCCTCTGAGAACGCTATCAGCTTCGAGCCGTCTCTCCCTTCCTGGCAGTTGCCCCCTAGCCCACATTCGCCCACGTTCGGCCACGCCCATCTCAGCTCCAGCCTCGAAGCAGAAGTGGAGGTCGCTTGGAGGAGCCATCCCCGGCGCCGCTCCCGGGAGCACGTAAGGCGGTCGGATCCTGTCAAGCGCGAATGCTTGCACGCCCCTTCTAAACGGCAGATGCCACGAAGCGGGTGTGAGCTTGGGTGCTCCTGATCCATCGGTTCCAGCGTGTCCTCCTGTTGGTCTGCACTGCTCCTCCGTGCTCCACCTGCTCTTGAGACTCTTGAGACACTATGCAAAATGCAAAAACTCAGTCTGCAAAATGTGCTCAGCCTTACAAAAGATGCCTTATTGAAGTTCGAGATGACATAGGTGGGCGACAGAGGAACCTGAACCCAGCAGGTGAAAAAACTAGCAGACCGGAATGCTGGTCTAGCTGGCCTCAGTTGGACGCGGACTCTGCAAGAAGCTGTCGCGCAGCGTCTGTTGTGCTTGCAGGTCATATTGCTGAAACGACCTAGCAGGACGTTGGGGCTATGCTGCTCTTGGCTGGCATTTCAGCATGCCTCTCAAACGCTCAAGTTTTCCTAGCACATCTCCAGCTATACGGCTTCCTGAGCAACTTCAAAGGGATTGTCTAGCCGATTTGGCGCCAGTTTCTGCGTCGAATCGTCTTCAGCTTTGCCTTTAAATTTGCCATGGTATATCAAAAGCCCATGCTACTTGCGTTGGCTACGGCAGAAAGCAGCTTGTCTCCCGCTTCAGCATGTCGGCTTTCAGCTCTTCACTTTAAACACTTGAACCTGATTGAAAACGACTGCTCCTGTTTTCGTTCACACCCTCGCCCCCAACCCGCGTCTCTGTCAAGGCAGTCCGAACTGAGCACCGCGCGAATCATTCCAGAACTGAAACGTGAGGTCCATGGCTCAGGGAAATTTCATCAGCTTGGCATCTTGCTTGCATCTGCGGTGGACTGCATGGGTGAGTGCTGCTGTAATGCTGTCTCCGGGAATGCTGCCATAAAGGATTGGGTGCGCTCGCCCTTGACCATTTGTTTTAAATTAAGCATCGAACGTTTCTCGTGACAGCACAGCGAGAGTTTACACTGCCACGATCATCGCGAAGCCAATGCAACGAACAATCGTGGTCGAGCTCTCTCGTGTGCTCGTCCCATCCAGGCACCTCAACGCGGGACAGCTTCAGCAGCTTGCTGACCTGGCAAGGCAAAATGGTCTCTACTGCTGGCCCCCTCCGGTTTGCGTCCAAGGCCTTGATATGATGCTGTGTGCCCTCACCACAGTCGATGAGAATCGCAGCTCCTCCACATCTCGCAGGGCGAGTATGCTTAGTGTGCTTGAGTAGTCTCATCAGCCTGCTGTCCCAATTCTTAACTTTGGCATCTCAGGTCTGCCATGAACGACAGTGACAGTCAGTTAGGCAATAAAGATATCTACAGATATGCTCACTAACTGGTCCGCCGTTGTCTCCTGTGTTCAACATAACGGCAAGACTGGACCTGAGCAAGGGCCACACCGCTAGACAAGCACCCACCAGACACAGACACCAACTGCAATCCAGCTTGGCCCTGGCCAAAGCTTGCCAAAACTGTACCAAGCATCAAGCATGTTTCGCTGTCCAGGCACAGGCACGGCCGAGCCTGTGCCCAAGAACATGACTCGATCAATGAGCCTTGGCATCCAGTGGCATAGTGCAGGACACCACGAAACACTGTGAGGCTTCAGAACTCCCTTCGGCTTCTGGCGCCATTGAATGCTTTGATCTCCGTTGGCGCGCAGAGACTGCGCTGCCTTCGACAACTGGTTGCAACGCGTTGCTTTTGAAGGCTTGGAAGACTTGAACACTTGGAAGGCCTGCCGCACAAGCGCCGAGCAATGTTGGAATCTCGCAGCTTAGCGACTTAAGCTCATTTGCACACACACACACAGAGACACAGAGGCAGACACACACGCACACAGAGTTAACTTGAGACAGCGCTGGAGGCTCAGCAGCAGCTGGTGCCTTCTCTGCTTGACGCCAACCGTGAGGCAACAAGTGGCCTTGGTGTCTTGTGGTGTTGTTTTTGCACGCCGTTTGGCGTCTACAAAGGGCTTGCAAGGCGCTTGCAGCAGGTGAAGCCCAAGGGTAAGCCCTGGGCGCCGACTTCGGGATGGTCGAAGGAGAAGGCGCCGCAAGGGACGGGAGTCGGCAGTGGGCTGTGCGCATCTGACCACTTGCACGGCCCTCTGACACGCCTCACTCCGAAGCGGGCTCGGGGCATGGAGCCTCGTAGCCCCAAGACATGTGAGGTGCATGGATCATCCCGAACTACCCTTTCTAGCCGCAAAGCTGCTCAGCGGGAACGGTGGCATAGACACAAGCAAAGTGGCAGCGACCTCCAAGAAATGAGCACGATGTACAACCGCCATCAACCACCATGCCTCCCTCACTATTCTGAGCAGCTTCTTCTTCTGCTTCTCGCCTGCAAGCTGCAGGCGCCAAAAGGCCACTTCTTCTACCTACTGGAACTATGACTTGTTCTGATTTGTCAATGTGAAGAGGCAGAAGCTACGCACACTAGAGTCTGATCTGTAAAAGAGGCGCGTGCTGAACTGAGCAGCGAAGCTCTCCAGCTTGGACTCACCCAGCCTGCAATTGATACAAGTCCCGTCCAATGTGGCAGGAAATGGTACACCAAGCGCGGGACCGAAGTGCAAATTGCCCGATGTTTGAGGAGGTGGCCTTGGGACATGGTCTTGGATGCAAACAAACTGCTCCGTAATCAAAGCCGACCTCGTCTGCCATGTCGGTTTTGTACACATCAACCAGAATCCCGAAGAGCTTGGGCACGTTTGCACCTGAGTGGAGAAGCAAGGCAACCATCACGCAAGATCGGACAACATTCCGGACCTAGCAGACAGAAGTGCTGTCAAGGAAAGCAAAAGGCAGCAAAGCAATGCAAAGGAGAGCGCATGGCGACCCCACTTCATGTGTGCAATACTGAGTCTAGCATGCTATGGGCATCGATATGGCATCGACTCAACGACGCGATCGGATCAAGCTAAGTGGGGAGGACTAATGCTCGCAGGTCTCCAGGCTTGCAAAGCTGCATGTGACAAGAGGTGAGTATCCACTTGGCCGTGGCCTCCTTCACCGACCACTTCGGCTTTCTCCTCTCCAAACCGAGTTGACCGGAGCAGGCATCAAGACAACTTATGGGTAAGTGTGAGAGTTGCCAGATGTGAACTGCGAACACCCAGTCGCACGAATTCTGCTGGCCAATACATGGATCGGTCTTGTCTTCTGGCCAATACATGGATAGCCCTTCACTCCTGTTGAAGGAGTTCGAGAAGCTTGCGGTGATTTCGGATGCCTTCGCTCTCATCTTCCTGGCAGGGCCTCACCGAGAGTTGCCCACAGAACGCACAACACCATACAACGCCATTCAAGCTCATCCCGCACGATCTTCCACGACTTCCGGACGCCCGCTTCAAGCCGCAGAACGTCTGAGAATCCAGCAAGCCACCCAGCCAAACATTCCAGACATGCGCCTATTGGAAGAGCTTGCAACATTCTACTCGCAGAGTTGCGGCGGGGTGTGCCTGAACTGAAGCAATCGCTTGCTGGTGGACTAGGAGGATCTCGATCTGCACCAAAAAGCCCACGATGCGTTTGGGTCTCGAAGAGTTAGAGTCTAAGTCAGGAACGATGGCAGACAGCGCATTGTCTGCACAAGCCTGCAGGAAGTTGAATCGAGGACTGCGCTTACACTTCAGCGGTTGCTTGCGCATGCTGCCTGCGCTATCTTTTCAGATTTCTTCTTGGATCTTTGCCTGGACTGGGTCACAACCTTGTCGGGAGTCAGCGCTGGTAGCAAGTTAGACAAAGAGTCCAAGACCGGGTGACCTGGGACAGCTTGTTTGCTGCATCTAGCGCCAAAGGCGAGAAAGCCTGGCAGCGATGGCCAGTGTTCAAGCATGCCGCCTCACTTAGCTTCAGAGCACCGATTGATGATCGAAGAGCAAAGAAATTGGCCTGCAGTTTTGCTGCGAGGTACACACCATAGCACCTGAAAGGGCTGTCAGATGACGAGCATAGGAGAGCATGCGAGATCATTGCTACCGTCACTGCTACCATCTGATTCGCAGACGCGGGTTGACGCAGCTCTGCATCTGGGTGCAAGATGTCCTTGCCCGGCATGGCACAACGCAAGGGTCAAAACTCAAAACATGTCAAAACATCTCAAAACATGTCAAAACAATGGCACGAAAGGACACAAAGCTCCTCGACAAGCTTTGGCACAAACTGCGGCCATTGGGCAGCGACCTCACTCAGGCTTTCAGGTCGAATGGAGCAAGACAGAAAGTAAGAGTGCGCCAACTTTGCTTGGGACCTTGTCGCCCAAGTGCTCAAGAAAGTCACAAATCACAAACCTCACAACGGCACAGCGATGTGCGAAGGTGATGCAGCAACAAAAGTGCAGGTCGTCACTGCGGTAATGTGTTAATGTTTGACTCGGAAGTCTTGAGTCTGCAGCAGTGCCAGCTTCCGGTCTTCTTTGCAAGAAGTTGGCTGGAGCCACTGAACAACCTGGCATCTTTGGATGAGATACACAGCAGCCTCAGCAACCTCGACAACCTTAGCAGCCTAAGGCCACAACAGCAAGCCGGATCTACGAGTGTCAGATAGTCTGAAAAGCTCTCGGCTATGAAGGTATCGGCATGGTGCCTCAGCATTGCTGTGTCACCAAGCAACGAGGCGCAGCAAGTATTGAGATTGTTTCGAGGCACGCACTGCATCAACGATCCCGCAACTTCGCACATGGATATTCGGAGTGCCTGCAAAGAGAATTTGAAAAAATCGACGAGAAGCTGTCTTTGCATTGACATGCTGTGGCCTGCTCGTCCTCCTCGTCGTCATCTTGTTCCTCTCCGTCCTCCACAGCCCGAACATCACTGCGACTGTCCATGCGACAGAGACCATGTGGGCACCTCATCTGGATGTTGCTGGGGTGCTCCAGGCCGGCCCTGGTGAATAGCAAGTAATAATTAATAAATACATGTTCGTATGCTTCTATCTGCCACGGTCACTACACTCACAGTACACTCACACTCTCCCCTAGCGATCCGCCTTCGCTGCCTCGGAGCGCCGCTTCAGTGACTCAGCCAGAGCACTGAGCGTTGTCCGGCCTGAACTCAAGGGCAGTGCAAGGTGTGGCGCAAGAAGACACGTCCGTTGTTCGTTGGGTGAGGTGGTTCGGTCCGTCTCAAGGTGCTCTTCACGTGCTCTTCGATGCTTCTCTGGCCTCTAGGCTCTACCACCTAGCGGCCTTTCAGGCTTGACAAACGGCCCGGATCCACCACTTTGCTTGGTCTGTTCCGGTCTTGCCCTTCTTGCCCTTCATTCAAAATATTCAAGGTCGCCGCAAGGCCTCACAATATCTCACAATTCACAGAAAATTTCTGGGCTAGGTTCTGGAATGGGAATCTTGTACCCAGCCTTGCGGCAGGAAGGGTTTAGATGGGTTTCTGGGCAGTCCTGGCCGATCTTGACATATCCCGGCCAGAACGGTCGGGTGTCCAGGGTGGAGGTCTCGAAAGGCAGCCCTTCGGCAATTGGAAAATTGCATGGGCATGCGACTGGCATGCGAGGTCGGGAGTGAGAGCTTTGAGTCTACCCGGCCGGCTTGAGCACGAATAGGCTTAAGCCCCCCCCTTGGTCCTGGAAGCCTGGAAGCCTCTGAGACGGCCCATGCAAGTTTGGGAAGCTCTTGGCTGCGTGAACAAGCTGGCTGCTGGAGGAGGCTGGTGGAAAGTGGTCTTTTTTGGCCGAACCCTGAAGCCTTCTGCGAGGAGACATTGCGCTTTGGGGCGCACTGGTCTGCATCATTCATGCTGACTTCCAACAATGAGACATGGACCATCACCCCAAGCACGCAAAGCCGCGAACAGATGTGGCGGAGCTGCTCGGCATGTAGGATTCCAGGGCCGGCTTCCCTTTCAAGTCACAAGGGCTATGGAGACATAATGAGACACGCACACGCAACCCTCAAGGATGTGCAAGGGCTTGCTTCAGGCAAGCTGTCATCCCATCCGCACTCGTTTTGAGCTCGGCCACGTCCACCTCAAGACACAGACACACCTTACAAGTAAGACCCAGCCATGCTGTGAAGAGATTTTCCTCTGGAATGCCTTGGCGGCTTCAAACTTCGGAAGCACGCGCTTGAGGAACTCCATGACAAGCTCACTTACAATCGGGACCTGCCAACACCGCACAACGCCATGCAATGCCAAAGATCCAGCAACAACCTCGGGCAGCAAAGTTCGGAAAGCGTTTAGAATGGCAAATGCCTGACCACCCTGTCGCGCGCTGCGACACAGCTGGCCCCACGTCTCAAAGGCCAAGTCCCTGCCAGCTCAAAGTACTACAGGAATCTGTGAGGAAGTGGAACGTGAGAGAAATATTGACTTCGGGCTTTGGATTCTGCATTGAAAGCTAGGGAAAGTTCAGGCCTGATGCCATCTTCCATGCAAAAGTCGAAAACAGGAAGCAAGGCCTCGACTTCTTTGAGGCACAGTCGGTCTGACAACTCTAAGATCCAAGACACACAAACATGGCCTTGGCCGTCTCCCCCACAAACGGAGCATACAAGGCTGCAAGCTGCTCCACAAACCTTTTAGCTGACTTCAGTGCATGCAACGTGTTGATGCAACTGTTATCAACAACCTTCCGCGCAATCGCATGCGGACTTCGAGCTTCGAGCGTATGTACACACTCCAGTGCTGCTTTCAGGTCCTGCATGCCGCTGTCGTGACAAGACGTGCAAGCATGGCACTGAACAAGACTGGCCTGGATCTCGGAGGAGTACATGATCATGACCTTGACCTGAATGCTGCATGCTAGTAGCGGAAGGCGGTGGCAATTTAAATCGCTGACTCTGCGCCTGTCCGTTCTCTTGCATAAGCGTCAAGTTGACCTCGTCATTGTCATCGATCTCATCACCGCCGGTGAACTCCTGGCAACGAATCCGAGGCCATGTTGCTGGGCACCTCGATGTACAAGTAACACTCTGGGCAGGGCGACCCGAGGTGCCAGAGTGAACTTCTCGAGAACTCCGGGCCTCCATCGAGCTGGGCGATAGCTGCTAAAACTTCAATGGCATGTCAAACGAGATGCTAAGAGATGTGCAGAATGTGCGACACAAACGGCAAAAAGTCCTCCTTCAACGTTCCCTGTCACTGGCTGGCGGCTTCTTAACAGAGTCTTCAAGCTGCCACATGTTGCACTGTACAAGCTTTCAAGTGACTCTAGGCTGGTGGCACATATCCTTTCCGATGCAGCCATCATGTACTCCTGACGGGGTGACAGTCCCGAGTCTGCCACAGCAGCCATGACTTGTGCCCCTGTGCCCCTGTCTCTCCGACAGCTTGCCTCGAGCAGTACCCTACTGGGCCGTGAACTCATGCACGAAACATCTCACGAAACATATATGCATTCAACAAGCAAAACCACAGCAACATTTAACTAGACAAACTCTCAGAAAAAGATCCTGACCAGCTTGCGTCATGCCTTTCAAAAACGTATCGCAAATGAAAACTTGTTTCAAAAGTGGTGAGTCGCTATGGGATCGACAGCAAAATTGGGGACCCCGGGACCCTGCCAGGGACCCTCACCCTACTATCACCGCTTGTGACTTAGGTGCTGCAAACCAGCGCGTCCGTTACGCTTCAAGCAGTCTCGATCGTAGCAGGAAGGTTGCACATTCATGTTACAAACGCCATTCTCGGGGAGGACCAGCCAGCGCGTTTGCCGATTTTGCCCGGCTGTCGCTGACCTCCGTGAGGGACTCCCTGTAGTTTACTGCAAGCTGCACTGCAACAGCTCTTTTCTGGACTCACAGCTAACCTGTGGCAGTTGACGCCTTGAGAAGAAACTCTTCCACTTCTGGGGTTGCCTGGCCCGGAGACCTGCAAACATTGGAGCCTTTCGGTCCCTTAGACACCTGAGGCTTAAGCCGGGGCCGGCTGCGTAGCGATCAAACATGATCAGGTGGCACCGACCATGGCAACCCCACAAAGGAGAATCCAAACGAGCCAGGACGAAACCGTACAAATTGAACATGCGTGGGGGAATGGACGGTATCGGTGTCGTGCCAGGGGCCTCGTCTTCACAGATCCCCCTTCGAACCTGCTCTTTCTGTACGTAGTTCTTTACGTATTCGTAGATTCGTAGTTCTTCACTTAGTTCGCTGGGAGCAGCTCCCTGCCTTTACCCCCACCGGGTAGGGTCGTCCTGTCTCCATGTTTCGCCCTTGTTGTCGCCCCTGGGCCCCTGACCTCTGACCTTCCGCATCCAACGACGCCGAAAAGGGCAAACATGCCAAGAGAGACGAAAGTCTATGGCTGCGCTTTCCTTCTCCTCCTTCAATGTTTAAGCCTTTTCCCACTTTTCACTTCACAGACCCTCTCCTTGACCGGATCATTCGCTGGCAAGTTTGGCATCTTTGTCGCCTGGATCATGGCCTCAGATTGGAGTTTCAAGGTGCATCTGGCGAGCTCAGACATACCACAAGACCACAGAATCACGCGCCTGCATGATCTGCTCTGCATCTGAGCGGAAGCCATTGCGGCCAACTGCCTTAAAGAGACAACTGCGAGTCACTCTAGCACTGTCTGCCAAGGAAGGGAGAGAGAAAGGAGCTGCACCAAAAACACGAACGAACCCACTCTGGCCCTGACTACAGCACTTGACAGCAGTTGTTTCTTTCAACTACTTTCCCCTGCTTTTGGTAAGATGACTCAGAGGACAGTCGAGTTCGACTGACATGGCAAACCTCATATACATTCTGTCCACAAGATCGACAATTCACCAGAACTTGAGGGCATGCCCGCCGGAAAAGGCAAGCGTGGCTAGACGCGATCGGAGACCGCAGACACTGCGCAGACGCCAGGCCATCGTGTCGCGGTGAGCAGTTAACGCAACCTGGGACTGATGCAGCGAGGACCCACCCAAAAGCGCCCTACAAAACGCGCACATACATGGAGAAGGAGAACGGACCGCACTGAGCAGAATCCCAAGAAAAAGCAGCACCAAAGCCCCTTCCCATCCACTGGAGTTGATGTCAACAAGTGCCTGTGCAGGCACGGCCAGTTCCCACGTTTTCGGAGGCGGCTACAAGGAAGGGTGGTCAGAAACAGGAAGGGAGCAAGAAGAATGAGAGCCCGAACTCTTGAACTGAAAAACCATAGCCGGGGAGCCCCTACGTCTGGACGGACCCGGAATGTGTCCTGGAATAGACTCAAAGGCTGCCAAGGCTTTGGTCCTACGTCGCTGCACGGACAAAATTACAGATGCCGCAAACAAGGGGAAAACGAGCACAGCATGCACCAGTCATCGATCCAACATGGCTCAATGCCAAGAGACACAAAGACCAAACAAATAAAGCAGAACAGCTAACCAGCCGAATGCAGGTAATCCAATGGCATTACTTGCAAAGGTGGTGGTCAAAATAAAGTACTCTTTGCCAACAGCCGAGGCGTGGGCTCTTGCCAGAAGGGATATGCATTCAAAGCATTTCCCCAGAAGTTGCCTCTCCTTTCGGCTTGACATGAGCAGCAGAACTCGAGAAGTGTTGACGCAGGCGCCTCCGTCTTGTGCAAAGTCGTCTCAATCACCTGCCGGATAACTTCAGATGACTCCTTGCACCTCGAATCTCCAGGCAAGCTCTACGAGCCTGCTTCAACACTGGCATGAGGTGTCCATAATATGGAGCGAAAGCATCATCCACCTAAAAGCTGCAACATGCAGCTGCAAGGTACACGCGACGCTTGGAACTTACAAGTTTCACTGTTCGCAAGTGCGCAAGGCACAAGGCCTGTCCAGCAATGACTGCAATGAACGTAATCGCCTGCGCGCGTAAGTGAGGCGGACTCTGACTACCCAATTGCTCGGGGCTTACATGATTGAGAGCAGTTGGGTCATCGCCTTCTTCTGCTTGCGAACGCTTCCTTGCATTTTGGAGGCTAGCTTCTCCATCATTGCTTGGACAAAAGGCTCCAGGTCCTGCAAAGACAGGCGCCAGGCAGCCGAAATGATCCATGAACGGCAAGCCACAATCATGCGCACGCTGGTACGACTATGAACGATGAACGATAGGAACATACAGCGTTCAGTCACATGAGCTCGAAACGTCAGAAGAGGTCACATCTCCGAAGGTACAAGCCCCCGCGCGAAAGGCTCAAGGTGAAATGCAGAGAGGCTTTCGTGAGATTCACCGGCAACGTGCACGTGCAACATACGAGACGAACCGAGGCAGGAGGCCTCCATGCTACGCAGAATGAACACGCCGATCGATACCCAAACGACACCAAAGTGAGGCGCGACTTGTTGCGGGCGACATGTGTGACCCCACTACTAGCATTGGACTCCTCCCTTTCGACAGACTCTCCAAAGTGCTGGAAGGCCTTGAAAAGGAAGCAACAAAGACGCAAACAGGTCGGAAAAACTGCGACAGCTGCGATGGCTGCGATGGCTGCGCTGGCTGCTAAGAGCTGAAGCCTCCATGCTTCGAAGGCAAACCCGCTCGCAAGGATCGTCTAGGCCTAGCCAGGAGACGCGGCACAGATGTTCTTTAGGCATAGACACGTCTCAACAGCCTTTCAAGAACTCTGGGAGCAGCTGCGAAGCCCAAACCTCCAGTAGCTCCGCTATAGACATGCTGTGGGTCGACACATTCCATCAATCTCTGAAGAGCTAGCCTCTGAACTGAGCACATCTGAATGATCCTGACAAAGCATCTGTACGCGGAATAGATGTTAACTTCACGGCGCATCAGCTATGGCAGCAGTAGTCCTCAGAGAATTGTGCAACTGCACCCCAAGCTGTGTAGCGAACTCGCCTGGCAGTTTGTAACCTGACTTTCGCCTGAAGAACAAAATGTAAATGCCAGCCTCAACCTTCCCGACATCACTACTCAAAACTTGGATGGAAGATGCAACAGCACTTCGCTTTCACATCACCCAGATCACGTCCGAATATGATCGCGACACTTCGCCTGGGGAATGCCGGGCAAGAGTGCACCTAACAAATACGGGAACACTGACGCCACCGGGCAAGCGTCTTCAAATGTTCAAAGTCGAAGAACGCCCAGGTTTGGAACATCCAGCTGCATAATCGCAGCTCGGGCAACAAACAATTTGGTTTAGCGCATTAAGAAATCTTTCAGTCCATCCAGCGGACCGGCATTCGATTCAGGTGCACTTGGTACATCCTCCGCTGAGGGCTCACTTTCCAGGGCCTCTTCATCCTCTTCATCTTGATCCATGGGTTCCTGAGTCACATGGCCATGGGAGTCTTCAGCTTGTCGACAGATGCAATTTCGCACGCATGCTCGGTCTTTCTTTGGTGAGGGCAAGAGGGTGAACCCCGCGCATGACGTGCGCCCTGCTTCCGTGTCTCATGCTGTCTGCTTTAGGCCGCTGTTGGGTGTCCCCTAGTCGAGGGTTTCTATCTCAATTCTGCGCGAGTTGTACAACTTCCCGCCCATTCCAACAATCGTCCGTGCCATTATCTCAGTTGAAACGCTAACTCAAGTCTCAAAGCGGCTCCAACAAACGCGCATCCCGTGCCTATCAACTTGCCCCTATTTCAGGTTTGGCCTTCTCTCCCTTCTCACACTTGGAGCGATCTCCCCTTCGATGGAGGTCATGCTACTTGCCCTTCTCGTATTGCCCTCGTCGCCTTCAGCTGCTCCCAAGCGACCCGGATGGCTGTTCTTCGTGGCTGCCCCAACTGGTTGTCCAGCGTTTGCAAGGTTCAGGCTACACCCTGCTGCACCGCTTTCGCCGCGTCGTGATTTCTCCTATCGCGCTGGTCCTCCACCTCCTCACTTTTTAGTGCCTGGAGTCGTCGCCACCTCTTGGTGGAGTGTTCCAGGTGCCGCCCAAAGCGTGCCCCTGTCCTTCCCCCACCACGCCCCGGGTTGCGCTTCCCCGATAATGTGTCTGGGCTGCCCGGCTTGCTTATGATCCGTGTTGTGCTTGCTCCGTCGGTGTGATGGGATGCTGGTTGCCACCCCTGGTCGCCACCCCCTTCGGCGCGACCTGCCCCTATCCCTATCCCGCTGTTGTTTGGCTGTGTGCGGTGCTTGCGTGCCCGCCGCTGGCCCTGCATGTTTGATGTCGGCGCTGCCCCCTCCCTGGGTGCATTCCGGCCGCATTCCGGTCGCAACCCTGTTCGGCTGTTCGGCCGATTTGCCCCCCAGGATTGTGATGATTGTGCATGTTGCGGTTGTGCTTCCGATGCTCTCACGGTTGCGATCCTTGTCGGCGCGACCTGCCCCTGCCCATTGTTGCTTGACTGTAACCCGGCCGCTGGCCTGCCCGTTTGCTCCTGCCCGTTTGCTCTTGGCGGAGTACCCTCCATAGTAGCTGTCTGGTCGCCATCCTGTTCCTCGAAGCTTCGATCGGTTTATGCCCCGCCGAAAAATACCTGCCGAAGAAGTCCTGGCCCCTTTCAAACGCCTGAGCAAACCCTTGTTCAAGCATGTGGGTTCCTGCCCCCGATTCGCTCGCTCGTCTTCCTCTTCCTGTTATTATTTTATGTTCTTCTTCTTATCATTGCTATTCTGCTTCTTGTTCTACTTAGTCTTCTTCTTCTTCTTCATATTCTTCTTATTCTTCTTATTCTTCCTCTTCTTATTCTTCTTCTTCTGCACACTTCGGGCTGCCTCTCTCTCTCGCCCCCCGCGCACATGCTTTCGCGACCATAGCATTGGACAGAGACTAGAGTGTCGTACTTGGCTGCTGAGCGGTGCGGGAATTCAGGGAATCTCCGATGCTGAGACACCCCAAAATATCTTGAAACCTTTCGGGCAAGGCACCTCCTCAACACTGCTCTCACCGTCGTCTTCCTTGCTGACATCCCCTGGATCCCGCATGGTAACCATAAGATGTGGCCCTGTTGCATTCTGCTCTGGAAGCCGGCGCACGCGGACCGTCAAGCCCGGGGCTGCCTCTTTGCTGAAAGCCTCACTGAAATACGGCCTTGCCAAATATCCGTCCGCAGAGTCACCATCCTGGGACTTCACTGCTATGACAGCATGGGTTGGATAGAGGCGAAACACTTCCCCCTCCAGATCTTGATCAGCAGGCAGTGACATGAACTTGGACATCACCTCAGCTGTGTTCTTCGGCTTGCCAACCCCCGCCAAGGTTGCTCGGTACAAGTCTCCAGATCGTCTTGTAACATAGAGGCGGTCACCATCCACCTTCAGCACACGAACGGTAGTGCTGCTGCCACGCTTCAGCTCGTCGAAGCTCGATCGGTTGTGTCCGTCCCCACACTCCTGCCAGTCCATGTAAGCCGCCTGTTCAACCCCCACATCCAGGAAGATTGCAGGCCTTTGTCCTCTAAGAACGCTAACCACGGTGCCAGACAATGTGTCACCGACGCTGATGTCTTCTGGCCGCTTGGTCGGCAAGTCACGCATGGTCACAATGGCTCGGCCTCTTTGGGCATACTTCTTCCTAACCTGAATTTTGCTGCCAAAGCGAACATCCTTTTCCGCACCTTCAATGAAGTTGAAGCGTGGCAGATCTGCGATTGTCGACTTGCTGGGATCCGAAGGGCTCACGATTTTGAGGTAAGCCCTATAAAAGTCAAATCCAATGACCTCGGCTTCCACCTTGTCGGAGTCAGGGAGATCTTTCAGGACATCGAGGTCCACCTTAAGTTCCCCGTAGTTCCTTTCCAGGCTGCCTTTTCGGCGTGTGACTTTCGTCGTATTACCCGTCTGCAGAACCCGTACTTTGACTGTCGAGCCCCTTCTGGGCACTTTGTCCGGAAAGCCATCGGAGATCTCGTTGGCTGGCAAAAGCACCTGGCATAGGGATTAAACATATTTCGGCCCTTACACAGGCATCACACATGCCCACGCGCGCTCGCACAAGCGCACACACGCACAAACAGTTTTGCTTGTTCTGAGCTCTACTCTACTATTTGACTTGCCCTTACTGCATAGACAGCCAGGCGAAGATGCTCCAGTGTGCGTGCGTGCGAGCGCGTGCGCGCTCGCGTGCGAGCGCATGCACATGCGTGCGTGCCCGCGCGAGCACATGCGCGCACATTCGTGCGTGTGCGTGTCTGGTGGCCTCCTTCTCTGCAACCCTCAGACGAAGACCTTTCCGATATCTTCCAATAACTTTTCCTTCGACTTCATCGCCAATCTGCCACTTCGAGGCTCCTTCGAATGCATCGCTTCAAGCCATACAACACTCATACAGCGCACAGAAGAAAAATCTGCAACACACAGCAAGGCAGCTGACCTGTCTGCTTCGCGGGCTCTGCACCATTCTCTTTCTTCTCCGTGGGCACTGCGCTCCTTTCAGCCGCCAACTTGTCAAAGTCCAGCGATGCCAGCACTGCAGAAGCCACCTTCCTGTCAATCATGTAAAGATCAAGCCTGTTGCAAACAAGTTGGGCCTGAACGGAGTGGCAGTGGATGGCATTTTACCTGCAGGTCCTCCTGCATTTGTCGGGGGTCGCTCCATCGAACACCACCCGGTCCACCGTCGCTGTTGAGAAGCTCAAGCAAGGCAGTTCCAGGGATGCCTGAGCTGTCAAAAGGTCCCGACAGTTCACTCTGCTGGGGGGATATAAACGGGTAAACTGAAGGTCGTTTCGTAGCTTTCTCAAAGGGATGCTTAAAGCTCAACTTTCAACATGCTGTCAAATCACCTCATATCGCCAGAGGAGATCTTTTTTGGTTACGTTTCTTCCCAAGAGCGCCGTCAGCTTCTGCTGCAGCTCTTTGACTGGGTCATCCTTGGCCTGAGAACCCACCATTACTGTTTGGCAGAGGCAGGTGCCAAAAGGACTTGGAAAGGATTGAGTGTACTTTTAGGGACTTTCGTGTAGCTGTTGCCCTGAGGTGGGGCCTGGGCTTCCCTTGCCAGGGAAGATCGCAAGGGCCGCGAGGATGAGCGGAGTGCCGCTTCACAGAAGGCCTCCTCGTCGGAATGTGCTGCAACCCCCAGCACCCCGCTAAGCCAACCAACGGCTTCCATGTTTGCGGCTGATGCAGGTCATCTACAGACCTTCTTGATGTATCCACATTGTTTACTTTGCTTGGCACGTCTCCGGCGACAATTTATCACCTAATACAATAATGGACAACATGCCATGAGCACCTCGTTGTTCCTTCCATCTGTCCTTCTTCCACCCTATTCCACCCTTCAAGAATGAAATCTCGAGCAGCTCCCACTTGTGTGTGTGTGTGTGTGTGTTCCAGACGTGCTCCTGCCTTCCACAAACAAATTTCGGAAGGAAAACCCTCCACCAGCCAGTTCAAGAAAACATGAGAAACTGAAGGGCTATAACCAAGCGGTGTCCGAATCAAGAGTCATGATGCAAATTCACATGGTACCTGGCACGCGCCTGGCATGCACGCAACTACTAAACATCTAGAACCGGTGAGCGTCGCGAGTGTTCCAACTCGGCGTCCTGCGTCAACTCGAGGCCGAGTTGAAGAAACAGCGGTAGGGCACAAACACAGAAGCAACGCGCAAGCAAGCTTGACCTCACTGCACATGACGCGATGCGCAGATGTGGCCATACGAACAAAGAGCAATCGTTCGTTGACTTAAAAGCACATCATGGTGCACCTAAACTGCAAACGGATCGTGTGGCTGTGGCCATGTTTAAGCCTCCGGCCGACGAGGGAGTCGCTGATGCTGCCCATTCCCTCTGAAAGTGGACATCTCGTTTTCGCAGCACACACAGACACAGAGACGGACGGCACCTTCTACTAGATAGAGCGAAGCATGAGAAGCATGCTAGCAATGCAAACACCGATGACATACTTCCAATGCTGTGGCTGGTAAGAAGTCCTGTGGTTTATTCGTGGCTTGGGCCAAATCTTGCAGAGCTCATTCTGCAAGGCGCCAATCTTCAACAGCCAGCTGGAAGGTGTCCTTGACTGGCGTTTCGGGCCGATACGACATCAGCAGCTCCCTCACCCTGCTGGATCAAATGCGCCGGGCAAACGCGTGGGTCGCTGCCAGCTGCATCTTAATGCCCTGCATCATTTGTGACACGGTGGCCTCTCAGCAAGATAACTGACATGATTGAACCGGTGCATCCGGTGATTTGACCTACCGTTGAAGCAGCTGAAACAGCCACGACAAGCAGACCTCATCGTCCACATACTCTGCAATCATTGAGAGGGTGGAAACCGCAGCAACTACCTGAGCGCATTGTGCACACAGTGCCACCCAAAGGGCCTGGATTGGCCCGTCTATGAAATTCTCAAAGTTTAATGGAGGCCTGCTTCCACTCACCTGTCTGGAGCAACTTTGTCACAGCCTGGCAAAGGTTCTATCATCGTTGGACAACATGTCGACGCCATGCTGGTACGCGACCTGCTTCAAGACCTCCAACATGGGTGGAAACGCATCCACCTCCAGCCCAAACGCAGGAACAGTATTGGATTGTTCTTTTCCTATCGGTATGAATGGCGTGTGAACTCAATCGAACAACTAGCATAAATCAGAATAGTGATAACTGAACATACTTGAAACTGAAATGTCCTTGTGAGCCAGTTGAACGTTAGTTTCTCTGAATTTGGTCTCGGTACCTGTGTTATGTTGCGTTCTGTGATTTCTGGCTTGTCATCATGCACCTCTCTCTCTTGCATCTAGAAGCTGCTTTGCCCGTGAATGATCGGCCGGCTCCTGCAACTCAAATCCTAGTGCAGCATCTGTCTAGCAGCTAGCATCACAGGCACATTGAGCGACTTGCTGACAAAATGATTTATGTTAAGCGATGGGCCTAAGCGTAACATGCTTGAAGTGAATGCTGGGCTGCAGGCTGCAGTCCTACAACCAGAAGAGGTAATGAGCAGCAAGCCCCATTGTAAGCCAAGAAGAAGAGCCATGTGTAGGCGCTCCTACTCTCCACACCCCCCTAGTGGGCAAACCCAGGCAAAGCCGAGGAGCAAAGTCTGATAGAATGAGTGATGGGTAGCAAACCCTTCGAAGGGACAGACCCTGATTCCCGAATGTATCCCAACCGTCTCTGCTCTTGGACTGTTCCTGATAAGTCCAGATCGGGCTGCGCTGCCGCCGGTGCACTTTCGAAGCTCCTGGCTGGACTAGGGCACGGCCCGCTAGAAGTAAACATAGCTGCCGACCGGGAAAGCAAGGGATGTAGAAGTGCTCGTCTCACCCCGCTGTCCCTATCCATTCTGAGCTGCGCAATCTGGGCGGCTTTGCTCATCTTAAGGCAGCTTCTTAGATTCGCTCTGCCCTCACCGTCTTGCAAAACTTCTCGGCAGGGGAAGTCACCTCGAGACGGCCAAGGATCCACGGGTGAGGTGTATAACCGGATGTTGCGGGGAAGCTTTCCCGCACTTGAGTGACGATGCTCGCCATGGTCATGACCTCTTGCAGCCCGTTTAGTTGCATCTCGCACGCCGTGCGCTCGAACATCTCCTTCCGTAATCCACCTGCCTTCTCTACCTTGCCGTTTTTCCAAGGGGCCTGCAGGGGCATGACCTCCAACTCCACGCCGTACTCGTTGAGGTAATCGGAGCATTGAGTCACAAGCTCGTTGCCGTGATCGATCCGGGCGCTCTTCGGAAGTCCGACCCAGGAAGACTGGGTGGCCAAGCAGTCCAAGCAGTGGCGCAATACGGTCTCCAGTGGCCTCACAGATCCTTGCCGGGGAGCCTGACGGCTTGAGCCTTTTGACCTGCATAGGGCCTCCACAGGCATAACTCGGCATAACAGAAGAGAGGCACTCAATGCCCTTTAACGTCAACCTTGGCTCCTTGTCTTCGTAGAACCCGTTGGAGGACTGAATAGGCAGGATGTCCGAACTGAACATGGAGATCACGGAGTACCTTCCTGATCTGCAGGGAGGCAAAGCCCTCGCACACGCCTCTTGCACGGCATGTTCGGAAGGGATGTCCGAATCGCCGGCTTTCATACTCCTCGGCGGCTTCTTGATCCACAAAGACGTCCTCACCGACATCGTCGCAGCCGTCTTCCTCATGCACGACAAGGACGTAGCTTTTGCCGCGGCCCTTTCCCTTCAAGCCCTCTCCCTCCAGCACGCGCAGGGAGAGAAGCTTGTGCAGACACGAAACGGTCAAGGCGCGGGCGACCTTCTTGGAGTCATAGTCGCTGTTCATCGAGCTCAGCGCTCCCAACTGATCCAGACCGCCAAAGGCATGGAACATCAGGGCACCGATGTTTTCTGCGATCGCGGCCCCATGCAACAGGAGCATATACTCAATGGACTTTGTACTCTGGTGGCACACCTGGCCAGAGCACACGGCTGTAAAAGGCCTGGAAGAACAGCTTAAACAGCTAAATGATTCCGAGAAATCTCATGGAGGCCGAACCTTCCCACACCACGGGGCCCCTCAGAGGCCTCTGAATTCTGAAAGAAACAAGACCACACCTACTTCTGAGGGCGGCGCCAAAACAAGAACACACACAGCACTCCTACTGGTGAGGGTAGTGTGGCAAAAATGATTCTCAATCGGCTCCTTGGGCGTGTGAGGCCCTTACTCAATTGGCTTGTTATGGGAGCCCTTGGTCTTCAGCGATCCGTGGTCCAACTTGCGGACGGGCTCCTAGGCAGCTACAAGTCTGCCCTCATGGACTGCTTGGGCCAGCCGGTTCTGCTCTCTTCCTTCTCATGCCAGAAGTCCCAATGCCCTCTCCCAATATTCTTCAAACAGATCGGGCGGGCATGGCAGATGAGCGGGTGCTTTCCTTTTCCACTGAGGCACCCTCTAGCGTTGAGCCATCGCAGCGGTACGCGGTAGCATGTCTGACTGCACAGCGGCATGCCCGGCATACAACACGTGAACCGTACCTTTTACAAGAAGAAACAGTGCAGCCTTGGCAGCACAGCGGCTGAGTCGATCGACCTGCATCGATGGCGGCACTAGAGTACGGAGATGTCAGCACTCAGTCCCGTAACGCAGTTGTCACAATCACTGAGGCATGTACGGCTTCTTTGCCGAAAGTGAAGGCCCTCGACCGCATGTCTGTAGATTCAAACTCAGGCTTCACCACTGACTGCAATGAAAAAACATGTTGGCTAATGGTCTTCATCTGAAGGCCCAAGCTCTTCATCATCTTCTCCGGCTTCATCGTCCTGCTAAGCTTGCAAGGTTCATTATAGCAACACGAAGCGGCACACAGCGCGCGATGTGTCGGTCCTCCTGCATCCATGTCGCGACATCATCGTTGAGCTGCATCATGAAATGAATGCAGAGATCTAGTGCCTGCACAGCTTGCCGATGCAGAGCTTAGACAACTCAGTAAGTCGGAAGCCAACCGTCACGCACTTTCACCATTTCAGTCGCTGCGGCGGTCGAAATTCAACTTTCAATCTCAGAGTGAAAATTCGAGATGGTCCCCGGGAGGTGCATGTCACCAAGACCCCGGTTCTTGTTTTGTTGAACTCCTGTGCTTGGCGAAGGCCAACCAAATGTCCAGAAAATCGTCTCGTGAAATAGACTCTCTCAGAAAAGTCTCTACTTAAGCATATTGCCTCCAGCTAGCAGCAACTGTGCCCCACTCTGGGATGGCAATGGTTGCACCGTGCACAGCTGTCCGGCTTCCTGTCTCTTCATGGCCTTACGCCGCCTCCCACCTTTGCCTTTGCAGGGCTGCTCGTCACCTTGGTGGCCTGTCAGCGAGGCCAACATGGAGAGCACTTGGACAACCCTCACCAAAAGCCTTACAGCGCTGCAAAGCCTTCGAAGAGCCGTCAAAAAGCCCTTCTGTTTCTGAACACAAGAGCCCGCGGCCCATGGCCTTGACAGCATCCGGCTTTTTGAAGAGGTAGTGGGCGACGATCCATTCATTGCCATTATTGTAGCCCCATAGCTCCGCGCAGGCCATGAAAAAGGCCCTGACAAAAAGGGCACAAAAGCAGCAGATGGTGCCTGGAAAGAAGACACGTACATATGACTCAATATGACGCAACTAGAGTACAGGAAGCTTCAAAAGCGCCTCCAACGATTGAGCCACATGACTTCAGTGCCTGAATGCCAGCAAATTGCAGGGCACATGCGAGGCCTTCAAACCTTCATGCACTGCCACGCCATGCCTGGCGGGTAGGTCTGCTTCAGCAACTCCATAACCTGCAAAAGAAATTCAGTCACCGGAACACAACATGCGCGTACAATGACATGGCCTTCTCAGAATTCTGATCAAGATTTTGTAGCCATCCTTCGGCTGTCAGCTGGTAGTGTCGCCCATTCACGTGCCAATGCTTCTCCTGCCAGCTTCGCGAAACTTGTAAACTACAAAGTCGCGCCTTGCCAATTCCAGCATCTAGGAAAGCAGCACAGAGAAGTCATGCGTAAGCGCTCCAGCTGCAAGTTCCGCTGAAAGTAGAATAGGAGATCAGCTGAAGGCATGGTACCCCCAGCGAAGAAGTATCGAGCCATCCAGTCTGCTTCAGATCTGGCTACAAAGTGGTAGGGAAAGCGCGTGTGCCTGCCCCATCGAGCGATGACGCAGTCCGCACGGATATCTCTTGACGACATGCGAAGACTCTAGGTCCTATCAGGCCCAGACACACAAAGATGTGGACAAACAGCTTGCCACCAGGACGAAGCGTTGCCGATACGCGCTCGAGCAGCACATCGTAGTTTTTCATGTGCCTAAGCAGTGCATGCCCGAATGACAAGAAATGAAAGAGGCTGAGGTGTCCCCTGGACAAGTTACTGCGAGCCACGCAGAAACGCTCTCAATTGCACGTACTCTTTCAGCACAAGATTCTCCATCATCTCGATCGACACGACTCGATCAAAGCCTTCTGCTTCAGGTCGCTCCTTCTTCAGAACGGGGAGAGCAGCATCCACCAATGGGACTTGCGAAACATCGCAGGTGACGATTCTCAGGTTCCTTGCGTGGTTGAAACCGCAGAGAACAAAATCCTCGTGCACCCGTGAAGAAGAAACGGGGTAGCTAGGTTCTTGGACACCAAGGATCGACAGATTTCGCTGCCTGGCTTGCTCCAAGATCCAGCCACGCTGACCATGTGAGTTGGACACTCCAACAACCAATGCGTTCGGGAACTTTTCTGCCAGGAAAAGACTTGCAGACCCCCAGCCACATCCCAGGTCCAGGATTGCCATGCCGTCCTTACGAAAGCTTGTCAAGGAAGCTTGCCACTGCTGAACGGAACGGAGGTCTTGCCATGTGCCAGCTGCATCCCAGTGGCCTCCAAGCCAGCCTTATCCACGTAATCCTGCAACGAGCGCTCTTCAGCTGCAGGAAGGAGCTCGGCAGCACGGCTTGCCAGGTGATTGGCAGCGTCTTCTGGAAAGATACAGCCGGAATACTTCTTTCCTTGGCCCAAGATTCAGCAAAACTGGCTCTGATCGCTTCCGAACGCCAAACGCTAAGCATTTAAGCCAGCAGCTTGGTCCGAGCCAAATGTGGTACAGCTCAGGCGGCACCTCGTAGTGCTGCTCGTTCGCCTCGGCAGTGCCTCAGCTGAGGTTCTCAGGTTCTCCATGAACGTACCGAAAAACCAAAAAATCCGATCAGGCTCTTTACAGGCAAGGTACAGATTGCAATAGGCATCGTCTTCAAAGAGTCGATGAAGTCCTGCTTGGCTTCCTGGTCTAGTCGAACGCAGCCGTGCGTCTCTTCGCTTATCTTCTGAGCAAGCTTGAAGCGGATTCCAACCTCAGTTGCGAGGTGGGTGCGAGCAGCTGAGCAACCACCTCATGAACACAGTTCTTTTAACAACCCTTTACAACAAAGCGATGACGCCCACCTGCGGTGCTTGATGCTGTTCAAGCTGCTCGGGTTAACCAATCTGGCATCAAGCCGCGATCGAGCAGACGCTGGGCACTTCCCACAGCCATCTGAACGGCAGTGGTCTTTGGTCGCTTCAGTGCCTGCCATCCGCTCAACAAGCCTGTGTTGGACGCGTGCAGAGCATCGCCGTCGAAGGACCGCTCCTTGCGCTTCTTCGATGTTCTGCCAGTGTCACTGTCCAATCGTTTCTGCAGGCACACCTGCCAATCATCTATGTGACCCACTTCGAAGCCAACTTCGCAGTAAGCAAAATAATAATGCCACTGTCGGATGAACTTGTCATCAAAGCCTTTACCGAAGGTGCTCACCTCTGCCCGGATTTGCTTCTCATGCGCGGCAAATCGCCGTCGCCACTCGTGCAAAGTCTTGGCGTAATCCAGGCCAACAGAATAAGGCTTCGCTGCCTCAACCAAGGCCGTCTTGCCCTTCTCACACGCCCGCTTGATCTCCGCAAGGCTGACAAGGTTCGAACCTGGAAAGATGCGTTCCCTGATGAAATCAGACCCACGTCGGTATGATTCATATCGGCCGTCTGGCACACAAATTGCCTGAATGGAAGCCTTCCCTCCAGGCTTCAAGCATTCGTCGATCGCTGCAAAGTAAGCTGGAAGGTATTCGTGGCCCACGGCCTCGATCATCTCACAGCTGACAACTTTCGAGAATGCTCCGGCCCCAAACTTTGATGCTGCATCCCGATAGTCGCAGAACACCACTTTGATGCGGCTGCTGAAACCGGCCGCTGCGATGCGCTCCTCGGCCAGCTTCAGCTGCTCTTGTGACAGCGTGATGGCCGTCCATGAGAGATTAGCACATCGCTGCGCGCCTCGGATTGCCATGCTGCCCCAGCCGCAGCCAATTTCCAGCACCTTGTCACCGTCTTGAAGCTCTATCAAATCCAGCATGCGATCCAGCTTCTTCATCTGCGCCAGCTCTAGGAAATCGCCTGTGCTCCGTCCTTTCATTGCCTCAACTTCCTTGTCAAAAATTCCAGCCGAATACGTCATGTCCTTACTCAGGAACATCTTGAACATGTTGTTGGACAAGTCGTAGTGGTCTGCGATATTGCGTTTCGATCCATCCTGACTGTTCGCTCTGCCGGCATGCAGGTGGGCATAGTATCGCTTCGCCAGCGAAGAAACTAACCTGACAGGCGACCAGGCCATGGGGGAAGACTCCTCCCCCTGCTCCTGCCACTCACGTTCAGCAAGCACGCGTTCGCAACTTCGCAACAGCAATCTGCCCGCTGCAGTTCCGTACTCGCGCCTTGTTGCTGAGCACAAGCCGAAAAAGATCAGTTATGTCTGGCTTGACGTCGATGTCTCCCTTTGGTCAGGGACAAGCGGCCCAGGAAGAACAAAAGCAAGCGAGACGATGTGCACACGGGAAAGTCATGGAAAGTCCCTAATGTCCCTATGAACTTACATTGGGCCTCAATGTAGCTGTCGGCCAGGCCAAGTCCTGGGTCCAATGCCATTCTTTGGACAAAGCGACCGTGACCTCAGAGCTGCTTGGATGACCCCTTCCATGGCCGGCGCTTCTGAAGACAACCCTTGATCAATACGAAGCATGATGTGAGGCCAGCACGAACATAGACCTGAACACTTACACCGCTGCCGTCTCCGAATTTGTACTTCTCTCCACCGGCAAACTCCACGGTCAGTGAGCCCTTTCGCAACATTTTCCGCATGCCCGGCAAAAGAGCACTAGACCTTAAACATCCAGGTTTCGAATATGGAGGAAAGCCGTTGCTCTCCGCGAGCGATGATGCACAGGCAACCACCGGAACCCATGATAAGTTCCGCACCAAAGGCTCCTCATCATCGCAGAGGGCGGTGAGCCCTTATCCGAAGACATGGTTCACAACCTGGGGTAGGATGAGGGATTGACCGTGGTTCTGCTATACGCCAAAGTCGAGACATGCGCCGAAGTCGGAGGCCTAAGGTGTTTAGATCCAGGGAATATTGGAAAGGTTTGCCCTCCCCTTCCCGCATCTTCCCACTACCGCATTGCATCTCGCGCGCTCTCCTTTCCGCAAACAAGGCTGGACATACAAACAACCGTGACGAGATGTGCCTGGCAGACACCGACAGCCAATGAGAGCCATGCAGCTGGCCCCAGCTTTGGGCCAAATGGCTACGGCTTAGACATGTCGAGGCATTCGCACGTGCTTTGGCAAGGCGTTGCACACTTCACGCACTTGACCGACCGCAGCGTGCCTGTTCAATGTAGTGCGGAATCTTGACTATCATCTTGGGCTTGCTCTCCATGAAGGATATAATCACCTGTTGGGCAGAATGGTGCTCCCCAGCCAGTCTGCAACAGTCCATAGACACCGGCAGTCAACGGACCACCTCAAAGGCATACTTTCGAGAAGACTCGTCCTGGTGCGACCTGATCGGCAGCGGGACATGAGAGTCTTTGGGCAAAACGAAAAACGCACCAAGAGATAAGTGCCGAACTTCGCAATTCCGCAAAGCACCGGCATCAAATGCGAGGCGATCTCAGTCTTTAGCAGTTGCAAGCGTACGCCTTTCTGCGAACACATAACATACTATACAATGGCAGAGTGAAGTGCAAGTAACTGGGTTCGCGGCATGCGGTTTGAAAAAGTCTGCAGCCTCTGTTGCTTGGAAGGATAGCAGAACCGTGTTCAGATTCCTTAGTTCGGTTCTCTGCCACATGTCTGCATCATGCTAGGATCGCCGCGACCTTACAGTACTACAATCCCCAAAACTTCACTATCAGTGTACCGCTCATCCAGTTGTTGTCCGAAGTCGAAATGTAGAAGTTGGATGGCAAGGGAGCTGGACACAGCATCCAGAACTCCGGACACCGCCCACGGACATTACTACTCAATTGGCCGAGGGTGGCAGAAGATCCAAGCAACACAAAGGAGCGTATAACTGCCAACTCCTACTTCTGAGGGCGGAGCAAGGAAAACTTTCAACGGCTTGCTAGGCAGGACTTGCCAGGGGTTTGTGAATTCAGGTCCACAGCTAGTTCTCATTTTGAGTACCTTGCTTGGCATCGCTGCCTGATGCCAGCGCAGCTGTGACTCGGCTCACCTGAACATGCAAGTTTGAGTCAGAGCCGAGCTGGCAATAGCTGGCAGCAAGCCGCGCAAGCATGAAAGCCAGCCTCTGGCACGAGATGCTGGAAAGGCTTGCGGTCCTGGATGAGTACATTGTGCACTGACTCAGCCTGGAGCAAGCTGGAGCGCTTACGTCAGCAGCTGGTCCATGCCTCTCTTCTTTCAATGCTGTCCACAAGCGATGTGACAAGAGCAGCAGCTTCTGCACGAACCTTGCAATACGTACAGATTGCTGAAGCAAGCTCGGCACACAATCGATCTGAGAAGCCGACAGGATCAGCAGGATCCTCTAAGCAAGTCTGCAACACCTGTCGCGGCAAACATTGGCAGCCTACTGCGAGTTTCAGATGCAGATGGTCGACTTGCTGAGCCTGTCCACTTTGCGTGGTGTTTGCCACTAGCATCTGCCACACAGAGCAGGCCAGTTCCTGGCAAGGCTGCAACGCTGCCGGCTTCACTGCTCTGATCACCGCCCTGGCCCTAGACCATCCTAGACCGCCACGGCCTTCACGATCCAAAGGCAATCTGCCCTGAGGTTGCTGTCCTGTGAAAGAGTCTGGCTCACGCTGTCACACTTGGTGTTCCACTTCCTTTTTCACGCTGTGTGCTCTGCACTGCGTTGCAGTCCTTGCTCTTGTCGCAGATCATGCGGAAGAGGCTCGGCATCAGCGTGGGCCACTCCTGGAGTTCGAGATGTGGCAACATGTGTCAACATTCGTCAACAGTGTGAACATGTGTCAGGTGTCAACATGTGTCAACATGTGTCAACAACCCACATTATTTCGCATCACCTTCTTTTTAATCACCTTTCTATCGCCTCCAATCTCTCCGCTCTCGCGGTAGCTCGCCCACGTCACCACATCATCCCAGGTCCTGGAGGTTCACTGGCCGCTGGTCTTCTTCAATGTCAATAATCTGGTTGCCCAGGCTCTGAATGCAGTCTGACACCTGCCATGTACAGTACCCATAGAAACTCAGACCCAACAAGGTTTGAGCACAGCCTTCTTGCGCACTTGGGTAGCCGGCTCAGCCTAAGAAGGCTCGGCTTTTGCTTTCGTCCACGCTATTCGCATCTCCATGTAAACAGTGTACAGTGCATCAGTCAGCAGAAAGCCCGGAAACCTCCAGGAGCTGCAAGAGCTGCTCCTTCACATCCGCCTGCAGCATTCTGCAGCGCTGCCCAACAAGACCGTGCTTCGACACGAGGTACGAAGTGAGATTCAGTAAGATGAAATCCATCTGCTTCAACAGAGGCTGTCCTGGTTAGCACCCAGTTTCTGCCATGTCGAGTCCGTGTCCTTGACCTGCAAAAAGGAGCGAAACAGTAGCGAAACATAATAATCATCATTATTATCATGTTAAGGAAATGCCGACTCTAAAACTTGTTCGAGCTAGCCTTGCTGCAGCACTGCCTCAGGAGCACGGCGCTTTGTTCACGCACCTGCCCAACTAAGTCCAAGCACTACCACCGGAGCACCAGGGAACTCGATGGAAACCCATGTGCAGATTCCACTTGCAATAGCTCTTGGTCTCTTGTCTGGAACCAAGCACCAAAAAGGTAGCAACGCGTGTGCACTCGGAAAAACTGCCCTGCTGCCCAACCGATGCGATGTTCAGCTGAGGCAACGGCAGCTAATTCGAGCTCTGAGTGCTGAAGAACCTGAAAGTCCCAGGTGGCACATCGATCTGTAGACCAGAGCCATGGCATGCATGCACTCGATATTTTGACATGCGGTACAGTCCTCATAAGAGCATCCAAAACACAAAACATCCTTCCGTTTCCAAACCGCAGTGTTTGCGTGAGAGAATGCGACAGACTAGCGTTCCCAAATCAACCAATGAACCAGACCAGCCTCAAGTCAAGCCCCCCTGCCAGTTCCCACTTTCACTTTGTAAGACCGCCTGTATCCACATGTGCTGTGTCTTCCATACTGAAAAGGGTGTGACAGCTTGATACTCCCTGGGCTAGGCTCCCAAAGGTTCGCTTGGAGTCGTCCCCCACCTTAGTCGACTCGAAGTATTTCGAAGCTCTTGTCACCCTCCATATCGTTTGTCTCCGCAGCGTCCATCTCTATGTTTCAAGCTGTCAGGGCCCATGTCACAGTTCTCGTCGCCTCGACTCGTCTGGTCACGTGCATCCCGCGTTTGGTCTTTGGGTACTGCGACCGCTGCGATTGCTGCGCTCGTGTGGCTTCATCGTCTTGTTGTGCCTGGTCGCCCAATTTTGGTCGCCCTCGAGTACATCGTGTTATGCTCGTGGTGGCTAGGGTCGTGTAGAGTCTAGGCGCAGCCCGAGCAGCGGGTTCAGAAGCGTGCAGACGCCTCGCCATCATGTAGCACTCGTCGCGTGCTCATGTTGTTCATTCTTGCCTCGATGTAAGCCGATCGAGGCCCTGCATCGCCTCGCCACCAAGTGCTGGGCGAGGATGGCAATGTGCTGGTTGATGTCATGGTACTGGCAGTTCAATTCAACATGCCTCGTGCTTCGTTCCGTGTCAAGATCCACTGCTGCTGTGGGGGTCTGTGGGATGATGCCCTGCTTGTCGTCGACGAGGACCCGCGCCAAGCAAGTCATGGCGCCGAAAATATCCTGACTCGTCCAGCTCCTTTCGGCCGGGCATCTACTTTTGCAGGGCGGTGCTGCCCTTGGCAGCCTTTCGGTCGCCATTCTTGGCATCGTCTCGTGTTCGCTCCTCGTATTGCTTCTCCTATCTTCTACTTCCTCCGATGTCGATGTGCCCATCTGCGCTCTAACAGGGAAACTGGTGGCAGTGTTCGGCTTCTTGTGCTCGTGGTTGGCGTGGGTGCCATGGTTGGCAAGGTTGGCGTGGTTGGATTGTGTTCGGCACGTGGTGGAAATGTTGGTGTGGACATCTATTGGCATTCTGTCGGCCCGAGTTCTTGGACCTCGCTCCTGGCTCCACAGCAGCCGTGTTTTGCAGGCCCTTCCTCCTCTGGATTTGGCCATCGCATATCGGTGTCATCCTACACGTGAATTGCACACAGCACTGACACACTATATGTTGGCGCCGGTTGCATGCCACAAACTCAAACGAGCAGACTCCCGTGAGCTCTCAACGGTCTCGTGCTATGCCAAGGCTGGTGCCCTGACGAGTGATGCGACAACTTGAACGGGCTCGTTCCTGCAACAAGACCAACATTGAACGCACATTCTGTTGCACTGCAATGGGCTCAAACACATCCATCCTCTTCGCTGTGTCGTACCGTTGCTCTGCTGCATTTCTGATCTCATTGTTGGTGCCTGGAAAGGCCATGGAGCAATGAAGTTGTCAACAAGCCTCTGCAGTTCCAGAACTGCGAGCGAGACCCAAGAGTTGTTGGATGGTCTCCACAAAGCTGGAGTCCAGCGCCTGCCCACAAGGTTGGCATGTATGTCGGAGCACTGCTTGCAAATCCCTCGCATGAAGATGCGAAACTGTGCACCTGCCGGGGTGGTGGGGAGAACCCCATTTGATTGGACATGGACCTGCCCGACTGCATGATGGATCGCAGAGCTTGCGGGGAAAGCACACTCGTCCGCAATCCCTCAAACTTGATGCATACAGGCAAGGACTGGTGGGAGACAGGTTTGTTAGCTGCGTGTGTGCAGTTGCACCGAGTGAGTGCTCGAATCCTAGAAATTCTGCTGCCTGCCATCTCCTGAAAATTGCTCAGCCCGAGCAATCTTGCTGAGAGGTGTCAAAAACATGTCGAAGCACTGAAGGGACATCTTGTCCCTGAGGCGTTTAGATCCAAGTCTAGGGAACCACTAAGAAGTGTATCCACCCCCTTACCCCCTCCCAGACCGCCGCGGTCCGCCAACCCACATTGAGGCGCTTGTTGCACGACGGGCATGCCGCCTTCCCCCCGTCACTACCCCTTCCTGCCGCCTCGGTACCCTTGCCGAGGCGGCCTGGCGTTAGCGATAAAATTACGACTCCACTGCCTTTTGTCCCTTGCTCAAATGCTGTGATCTCCATCTTCGTGCTTAGACAAGGTGTCAGGCCTCCGTGCAGGATATGTCGCAGGCACGTTGTAGCGCAGTAGAACTGCTTATTTGTGGGTTCTGGTGTACAACATTGTCGGCACAATGGCAACCACAACAAAGTAAGACATTCGTTTCTCCTGACGTGTGTAGAGTGCAGGGAATGAGTTGCACTGAGTTGAAAAACATACACAAAATCTGTATCGGCTGGCGTTTCAGGCTGCTATTCTTGGAGGCTCGTGGCTGCGGCAGCTCTCAGGCTGTCAGACCATCATTTGTTCATGTACGCAGTATAAAAAAGAGAATGGGATAGAGAGGGGGAGGGAAAAAGAGAGAGAGAGAGAGACTGCCCAGGAGCGTACTAAGTTGCACAGAGAAGAAGACGCACAAGTGCTCAGAGGTGATTTGAACATGCGAGACAAGTGCCTAAGGCATCATGCTCTGTGATCTAATTAACCTAAAGCAGCAAATCCTTCGGATTGCGGCTGAAACTCAGGACACTGCATGGGGTTGCATGCGAGTTAAACTAATCGCATCTTCCGGGAGGTCACGCTTCCCAAAAAGGTTAATGCAAGGTTCCAAATTATCTAGAGCTCTGTATCACCGCAATCAATGCGAAGAGAAAAGTGCCCCTGAATGAAGAGATCTGTCACCGGCCTCAAGATTCACAGAAAAGATGACAGCCATTGACAGCCACACATCTGACAAGTACCATCGCCCTGCTGGGGATACAGCTCTGCAATGCTCTGGAGAAGTGGTCCTCCTGTCTCGCTGCCGCGACCTAAGGAAGATGATGATGTTTCGTGTTGAAGCCACACGGATGGTCCAAACATGTCCACACCCACTCTGCCTTTTGTGCCGACGCATTGATGCCCGCAAAGTTTGAGTCCAGCATCCACCGCATCATTTGTAGGAAACCGACCTCAGCATTGATTTGCCATTTGCAGCCACTTAGGGTAGTTTTCTTTAGAAACATGGCTGGTAGGGCAGAGGCAAAGCTCAGTTCATTCTTGTCCGTCAACTGGACATGGCCTAAGCCAAAACTGCAAGAAGTACTGCCAGCAAGGAGGCTTCCTGAGAAAGCAAGATTTGGATCAGCTCCACTAAACCAGCTGAAAATAGTTGGGTCGAGCTGCTGAGTTTCTGTTCCATGGCCTGTTTGGCTGACTGGTTGATCTGCAAGTCCAGCCTGAGAGAAGCGGAGCCACTCCTGCTTTGTATCGTTCTTACGATACCCTCAACTGGTTTCGAAACACCTTTTTGCCTGAGCGATCCCGTTCGGGCGGAACCCTTCGATGTGTAGGGATGCACCAAACTAAAGCACACTGTACTGTACTCGTTCCGTCAGTATCCAGGGTCGGGGGGGGGTACCCAGGGCCACCGTGAATCCGATGATTGAAGGTGTGTTCGGTACGTGTCTTTCAAGCCCTCCAAAAGGGAAACTCGGCCCAAAGAAGGAGCTGTGAGAGGAGACGTACTCTGGGCTGTAACTACGCAAGGCGGAAAGTCATGTCAGAGGCGAAGCAGGTCTTATTTGTCACCTGGCCATGGCCATACAATGTCAAGAATGCCTGCGAGGCACGATCGCAGCAGCCTCTGAAACATCGATTGGGTGAGGCCGGGCTCCTCCTCATCAAGATCCTCACGAAAGGAGCCCATGCGGAGCCACTGGATCCATGGAGAACCTTACAAGCCGTCCTCGGTGTCCTTCTTCTTTGCAGCAGTCTCGTGCAGAGAAACGCGCCTGAAAAAGTTAAGCAGAGTTAAGCAAGGCCGAAACAAACACGTAGAATACTCACGCGGAAGACTCACGCAGAAGACTCGCGTGGAAGACTCCTAGTGAAGACGAAATAAGACTGGTTTGACATTTGACACTCCCGGCATCTCCAGGGGCTCAAGCTGGCCCAGCGTCCCTTCGTCCACGGATGGATTGAGTCCACCGTATTCTTGGCACGGGCAGGTGTCGCATGTGAGAAATACAAGCAGTAGATGCACAAAAGCATGCTAAGTCTGCTAAGCCCAGATCTGGCCCAGTTGAGGAACACGGATCTGAAATCATCGATCTGAGGATTCATGCTGATGCATCGCAAGCTGTGCGACTGTCGCGCACCGTTGCAACCTTTTCCTGAAGGCCTCCTGCTTGGAGAAGGAGATGGCTTCAAGCAATACGCGGCTCTCTTCCTCCACATATCCAATGCTCGGCGAGCACTTGGAAGCAGGCCACTCACTGCCAGGACATGTCCTCCTTTGCCTTTGCGCGACTTGTCTTCACTAGCCTGACAAGCTGTACCTGAGTCAAAACGCATGCTTTTCAGAGGCTCCGCGGGGTAGTCGCAGGAGTGAAGGGTTGCTCGGGGCACAAGTTCCCAGAACGTAATCATCGTGTTGATTTTGCCTTTGGGGCGTTTCACGCCAGCCTGGCAAAGCAGCTCTGCAGGGCTTGCAGGGGCAACCGCAGAGACCCCAAGGAGAGGACCCCAAAAAGAGTTTGCCGAGTTTGCCTCGGCGGCGAGCTGTTTGGCCTCTTCCAGTTGGTCGAGGGCTGCTTGCCGTTCGGCAATGGTCCTCGTCAGCTGGTCGCGTTGCACGGACGCTGCACCAGCAGCTCACGAACACTCCTACCTGCACGACAGGCCGAAGTCGTTCAACAGCTCCTGCACCTGCATTCTTGCAAACGGAAAAGTGCAAGAATGAACTGAGAGTGAGGTTGGCCTCCACTCTGGGCCCATGATTTGTATCATGCAACTCATTTAACTGCAGCCCTGTCTATGCGATGCTGGCAATAATTTCTAGTGGCAGGTACGGTCGCGAAAACAGCCGTCTTCAATCAAGGAGTCGCTCTGTCATCCCAGTCCGATCGGACTGAGCACCACGTGTTGTCCACACAGCGAGCGTGCACATGCCCCGGCGATGGTATGCAAACAATGGACGCAAGAGGCGACCTTGCACACGCAAGGAAGAAATTGAAGCAAGAGCTGCTAGTGTCTAAAAAGTCAGAATGCATCAGTTTGCGTGATGAGTATTTAGCGATCAGCGGGCCATGAGACGCAGTATCGTATAGCACTGTAAGAACCACACCATCAAGATCTATTAAGACCTGCCCGGACCTAGCTTGTCCATCCTGGTGGGGTGCTTCTTGGGGCGTTCTGTCCGTCTTGTCGTAAACTCAATGTGCCAAACCTGAAATGGCGATTCCATCCAAGAGACTTTGAGCAAACAAGACCTCACATCCAAGAGCCACAAAGACAGACTGCTTGAAACGTCGACCGGCTTCCGCAGGTCAGCATCAGAAATCTGGGAGTTTGGGGAACGCCTCATCCCAGGGCCGGAATGGGTACCCCACTGGTGCCCCGTCTCGCGGGTTGGGGCCGATCGTCACCAAATCGATGTTTTCGATTTTCCTACCCCCTTCCCCAACACCCAACCACACCCACCACCCCACCTTTCTGACTCCGCCCAACTCTACTTCTGCCACGGCAGCCCCGGCGAAGGCGAGTCGCTTAGCATTAACATTAGCGCGCGACGAACTGAGAAAGCACTGCGCTCGCACAATGCTCTAGTCGAGCATCACTGTAAAATTGGCACGAGATGCCTCGACGGAATCAATGTCGCCACTCTCATCCTTGTCATAGTGCTTGAACATCTCCTGCGGGGGCACTCCCTCATCCGGCACATGCCTGGCACACCCTGACCTCAAGCTGAGTGATCTCAGCGGGGGAGAAGCCGGCCTCAGAACTTGCAGAGGACAGGGCTATGCATGCACGCCTTGTGGCCCTGCTTTCTGCTGCAGAGACTGCGCCTCTTCAGGCTCACAAGGGCCTCACCATGCGCCGCTGCGAGACGACCCTTGCCATCCGGGCTTTGTCAGCCAAGGTCACAAAGTCCTCGCTGAAACTGCTACTGAGCTGCTACTCGGGAATGTGTGCCGCAGAGCTGCTACTGTATAGCACTGTGCTTTGTGCCGAACTGATTTGCCAGATGCGACTCCTCGAAATCTAGATCTTCGGACCTTGTGGGCAATGCAGACTCTGATCTACGCCCAGCCCAGTCAGGGACATGCCTTGTATTGCACCAAGAAACCCAGAGAAACTCCCCCTATCCAAGAAGCGCACGGGAGATCTGAATGTGGAAGGACGGTGTTCAGAGGCACATCTTTTCCCAGGTAGTCCTTGCGTTTGACATCTTTTCTGACAGGCATGAGGCATAAATGCAGGCAGTATGATCAGAGCACAGTCGACTTCCTGGAGCGCTGTGGGCACCATCGGCACGCTCAAGAGTTCCTTTCTCGAAAGCTGCAGCGTTTCTCTCAAAGTCCTTTTTTCGCAGAAGTCGCGCTTCAGAAGAAAATCCAACTACAAGATGATGGGGGAACTTGCCTGAGCAACCCCTCGATGAACAAAAATGTCATGGAGCCTGGCACTGGATGACATCCAGCACATCCAGCGGGCAGAGGCGGTGGCATCAGGGGTCTGTGGACACAAGTCGCCTCTTCAGCTCGGTTTCTCGATGTAGGCGCATCAGGCGGAGGAACCTCGGCATTGCCACACCAGTCATGGACAAGACAGCTAGAGAGGAAGACAGACACCTGGTACAGTGAAGGAGGGCGAGGGAGAGGGAGAGGGAGAGGGCGAGGGCAAGAGCGAGAGCGAGAGCGAGGAGAACCTTGCTACCAAGGGATGTAGCGGTTTCTTTGCCAGGCTTTAAGAACTGCAGCGCGCCGAAGCGTGCATTGAAAGTCTCCTACCAACGAAGATGAAGGGACTGCGATTTTTGGAACCTGAAGACCACTTGACAGCGTGTGGACGCACATCTCGACCTACGCAAGGACTAGGCTTGCAAAGAGCCCGAGCTGGTAGGTGTCGACGAGGCCGCGGCTCGTTGCAATCCAAAGTTCCATTTCGATTGACATCTACCTGCGATCAGATCACTGGAACCATTGGAACCATTCACCTGCACTCCGAACCTGGGCGAGCAACATGTAAAGATGGTCGGTTCCTCTGCACAGCTGTGCAGGATGCTGATACAGAAACAAAACTGTGCAGACGGCGCCGTCCTACACTGAAACCAAGAAATCGCAGCATGTCGCCGAGCTCATGCACATTGATGTTGTCAGACCTTGGGGCTTGGAAGGTTTGCTCACGCTCCAAAGGCCTGCTGAGACTGCTGAAATGTAAAGGGCCCCACATATGCTCAAATGACCAGCGCAAGCTTAGAACTTGTGTGGCATGTCTCAGGGGACGACTCGTCACGATCGAACTTTCGAAAAACTTCCGAAAATTCTTGTAGCTCCTGGTAAGGTAGCAATGGGACCCATCGAGTGTGTTGACAGATGTTGGGAGATGTTGAGAGCTGGTGACACGTGGCGACATGTCTGACTGCCAAGCCTTCTGGCTAAATCCATCGCGCTGCTTGAAGAGCAGCATGAAATGGAAGAACTCCTGACTAGAAAGGCGGTTCTCGTTGGCCGCTACGCAGCTTTGCCACTGTCTGCGTAACCCTCCTCAAAGTCGAGCTCCGCATCGTGCTCAAAGTCGACCTGCACATCTTCACAGCCAAGGCCTTGTCGCTTGAAGTCGCTTGCTGACCCCAAACTGGGGACCTCTTCCAAGACCTCGCCCATCACTTGCCGCATAGGCCGGTAGCCCAATGCTTGCCTATGGACACCAGACAATGAGACCTGCTCTCCTTCTCACATAGGCATGTCCTGTCACAACTTTTTCAACCTTGCCCGACACAAATGCAATGGCATGACAAAGAAATGCTAGGAGATTGGCAAGACATCTCGGAGTTCAGTTGCGCTGATGTTGCCGCTGCCATCCTGGGCAAGTGGAATGGCCAACGAGAAGCGAACACCAATACTTGAACTGGCCTGGTCGAACCTTTTGAAATGTCTTTTGTACTCAGCCTGGCCATGGCCAGCATTGCACGTGTCGCTTTGCGGCCCAGCAAGCTGCGCCTGCTCCGCAATTCGCAATCCTCTTGCGAAGATCAGAAACTCGTGGAATGTTAGACCTCAGATATGCAAAGGTGCTCAGCGGCAGTCGCCGAGGACTTGCTCCGAACTGCGTCCATCCACACCTACCAGACATGGTCTTCAAGAAAGACCCCCTCTGTGCCGCGAACGCTGGGGAGTGAGGGATTGAGACGAAAGCGCCTATATAAGGTTGTTTAGGTGTTTTTTGCAGTACGCGAGCAGCTCACTTGCAAACAGGAGCACTTGATTTGCCAAGAACAGCAGTTTGTTGGCTTCATGCTGGTTCGTGCCTACACAGATGCAGATGCGAAGAGTGATGTTGCCTAGCCCTAAGAGCAAGAGCGTGTTGTATCTACATTCGCACAGAAGACGATTCCGCAAAACTTGAGACTGCTACGATTGGTGACCGCGATGAGCACAGACTGGTCAAGGAAGCCAAGCAAGTTCAACGACACAAAACCTCTCTGCTTGGCCCAGTGCCCTCGTTTGCTCCAAACTGCCTGCGCATTGCAGCAAATCGCAACCAGCATCAGGCACCCCTCAAAGCCACGCCTCTTTTGTCCGTTTGCATTGTTGCAGAGCTTGTAGGCGATGCCTGGTTCCAAAGGCACAACTTCAACATGAGCTGCTTGTGCACTCTTCACGTTCATGCCATCAAGTGCAAACAAACATTGCTGCCGTCTGCATTCTGCTCATCCTAGCACTCCGCCACTGGCGTGAATCTGAGAATCGTGCGTACAGCATGTGCTTCTGAGTGGAGACCGAAGACAGCAACCTCCGTGCAGAGCGGGGCACCCAGTGGACTCTGCAGACTCTGCAGAATGCAACCCATCAGCACAGACGACTCTGTTCCGAGCCAATGCATCCTTGAGGTCATCAATCTGCAGAAGCTGCCTCTGTTTGTAGAGCCGCCGTCTAAACGTCTAAAGGGTCTCAAGGGTCTAAAAAAGGGTTTAGAGGGTCTAAAGAGTCTAAAGGTTTCAAATCGCACCACCGCACGCGGCTCAGGGCTCCAGCCCGCGCTTCAGCTTGACCGATTCGGCGACAAACCCGGTATAGATGTTCCACATCTTTATCACCTGTTGATGGTTTTAGTCCTTCAGACCCCATGATGATGCACGCTGTAGATCATTGGCCTCGTCTTTGGTGAAGCCTTCGGTATGCTGATAGACCTGCTTCTCTGCATGATTGCAGGAAACACCGAAAGCTGGTCGAGTTTTTCGGTGAGTCTTTGCAAGGACTGATACAGTACCGTGCGCGAGGTATGTGAAGAAACGGAAGCTCCGCGCAGGGAGTTGCAGGGACCGATTCTCAAAGTCTTTCTAGAGCCCTGTGCCTTCTCCTCAGAACCTAGCACTCCTAGATCAATGCTGAACAAGTCTGCCTACTCCCTCGGCAATGACAAACACCGGACCACAGGAGGAAACAATGATGCATGATGCGTTTAAGCCACGGGCGGTTAAAAAATAGATGAATTCTTCGAAGTTCCTCGGCGCAGCTGTTGGCAAAGCATGCTGCCGCTAGTACACATCCACTGGCAGCAAGGGTAACACTTTGCATCACAACATTTCGGGAAGGACAAGTGCGATCAGAGCACAACTGACCGTTGCCATCAGCATCCACCACCGCCAACGCCTCATGACGACATACCAGCCCTTCCCGACTCTACAGTGGGAGCTTCTGCTCAAGAAGTGGCGCTCTCTGCTCTGCAGCTACCAGCCATGCCAATGTCTTCGTTTAGGATGTGGGGGGCTGGATACTGGATGGACCACGTACTATGCTCCCGCTTGTATAAGACTTCAACAGGCCAACATGATCACCAGTAGTTCAGTCGGCAGTGTCCTCTTCAATCATCTGTCGAACAACGACGATGCCAATGCTCAGAAGCAACCTGTGGCCGAGAGCAGATCCACACACAAGTTCATACGTTGTAGGAACTTCGACGAACATACAGCACCCGGGTGGCAGACTTCCGCAGCTCCGATATTTCAATCTCCCCGCTTCCTGCCACAAGCTCCACATACATGGCTCACTGTCATATAAGCCCTGCACTACATTCCTCCGCTGAGGGTTAGACCATCTTCATCAAACGTGTCGAAAACGACTTGGTACAACTCAAACTGTGCCCTGCTGTACCTGGTCAGCTTAGAGTCTCAGTGTCTGCATGCCCGTAGACTCGCAATGCTGCTGCTTCATGGTCTGCATGCAAGGCGAAGGCGGGTGTGTGGGCAAGCCGTGAAGCCGCTAACCAGACCCAGACCCCAATGTTCAGTTAGGTGCAACAAAAGCTTGTGAACTGATGGCTACTTGATCATTGAACGAGGCAAAGAGGAAAGCACTTCTCGACAAACTCCAGGAATTCATTGAAGTCCATTTCATGAAAGGACCTTGTCTTGGGCGAAATTGCAGGAGGCTTTGCTACTAGAGACGACATGCATTGAGCTCGCCCCGAGGCTGAATTTCAGGGCCGGGCGTCACTTGCCTAGCAACTTGGTGAAGCTCCTCTTCGGAAGTCACCTAATCTCGCACGTTGTATATCAGCATGCGAGCACGGACTCCACATCCAACAATTCGATTCGTGATTGGCCTCTGGCCGGCACTTGTCTGGAACAAGCACACCATGCAGGAGGTCTTTTCCCCCTTTCTCAACCCTCAACACCAAGTCCACCGCCAACCCCCCATGCCAAATGCGCTTGGGACCCGCAACCCGATGCCGCGGAGAGGCAGCCTATGTCTTAGAGGGCATAAAAACATGAAGAAATGTTGTGCGTGCGAACTTGAGGGGTCCCCCTTGGGAACGTAGTCCCCTGGCCAAAGACTTGGCAAGAAACCACCAAGCACGTGAGCACAAACAACAAGCGCACCGGAGGTTCCTGCACGGCCTGCTGACACACCACGCTCTTGCGCTGCAAGTTCAAGGCTTCGGGTTTTTCGGGTTAAAGGTTTCCGGCGCTTGTTTCCTCGACGTGCGGTCGCTTCCGCTTCTGCAACCCGACCGCGCAGACTGGAAACTCGGCGGTGCACGGCTTGGACAGCCGACGTGCCGGTCCGGCTGCCGAGGCGGCACACGCAAGCATTTACAACTAGGATGAAGGGAAAGCAGCCATGTGCCAAATCCGTGTCACTTTTTTTGCCTTTCCAGCTGGGACCATGCAGAGTCATTTAGAGTCATCTGAATGCCTAGACCCCCCAGAATGTCCACAGATCCTGGAAAGCATTGATTCCTGATGACTTCCTCCCGAACACTTGCCGCGAGTTGTACAAACTTCGAAGACACCCCCTGCAGATTTTGCAATGATCAGGCCCGTGAGCATCGCACGTGCGCGCACCCAATGTACATGACAACTCCAGGTCACAGTCTCAAAGCCTCAAAGCGTGTGCTCCAACACGGCTCACCGAGTCGGCACGGCAACGATGACTTGCTGATCTTCTCCATCCAGATGTGTTTCGGAAATTGTTTCCGCACATAGCGGCTACAGCACGAACCAACGTCTATTCGTATCTGTAGCTCACTTTCTCAAAGTCTATAACCCAGCGTTGCTCCCGAGTCGGATCATAAGGTGGAGAATGCATGCGCAGCCCTACGGCATGTGCAAACGATGACAGCGGCGGCTTCTGGCCAGGGCAAAGGAGGTCCTCACGCACCAGGAACGCATCCAACAACGGCTCGACCCAAATCAAGACATAACCACGCATCTCCGCAGCTTTGGCAATCGCATGCAAGCTGGCGCCACAAATGTTCTCATATGTGCCGGGACCAAGCAAGGAGTGTTGGCATGCAAACTTGTCAATCGGGCCTTCTCTCCCTTGAGCATTCACGCAGTCAGTCGTACGGAGCTTGCCTAGTGGCATGTTGGCGTTGTACTCCACACTAACAACTCGGGGACGAAATTTCCTTGTCAGTCCCAGGAATATCCAGAGGTCGCAACCGTCAATGTCGATGCTAACATAATCCGGCTCCAGGGGCGCCCCGTATCTTTCAAGCAACGACACGACGTTCTCCATCGTCACCTCGTGTTTGTGAAGAGGCATTGAAATGTTGTGGAACATGTTGTCGAAAAGTAGTCCGTTCCATCCTGACTGATGCAAAAGCCTCGTATTCGGGCCGCTTCCCTGGTCATCTTCCCATGAACCTTGATTGAAGCCAATCTCCACGAAAAATCGGTTCGTTGATCCAAGCTCTGAGATGAGAAAAGCCAGGATGGAATCTTGCCAACCCTGCGAAAAGCGATGCCAGCACCGAATCGCCGGCCAAACTGGAAGCAAACTCCTCGCCTGCAAGCACGTTCTGTCTGGCACGGGCTGCACCACCCTTTCATTGCTACAGCAAATCTTCGCCTGCCAAGACTGGTCATGTAGGGCAAAGCTGGCTCCCATACATCCAAGCCGGCAACACGTCATGGCAGTAATGGCCTGCGCTGGCCAACAAAAACCCACGTCGCCTCGAAACTTAAATCCCCGAACTGCCCTTCTCTGCTCCTGGCTTACATGGCATCCAGGGGTACTGAACGTTTCAGTCTCGCACCCGTCACCCCATTGTGTTCCGTCGTGTGGAGTGCTTACCTCATGTGCCGGGAGCGACTTCGTCAAGGCGCCCCACAAGGCATTTTGAAACCAACGGGTGTGCAAGGCTTCTTCTTGCCGACTGCGAGAACGATTGAAGACAGCAACCCATTCTGGAAAGACAACCGGCAGCTGATGTATCATAAAATCTCCAAGCGCAAAAGCCGCTGGACGAGTCCAGTTCTCAAGCCAGTCTTCCAAGCTGATGGCCCAGGTTGTGCTTTCACCACAAGCGCTGACAATGGCACTGAGCAGGCAAAGTGACAGCTCGGTCGGCGTCATCTGGACAAAGCAAAACAGCACGGAACAAGATATTCCCTTCAGGATTTAGAAATGCGTGCTTGGACTGCTGTGGAAATCTTGCTGCCAAAAAACAAGCTGCTTCGGAAGTACAGGCTGCCTATTGGGAGGAAAACAACTGAATATACTGCACGCTTCGCTGCCAGCACCTTAAGCAGGGTGGACTGGGGACACAGGCTTCAGCTTGCAAAAGCAATGAGGACAGTCCTAAGTCGAAATGCAAGCAAGTGTTTGGGCTTAGGGATGTAAGGGTTACAGTGAAAGTTGCAAGCTAGGTGAGTGGAGCATCTCAGGATTGCAGGGCTACACCGAGCGGAAAAGGTTTTAATTGCCTCCATCGGCCAGACTGCATGTTTTTTTCTCGCAAGGTTCTCCTTGAGCAAGCTCGTGGGTGCTTCTGAATCTGAGGAATGTGTTTAAAGTTAGTTGAGTACCGGACGACGTACCCCAAGAACTCCATGGCATGCGGCAGGTCATCCTGGCGTTGGAAGGGACACGAACGTGCCTCAACCGGCCTGTTACCGTGCACTCCCGGTCCTGCAAAATCTCATTGCCGGTAGAGTTGCGAAAGCGATTGAAAACCATCCTCATTCGCTGTACAGTTGCCTCGGTGGCACGGTAGCATTGTCACAAAGCAGATGGCAAGTTGCATCGACGATTCTAGATGATGGGACGGCCTCATCCATCATGTCTGCCTTGCCGAAATAGGTGTTCTGAATCTGGTCCAGACCTGCTCGATAAGCTAACTTCGCTGAAGGTCAAACAGTCGAATGTTGCATTAGCACCGGGCGGTCTTGCAAATTTGGCAGGCCATAAGAGGCATCATCACGTCCCTGGCAGGACTCTAGTCAGATATAGGTAGATCATCAGCACAACCGCATGAGACGCACGAATCAGATTCTGCACATGTCAACTAGCCGGTGGCATCAGCCGGCTGCATATGATGCCTGAGGCTTCCTGAGGCTTTCGCAAGTGTCTTCCACTTGTTGGACCACGTCTTTGTGAGCTTCTTCCCTGACATCTCTGGACGCACTGCCATGTGTCTAAGAATGCATGGAGACCCATGACATCCCTCTCGAGCAGGTGCAGCAGATGAACTCTCTAGTGACTCTAGTGCATTTTGCAACCATCCGCCTGGCTTTGAGACAGGCCTCGACTTCGGGGAGGCTGCAGAGGATCCTGCCCAAAATGGCCCAACATGACCCAACTGCACGTCATCTTACCAATCCGGCACCTGCAGTGTCTTCAGCCATGGGCCTGCCAGGAGGTGCTTCAAAAATTCAGAATGGTTCAGAGGGATTCAAAGGATCTTTGCCTCGACCGTGGCTCCAGCCCAGAGTTGGTAGGCTCCTCGGCATGGAGTCTTAGTTAAATCCTCGCATCACGGCAGACCCACGCACACCACAGCACACCACGGCACTCGGACAAAGCGCTTCACCCACATCGCTCTTTCAGCCTGCAGGTATGCCCAGGAACGCAAGGAGCCAACAAAGATCTTTTCGATGTGAAGAAAGCAAAAAGAGGCCTGCTGCATTTCTTCTAGCTGCTTTTTGCGTGACTCTGCAGCGCTCTTGGTCTCCTCATCTGCCTGCAAATTGCCAAAGAAAGCGCACAAAGCCCGGCATAAATTTGCAATGGAAAGAAGATGTTTTGTAAATGAAGAAAGGTCTCTGCCTCAGGAACACTTGCCAGGGTACTGCGGCACCAAGCTTCCAGTTGAGCTTGCGCTTCTTCGGCAATCTCCTAAGGTAGATCTGGAGTTCACACCGACTGAGGTTCCCGTTCCGCATGTCCCACTTGTCCCTGGCCTTCTTCTTCTTCTTGCCCTTTTGCTTTGACTGGGCCTGCTTCTTGCGCCGTCCCTGCACTGACACCCAGATTAAGCTTGAAGTTGGAAGGAATGACGACAGCAGACAGCAGTGGCGTGCCGGCGTCTTCTGGCCTCGTGCATCCAACCATCACAAAACAGGTGCTATAGAGTGACTTCAGGCATGCCGCGTTATGCTGCTGTTCCCTGGGTAGAAAACCTGTCGGTGTGCTAGATTTCGACTAGACAACAAAACATGCTCACAAATGTTCATGATTATTCTGACCCCCCGGGCTGTGTGCGAAGAGGGAAGAGCCGAGCTGCACAGTCTTCTGCACTAGAATCATTAGAAAAGGCACTCATTATACTCATTTGTCAGATCGCCACTGAGGACTGAGGATGCAGCTGGAGTTCTTGCCTTCGTTGGACTCATCCCATCTGACAGCGGCAAGTGAAAGGCAGCGTAGCTGAATCCAAAGAACTCCCGCTTTCTGACTCGCGTCAATGCTGTTTATCTCCCACTGCACAGTGCTGCGCATCAGAACCTGTTCCGGGGAGGCCAAAAGGTCAGCGACTCAACGACTCAGTGTCAGCCCATCCATCAGCCCATCCATCAGCCCATCAGCCGTGCAGATGGTGCTGGAACGGACGGGGCATCGCCACGAAGCTGTCGGGCAATGGCGACAAAGAGGCAGAGCAAGGCTTTCACCTCACTTTGACAGCTTCAGTGTAGAACGGACGCAGACGTTTCCAAGCAATGAAGAGTACGAAGAGCACAAAACGGCCAATACTCTACATGACTCTACAGTAGTCTGAAGGGAACTCTGTGATCGGACACCGAGCCTGAACCTCGTGGACCATGTCTTCGAAGGTCGGTATGTGAACAAAGAGGACAGGAATCCCATATGGCGCCGCTGTATGTAAGGACTGAAAGAAGATGTAGTTGCAAATATACCGGCCTGCATCCGTCGAAATCTCACAGTTCACACCTTTGTCATGCATTTCTGCAAGGATCTCTGTTAGCCGCAGGGAGCAGTAGAGGACAGGAGGCGAGTCTGGAATGACAGGTTCCCCACAACATTGGAAGCCGAAAACGTCAGGAATGCGAAAATTCGCCTCGTTAACACCACGGCACTCGAGGCAGATGTGACTCCGATCACCAGCCACTCCGAGATGTACGACAGCGGTGGCTGCTTTCGGGGTCTCTTCCCTCTTTGCACGAAGATACCTGTGAATTTCAGGTACTTCTGTCTGGCAAGCCTGCGCCGCCACGTCGAGAGCTCTCAGGCCTTCCAGTGATATGCCAGCTGCTTCGAATTCCTGCAGGACTTCGATTGGGACATCTTCCGGGGGACAACCTTCATGTACATACTTGCGCAAAGTGTCGCAAAGCACGGAGGAAGGGTTGTCGTCCACTCCCATAAAGGGTCCAAAGCCAGTAACGTAGATGGAGACATTCGCACTGGGATCCATAGGATGCAATGAACGCAATGCGGATGCGGCAACGATAGTCGTAACAACAAGTCTTTGGCACTGCTCGAAACACTGCTTTACTGCTTTACAACAAGGACAACAAGGTCTCTTACAGCTCAGGCTTGAGGCTGCTGACGGGTGAGGCTCCTTGTATCACATGAGCTGCCACATGTCAAAGTTTTGCTGAGGCAACTGGCGGGGCCTCTGCTCTGAAAGCTGCAGGCCTCCAGGGTCAGCAGACATAAAGGCGAAGGTGTACAGTAGAATCGTCAGTATCAGAACATTGGTGCATCAGTTGCCGCTTGGTACCGAGCAGATCTCCTGCGCTGCTCGGGTGATTTGCAGGAGGGCAGACACTTCCTGCACTTCACATATCTTCTTCACTGCCTCCACGACCCTCCTCTACCAACAGCAAGCCCACCTTGAAGGAATCTTTCCGCTTCTCCTGCACAAACTTTTGCATCATCTGGTTCATCTGGCATGTGCTCGCTGTATGCTCATCCAGCTGCTCCTGCTGACGCACCCTGCCAAAACCACCTCACGCAAATTCGCGCAATCAGAGTGCCGAGACTCATGCAGGTATGAAGATAGCACGGCGCCTTCAGCCCAGTGACGAGATGTACTAGGGCTGCTGGTTCCCAGGTCCTGCAGTGCATGTCATGTTGAGGCTGCCAGTCTCAGGTCCGTCGAGCGACGCTTCAAAAACTCGTCCTTGGCGTTGTCCAGGCCAGTGAGTGCAAGCCTTGGACACGCCATCAACTCCAAAAGACAAAAACGATTCCAAACGACTCCAAGACATTCTAAGCCCCCGTCTTCTCTAAAATCTGATTGCGTGCCTCAGGGTTGGTGGTGTTGACACATTGGCATTGCATGGACATTGCGGTGACACGGCGGAAACATTGCATGGTGCTCGCAGCTCGACAAAGCCGGTCTATTCAGCCAGGGCAGCGGCAGTTCGTCGCCTCGGCAACAGTCCTTCCGACTGAGATTTGCTCATCCCAAACCTGCAAGGAAAGCGACAGAAGCAACTGCATCTGCCCAACATGAAAGCACAAGTCGTCACAAGTGCCTTTGCAGTGCCCTTGAAGGAAAGGCAATTGACATGGACTGGCCTGAAAATCGCAAGTGCATTCTATCACGCTCTCGATCCTGGGATGCTGCACAAAAGCATTGCTGTATGCTGATGCTGAGAGCAGTGCTGGCAGTGGCTGCGGCCAGAACAAGAGCATCTGTATCAGACAGATGGCTATCCGGCCTGAGACTCGTACTTATCATCAATATTCATCAATACAGCTCAACTCAGCCACAGCATGCCACAGCTAGTGTGGCTCAACACAGCTGTCAAGCCAGGAAATGTTCTCGGGAGTTCTCGGGAGCCGACAGGAGAGGTAGTTTCAACACACTCGATGTCATCGCCATGCCTGCGTTACAAAACTTTCCGGCACGTCAAGGACCGTTCCAACACGGAACTCTGCCTGGCACTGACCTGTGGACATCTGAGCTGTTGTTCCTGAGTTGCCAGCTTCTTGACTGTAGACTAGATGGGAGCACCCCGCATTTCGGAAGGGTGCCCCTCGATAACATCGTAAACAGCAACGCTTCAGCACCCTTTGTGAGCCTAGTTGTTTGTGCATTGTTCCCGTTCTCTGTTGCGCAAGCGCGTGCACCTCAGGTCCGTGGCAAATATGAGTGCTTCAGCACCCCTGCCCACACTAGTACAACTTTGTATGTTTTTTGCTTCAAGCTTGGTTTCGAATCCCGCGGTTAACTCGAAGTCACTTTGCGTGTGAGGAGCAGCATCCTGACGGTATCCGTGTCTGATTTGTTCAGCCACCATAGTGGCTCTTGTATGAGCAGGCACACCTTTCTTGGTAGTACCCACTTGATTGGGCTTCTGCTGGCTGGCTGAAGTACTTTCGGCCATCATGGTGCTGCACACCACCGACATGCCTGTTCCGTTGGCTCTTGCTGGCTTTGCACGCTTCAGCTTAGATGATATAGAGACGCACTTTCAGCAAAGTTCACTGTCTGTGTTGAAGCTGCTAAAACAGCTGCCGGCGACAACACTACAAAAAGGCGCGATATCTAGTGAGACAGCACATCACAACTTCAAGAAATGCTGCGCCTGCCACATCGAAGGCGGGCAATACAAGTAGATCCGCAAGGACTGCACAAGGTAAACACAGAAAGAACTAACTAACTAATCTGCCGAGGCCGGAGAACCCTGAAATTGTTACCCCCCCCAGCGCTTCCCAACCCCCCCCCCACCCTTCTCCCCCCCCCTACCCCCACCCCCCACCCCTTTACCTTGTCTCCTTACCTCTCCTAACCCACCCCACTCCCTCTGTCATCATGATTCTCCCGTGGCACCCCCTACCCCCTCCCACCACCTACCCCCCCTTACCCGACGCTGCCAGCGGTAAAAACCAGCTTGTTCTGACACTTGAGCCAAACCGAAGCTTACGCTCAGTCGGCAACATGACGTGCCTCAAGGCGTCGTTGTTATCTTGCGAAATTTACAAAGAGCAGTGGTGCCAAAGCATCCAAGGCGCTGTTGTGGCTTTACAAGGCTGGGAAGTAGCGGCGCCTTTGCTTAAGAGCCAACACGAGCTGCAGTCCCGCCCGCTGTCACTGTACAAACGAAGTTTCCGGCCTTCGAACCTGTGTCCCTCTGAAGGCCATGGTGAGGACCATCTGCACAAAAGCTAACTGTAGAAGTCTCAATTGGCACTGCTTCATCTTCCCAACCATTACGACGCATCTGAGGCGAATATCTCAGCTGACCGATTCAGAGCGGGAATGAAGTGTCCACCGGCCTGTCTTGACATCCGCGCTTCTCACCTCTGGCATTGCAGAAACGGCGTGCACGCTCCTCATGCGCTCTGGTAGTAACAGCCTTGTAGGCAAAAAGCAGCTTTCTTCGCCTGAAGGAACAGCTCAGTGCGTCGCACTGCCCTATGCACTCAACCCAAAGCTGAGAATCCAGCTGGTCCATCACTGACTGATAGAGCAATGGTCACATTTTAATCCGCCTGTGGCCCAAGGCCTGCCAAGCCTGTGTTGCATCTTGCCCACGGCACTTTGTGCTTAGAGTCGAATCTTAGAGCCGCTTCCAACAAACTGGGCCATGCGTCTGGCGTAGATTCGTTGATTCTAGCCGAGCATGTCGTACTCTGCCTCTTGCTTCAAATCCACACTACTCCTGAGCCTTGCACGGGGGTCATGATGATCCTAGACCGGGTACCAGTGTCTGGCAGCGTGAATGAATACTGGGCACAGCCAGTGAGCAGAAGCAGAATCAACACTCTTTTGTTCCAACTGTCACATGACGCATGCTTTTGATTCGACGCCGTCGTCATTCCCATCCTCTGCCCTGGACTGGCAACCCAGTGCCTTGCCATAAACTTGCGCAGCCCTTTCACATCTGTAGTTGATGTGATGCCGCAATCACGAAGCCCCTCGCTCCTGACCAGCAAACTTCTGGAAATCTTTCGATTTCGGTACAAGAAAAATGCCAGCTGCGACGTCTCACATTAGCTGCATTCGGGCAACTGAAACCGCGGAGGAGCGTTGTTCAATGATTTTAAGGTCGTGATGCTGCAACATCGAGAAGACAATGTGGATGAGCAGTGACGGCTCGACTCGCCGAATCACATCTGAAGACCGAGCCCCACACATTTGTGTAGCAAATGCTGCCCATTCGGAAAACCTCACGCCTGCAAGTCCCAACCACGGTTGGGCTCAACTTTTTGCTGGCATGCGACATCATGTGACCAAAAGAACGCTTCAACTGCCTCCGGTCGTCTGTGCCTCAGCTTTTGACATGCATAGCCGCTCCAAAATCCAAGCCAACAGAGGCAGCTGCCTTGTTGCGCAACACATCAGCAGCCTTCCAAGTGCATGGAGTTGTGGAATCTCGTGCAAAGGCTCGCCCAGGTCACCTCGCCTGGCTCAACTCCACCAATCGTCTCGGAGGTCTAGGACTGCGGGATGTGCTCATGCGAGCGACTTGTCGACTCACGGACATCCAATCCTGCCACGCGTCTCATCACTCACACTCACACACACACATAGAGGCCCCTCTCTTTCTTTCATGAGGCTAGAAGACCGAAGCATCCAGACAAGTCCTATCCCCGCCTGGCTTTCCATGTGACACGACACGTCGCAGCACGGAGGGCTGCCGACTTCAACCACCCCTGAAGCCCCCTAGCCCTATACCACGCACTTGCAGATCTCAGCGTATTTTGGGAGGGGTACGCCAAGTCTGAACTCACAATCTCCTCTTCTAGACCTTCGTGACCATCTAAAAAGGTGCTCGTTGGTTTTGCTGTCTGCGGGCCTTCCGGGTCCCCAACCCTTCTGCTGTGCAGCGTTTTTTGTGCTGGCTGCAGCTCTTCAAACTTTGTCTCCCCACGCGTCCTTCTTCTGAACTTCTTCCTTTCTGTATCTGCTGTGGGCCGTCGCCCTCCCAGTTGGTCGATATTGCACTCCACTTGCCTGACCGGAGCCAACGTATCATCTTCTCGAGCTTTTTGAGCGCTGTTGTGGGGTAGCGAGGTGGCCCTGTGCAATTGTACTGGTTTGTTGCCCCCTGTTGTTTCACTCTGTCGAACGGTTGGCCGTTGTCTGTTGGCAGCCACCCGCAGGGCTCACACAGCCCAGATGATCATCGGAGTACTGTACTTGCACTCAAGGAACCACGGCATCAGCTTTACGTCAACGAGTTGGATCGTCGGAACGCCTGATCGACAAATAGCTGCATTCAACTCGGCCTCCGTCTTCAGCTAAAGACCTGAAAATGAGTTGCCGAAAATTGTTTGTCCCTTGAAAAGCTTGTCATTTGACTAACTTCCTTACCTTAGCCCAACATTATTGTTACATTGAAAGTAGACGATCTTCTGTGACAAACACACACACACACTGTGTGAGAATCATCGACACCCGTCTTCAAAAGGTAACGGCGCAGCTCACCTTCAGGGGTTCAGGGCGGGCATCATCGACCCGTCGTTTCTCTTTTGAGCTGTCGGGGGAGGAGCATCACCAAAGTTACCTTTGTTCTTGCTGGCTGAAGGGCGACAAAACCGGCTTATCATCGTGCACAGGGCAGCTGCAGACATGCATCGATGTGCGAGATCCTGAGCTCCCGTGTCAGGCGGCTTCTCTCTGGACGGCTGCGTCTCTCTCATCTCGCCTGTATCATCTGGTTTGTTTGCCTGGGCTGCTGCATCTTGAACCACCGGGTTTCTTTGCAAGAGGCTGCCGCCTCTAGTTTGTTTTCTCATTAGGAGAGGCTGGGGGGGGTGAATCGTCGGTGACCTCGAAAGAGTCACCGACACTGGAAGGCATGACGATCTCGGCTTCGTCCGTTGTTTCAACGACCGCAAATTCCTGTCGATGTTTTGTGTCTGCAGCTGCCGTCACGCAAAGCGTTTGCGTTCCTCTGGGTTCCTGCCTCTAGGTCAGCACCTCCGTCAGATCTACTTCAGATGTGCCAACAGCAGTGTCCCTTATTCAGCCAAACATCGTGTAGCAAGGCTTGTGCAAAGAGCATACTGTGACACGCTTCACGTGTTGCACCGATGCGGCATGAAGGCCTCCACGGGCATTGCAAACTCAGTTACGCGGACCACCTGCTCAAATAAGGCACAAGGCTCCTTGAACCGTGCTTTGACAACTTTATACAACTTTACAACGTTCTTCTTGCGTGGCCTGCGTGTCGTACTTTGCCGATTTGCAAGTTTGCCACAAGAACAGCGGAGCACCCGGCTTCAGAACATTGTCAGCCTAAGAGACATCAAGACAAGAGCCCTGCAACTTGACCCAGTGGCATGGAATCACATAAGGCAGTGACAACGACGATTGCCTGGAGTCAAGAAACGTGTGTCACCGACATAAAGAGAAATTTCATCAAGCCGAGGCACCCCAGGCCGAAGCAACGCAAGGCGCTCCAGAGTGGCAAGGTCTTCCTTCTTCTTCTCGCTCTCTCTTTTTCCCTCCCTCTCAGTATCTCTCTCATCTCTCCCTCTCAGGTCTAGCTTTGGCAAGGCTTCGGATTCTGATGAGTCAATAAGAGTCGACATCAGCAAATGCTCAATTGCCGAGTTGTTTTACTGCGAACGTCCGCACCATAAAGATTTGGATGTTTTGGGGGTTGGGCACTCCAGGGACACTCTGGGGATACTCTCTGGGGATACTCTGGGGTGCGATGCGTGTCATGGGCGAGGAGCAGACGAGGCAAGGAGAAGTATTTCGCTCAAAGTCCAACAACCGCACATCAAGGGTGGGGCAAAAGCCGGCGCAACATGACTGCAAGATGTTTTAGACGCAAGGAGCAAAGAGCCATGTTGGCGTGCACTGTGGGTGTGCAAGTCTCACTGAGTCAGTCCTCGTAGCGAGAGCCTCGCTGGTCCATGAAGACCAGGCCGAAGCCGCCCGGGCTGTCCTTGGCTTTGCGATGCGCGATGCCACATTTGCGTCTCGTGACCATGCATCCTTGTACTTGTAACTTATAAGGCCAGCGCGTCGCCGAACCATTCGTACCCTTGCAAGTCAGTAGCATCTTCGTTAGACTAGCGCTGAACGCAGGCTGGGTGCAGAGCTTTGTAGGCATGGGATCAATTCGGAGCTGTGTCCTGTCCAAACCTCACAAGCCGGCACACGCATGCGCATGTGAACCGCACTTGCCGAATGCCTGCAAAGGCGCATCCACCCGAGACGAAAGCCCTGCAAATGCAATGATCGATCTGGCAATGACCGCCTCGGAAAGAAAATCTTTGCCAAAGCCCAGGGCCATGTTCGCAACATTTCGAAACTCACACACAGCATCACGCAACATGCATTGTGCTTGAGCATGCTTGAGCTTCGATCGTGGACAGGGTCCGCCTCCAATGTCCTGGGCAGGGCATGCCAAGGTCACATACACGAAACATCACGAAACCAAGGCAACGAGTTCGGCATGGTCAGCCCACATCCGAGATGCTCGGCTTCTGACACAACGTGGGTATTGGGGTTTGCTGCAGCCAGGCGTAATGAGGAGTGACCGCAGTATGTGCCAACTTCCAGCCTCAACTCGAAACACATACAACAGTGATTTCAAAAGTGACAGAAGCTCGAATATGTCTCACGCAGCGCCGAGCGGCACAAAGCGCCCCTCTGCATGCTGAGCAGCTGCCAGAAGAACCTTTTTGCCAGCAAGCTATCTCCACACACTGCACCACAGAAAAGCATCACGAGTTTGACGCCTCGGACTTCTCCCCTCCGGCAACTTTGAGCCATGTTTTCGAGCGACCTGGCAGCATGCTCGACTGCCCCTCAAGCTCACACGCACTGCGCAGTCGGTTAAAACCTCTCCGAACCCTGCTCACTGTGTCTTTGTGTGTCTTTGCAAGCGCCTCTTCGAGTATCTCGTGGCGTTTGCGGAGCTGCAGTTTTGTACAGCTTAGGCTGTTGCGGATTTGTACACAGTCTGGCAACTGCCTCCAGCGACCAGCCCTGGACTGGGACTCTTCAGCGACATCCCAAAACTGTGTGAAAGAGAATGTAAACTTTCGCGTGACCGAATTAGCACGGAACAAGGCATACAAAGCATTAAAGCATCTCATGCTTTTTCAAGGATGCAGCCAGCTCATCTGGCCATTCACATCCTTCGCACCTTATGGCCTCGGAATGGAAGGAAGAGGCTTTGGTCTTTGGTCTCTGGTCTCT